CCCCCCCCCCCCCCCCCCCAGATATATAGTTAAAAAAGGCACTGGCATCGTAAATATCATCCTGACATATTTGTACACTTTTATTTTAATGTATAACAGAAAATTAACTTATTACTTGCTTGGTTTCACACTGCGTTTAAGCAACTGAACCTGGATTGATGACATCTTATAGCGGTAATTAATAATGCGATTATCAAAACGTGCGGGTCGTCATGTACTTGAGCCATGTGTCTGAAATTCTGTTGAATATAATTTTGAATTTGCCGCGTTCAATTTGCATAAGAAACATACGAAATGTTGGTTTCTGGCAAGGAAAGAAAGAATAAAATATCAATTTGAATCTATTATAGTAAATTCTATACTAAATTGTGCACTAATTATGCACTATTAATATCAACAATTTAGCAATATAAATTGTCTTTGGTATTAATGGCATATAAGTAATAATTTGGCACTTTTCTAGACCTTTGTCAAGGGTGTATATAAAACTTAATAATAAAACTATATGAAATAATATAGGCTATTAAACATACTTGTGTTTTTAACAATATGAAATAATATATTAAACATTTGAAAGCTGTTAAAGAGGAAGCTGGTCAACTCGGCCCACTGACCAACTCGGCCCACTGACCAACTCGGCCCATATACCATCTTGGCCCAATTGTTAACTACTGTTTGACATATTAGGAAAGCTAATATTTTACAAAAGATAGCACCAAACCAATACAGCCATTTACAGTTGCATGAGGCATACAGATGAGTAAAGTTTGAGAACATCCAGTTTGACTTAATTTAATTAAAGAATCTATCGAAGTTTCAAATTCTCGATCTGTCCGTTTTGATACTAAATTACTGACCATTCAAATCTCTCTCAAAATTTGCAAAGATAGAATGCAGTCATGGCTCCTAGTTGTTTAATGGTTAGATTAGTCAGTTTACAAGCGGGCGGAGTTGGTCCTTGAACGGTGGGCCGAGTTGGTTAGTGGGCGGAGTTGACTGTAAAGCGTTAAAGATATGTTAGCATTTTAATACATGAATAAGGATTATAATTACAGAAGAATTATAGCATTGAATGTGATATATCAGTGTATGTATCCTTAACCCATTAAGCTGCAACTGTGTTGCTTTACCTTTCCTAATGCCAGACAATTTTACTCGTCAAGGGGAGAGTCTTGCAAGCTCTTTATTAATGAGCTTCAGTTGTATAAAATGATATGTTTGTAAAAGCTGGAAGATGTACGAGCACTGAGACAATGCCTCAAATGTTCTCTTTATATATTTTCAGATTAATATTGGAATTGGGTTATATCCTAGCTCCAAATTTGTTCTCAAGTCACAACAATCAGATCTGGATTGAGTTGACAAACTGGTGTTGTAAGGTAAGAATTAACAAGAATAAATAGTCTGATTTTAGTTAAAATGACAAACTGGCCCAGCTAAGGTGGCCACATAGGCCAGACAAATCAGTCTCGATCTTATAAACAGCCCTACAAAAATTTAGTAACTAGTAACAACATAATTACACATGAATCCTAAGTCTACCTCCAAATGCAGCCATTTTAAGGCATGTTAACACTGACACTGTGCTCAATTTTGGTACCTGTAACATGTTTACCATGCTTGGACTACCTATTCATGCAGGCCAAGCACAAATAAATTTGGTACAGGCACCAGTTTTATCTGTGCCGTTACTGCCGTACCAAAAATTGAGCATAGTGTACAACAGGGGCCGGTTGTTCAAAGGTGGGTTAGTGCTAACCCTGGGTTAAATTTAACCTGCTGTTTTAGTTTGTGTATTTCTACAAGTCGGTTTGTTTCAAAACTTCAAAAAAATAAACTCCTATCGATCCAGACAAGATATCTGAAGGAATATTTCCAAATTTATAGACAAGCTGTCAGGAAGTTTGGATTGAATTTTAGGTTATTAACCTAGGGATAAGCTAACCCAGCTCTGAACAACCGGCCGCAGGGCTTTAGTAGTTTAGTGCTTTAATTAATAATCTAAATTATGCCAGAAGTATAAAGGGTCAGTGTGCAATAGCCAATTTTCTGTCATGAATGAGTCATTACAGTATGGTACAGGTAGAGCTGTCCATAGGCCTGCAATAATGCAGGGGGAGAGGCTGTAGCTGGGTCATTGACCTGCAATTTGGCCTAATATGCTCTGTCTTGTTAAATTAATTTACTCTGTCTTGTTAATTTACTCTGTCTGATACCAAACAATTTTAACTATCTTTCCATGCTTCATATTAAGTCCAAAAAAAAATGCCTGGGTTTCTATTTCTCATATGCAAAAATAATATCTCATAATCATATAACAAGATTAGGGTTGGTGATTTCTTTGGCCTATAACTTATTAGTAAGGTAGTCTCCTGTAATATACTTAATAATATAGTATTAAATCAAATGTAACCTAGTAGATGGTTAATTAAGCCAACCCATTAGACATGGCTACCATAAGGGAATCCCCTATTTGGCCTAACACTATCTAGATTATTCTTGCTGTCTCAATGCCAATTAAATCTAAAACATATTAAATAAATCTGATTTTATCAATTCCTATTTTTTCAGCTTTTGGTCTGGATGATACAGTCTATGGAAAGACAGCTGCTATATGCAGTACAAGGTACAGCACAAATGCTGTGGGGCTCGAAGAGGAATAACTAAAAGCAAACCAGCTGAGTGAGACTTGACATTAACAATTAATGACTTTTAGGTACTCATTTATTTCTGGCCATGTATATAAATATAATTATATAATATTAGGAAATTTTAAATAAGTGTAGGTTATAATAGTATAAAGTGTAATTACTCTGCCCCAGGGGCCAGTTGTTCAATGCTGGACTAGCGCTAACCCTGGGTTAAAATTTAGCCTGCTGTTTTAGTTTGTGTATTTCTACACGTCTGTTTATTTCAAAACTTCAGAGAAGAAAACTCGATCTACTTCAGAGAAGAAGTATATCGATCCAGACAAGATCTCTGAAGAAATGTTTCCACATTTATAGACAAGCTGTCAGGTTAACCAAGGGTTAAACTAATCCAGCCTTGAACAACTGGCCCCTGGAGAAAAATTGATTGTACAGTGCATAATTATATGTGTAACCTATAATTATATATTTACTAATAAATACATTTTAATATTCTGATCTAGTATTTATTCATATTAAATTATTACGGCTTCAAGTAAACATGACAGAGGTACATTTATTTGCAGCAACTTGATGTTGCAGAAGTAAGAGGAGTAAGTTTTATGCAAGAAATAAAACTCACTTGGTGGCAGTTATGTGGCATATCTGCTTGGTAGATAATATACAGATAATTTTATCTGTAGGGAAACTATACTAGTCTGTCACATAACTGTGACAGATATGTTATTGGGCCAAATTCCTATATGTTGCAGATATGTGACAGATATCTGTCATATATAACTGTGACAGATATCTGTCATATAACTGTGACAGATATGTTATGGGGCCAAATTCCTATATGTTGCAGATATGTGACAGATACTTTCGTACATATATTTTGTAGATATTTTACAGAACTGTGACATATATCTGCCACATATCTGTCAGTTTGGTAAGGTATATTACTCTGATGCCCCAATGGATAACATTTAAACTAAAAAACTAGGAACATTGATATTATCGATAGTATATATTTGGTATCAGTATTGGCCCATCCTTAGTTTGCCTTCAGTACAATAACACAAACTCCCCATTGTGTTTGAAAATACACAATATGAATTCGGCTGTTACTTTAAGCACAACAAACACCATACCAACATAAATTGACAGTAGAATTTCAACTCAAACATCACAAATTTTTATATTCATTTCTATTACTTAGATTGGGGCGATTGATTTTAACTTTTTAAGGAAATTGATGTCTGACAGCTATATTACAGTTGTGAGACACACATTTTCTAACAATCGATGAAGCCATAATTATTCAAAAATCTGCATTTTATACCAACTACCAAGTCTACATAGTTCAGTCTACATTATTTTCTGCATTTTATACTTGTCCAGTTGTTTGCAGATTACACTGATCGCGATATGAACTATCGATACATTTTTAATAATTACTTTCGGTATCGGTTAAATTTTGAAGTCGTAACTGGATGTGAGCGAGAATAAAACATTTGTATTCGTATCATGCTATATTACAGTACCGGGTTGTTGAGGCTCATCTTCTGATCTTGGTTCATGAGAGTCAACATTCTCTGAATGATCTTCTGCATGCGCACTTGAACTGACACTGTCACTTTCCTCATTATCCCCTTCCAACAATGGTGCATTCGCTTGTACGTTGTGCATTCTAATGTTTTAATCAAGTAAACCAACAAGGAACATCCACCAACTGATTCGAATAAAAAAATTACTGCATAAAAAATTAACAAATCTATACCGTGTGGCAATCATCGAGACAAGCTTCGGAAATAATCGGACGGCTTCGTGATCACACTCGGAATAGAAAAAGTAAACAAATCAAATTTTTTGTCAATTCTGCATGCTATGAGATCAATGATTCTGCCTTTATTTTAGTGGATTTAATTACTTAGAATTTCTAATAAATGCTATTAATTCGTGCAAAAGATTTACAGCTATTTTATTTGTATAATTGGATTTTGCAACTTTGGTGATAATTTTTCACATGCCTATTTGGCACTGTGGCTATGAAGGTGTTAATTCTAGCAGCTGGTTATGGTACACGGTTACAAAAAGATATTGAAAATGACCCTGAACAAGAATATAAACATTTACTAGATGTGCCAAAACCACTAGTACCAGTTGGTGGGGAATGTCTTATATCAAGGTGGATGAGAAATATTTGGACAGACAAAGATATAAAAGGTCAAACTGATTGTGAAATTAATATTAGTAAAGTTTATGTAGTGGTGAGTTAGATGTGTAATTACTATAAATAGTTAATATGGTCAGGGACTCCATACCAACCATACATGGCCCACCACATACTGATCAGTGGACCCACCATGCATGTAATAGGAGATTTCTGTTTATCTGGTCTGTTGCATGCATGTGAAGAACTCATAGGAAATTAAATCATCTAAAGATGAGCCTGGAGCCCCACAGTTTCATAACATTATGTGTGAGTCAATTCCAACTGCAATCATGCCCGGGTTAATGCAAACCCTCAGGAATTTGACTTTTCCAAAAAATATTTTGTAAATTCCCCAATCCCCATGGTGGCCAACTCGTTGAAAACCATTGTCAAATCACTCATAGGGAATGTACCCCAAATAGTTTCTTAAAACGTTTGAGGTGATTAACTGCCTTAATTACTAAAGCCAGTTTTCCACTAGGCAGAATTTTGTGCATGGGGCGGAATTTTTTCTTCGTCTTTTCTAATTAGTTCCTTACGAGAAATTACAAGACAAAGAGAAATTCCGCTCTGCACACAAAATTCCGCCTAATGGTGACCGGCTTAAGCTGTACCACTAGGGCTCTACAAAATTAATGAGTATAGCTAGTTGTCAGAATTGTTTTACAAACATGTGCAGTCATACTTTGCAGCACTGAATAATAATAACTTTATTTAAACTGGCAGAAAACCAGATCAGCACAATTACATCAATTAGTAACATCGGCATATGTAACTGGCAATGCAAATTGCATGCCTAATGTTTGCAAGGTGTCTGCCACATCTGATTTCAAGAACAAGATCTACTGAATATGCTGCAGCTGGACATTAATCACCTTTTGTATCAAGTCCAATCAGTGGAGTCAGTCAATTCAGCAACATAGGGTGGGGCTGGTGCAAGGTATTATTAGAAAATATCATGAGAACCCCTTTATGATGCTCTTAAAAGTGAAAACACCCCTAACTATTTAAAAGCATATGCCCCCTCCCATAGGTGTACAGGACTGGTGCTTTCCAGGGGCATTTGAAAGTCTGCCCGAATTTTATGGATGATTGTAATAAAGTTACCTATTTTTTGATAAATATGCCCACATTTTCTTGATTTTTCCTAGCATTTGCCCAAATTTACATGGTTTTCAAAATGGGGGGGGGGGGGTGGTGGTTGCCCCCCTGTCTCATACACCTGTGCCCCCTCCTGACATATATACGGTACATGATGCGATTCTGATCTTTGTTTAAAAATTGTGTGAATGTTTGAATATGATTTAATACATATAGTCACTATAATAGTAGGCTGTGGGCTGTTGGCCAAAATTAGTTCGCTTTGTGGCACCCATGAGGGAAATACTTGGTTTGGGGCTTATTTAAAAGGCATATAGGTACATCACTACCAAAAAAAATTCCCAAGCAAAAAAGTTGCCCAATCCTGAGAAAATGGGTGATCAATGATTATCCTCTATTAAATTGTATTACAGCAAAAAATGGGAAATTCTGTATTCAATTACAATAAAAATGACTTGCATCATCGGAAAACGTACAAAAAACCGCATATAGGACTTTTAAACAGTTTTTTGATTTTTCAAATAGTCTTTGAGTTATTGCTGTTTTAAATGTGAAAATTGGACCAAAAACTCGCAATAAGGACTGGGTACTAGGTCAAAAAAGCGTTTTTGACAGTGTATAACTCGAAAACAATTTTAGATATAAAAAAACTGTTTAAATGTCTTATATGTAGGTTTTTGTAAGCTTTCTGACATTTTTGCTGTAATTGAATACAAAATTTTACATTTTCTTGCTGTAATACAATTTAATAGAGGATAATCACTGATCACCCATTTTCTCTGTGTTGAGCAAGTTTTTTGCTTGGGAACTTTTTGTGGTAATTAAGCATCTATGGTACTATGAATTGAACCACAGAAAATCTATTTCCCAGGAGGGTGCCACGAAATTGCTTTTCTAGGCACTTTTTCGCACAACAGGCCACGGCCTATAGCTAGAATTTTTCTTTGCATTGAATTTTATCTTCATTGAATTATATATATTTTCAGTTATTTCCCATTTAGCAGAACTTTTTATTTGCAAACAGTTGCCACAATTTTTAACCCCTTCCCCCTCTGCCACAAAGACTCCAACAAAAGCAAAGACCCCCACCCATAGTACAAGGTGAACATTGTATGAGCCCCCTTCATTTCCCCCCACACCATCCTAGGGTATAATTAAGTTTGCTCAGGCAGTCGTGTACGGCTAGCGCACCTATTTTTCACGTTGCCCACTTTTTTTGACCACGTACGAAATCCTAATAGCGCAATCCACCGGATATATAGTGACTTTTTCAACGGTTGAAAAAGTCACTATATATCCGGTGGATAGCGCTATTAGGATTTCGTACGTGGCCAAAAAAAGTGTCCAATTCAACCTTTCTTGAAAATGGCTGAAAAACTGTGAAACTACGAAGTATAAAACAACTCTAACTTATAAATACTAATAAAATAAGACTTAAATTTGGGTTGTACAAAACAACGGCCAATTTAAGAAAGCTTGAAAAAACACTATCCTGTCCGGATAGCGCCGTCGGCCCCGGCCGACAACCGGCCCCAGCTGGGTACGAGGCTGGTTAAGTACTGCAAGTCTTACATGTTATGTTAAACAAAGATACCCCATTCAAGAAATAGCTTATTAATTTAAAGTGTTTTGTTGTTGTTTCTGTTAGACTAATCATCATTATGTTGAAAAGTTTTCTATTTGGGCGAAACAATGGCCAGGTGTCGAAGTTGTGGATGATGGAACTCTTACGAACGAGGTACTGGCTGGAATTGGTTAAATAGGACAATTAATTCTATTTGCAGCACATAGCCGTAGGTCAGGAGGAAAAATACTTTTGGTTGAGCTAAAAAGTAGCGCTCGTTGCAGTCGAAAATTTCGATGCAGTGGCACTTTCATTATCACGGTATCTTTTTCTGCAGGTAACTTCATTCCTAATTCACCCTAGAAGTGCTTACGTTACGCAATATTCAATCCATCTAAACATTAGGTATACGCAATGCAATGTGGGATACATGTGGGTCAAATATTCTTTGTTTGACTAAGCTATAGGTTAATTCACATGAGAAGAAGCTTCCATTTCTATCAAACACGGCAGGTTTTCTCCAGGAAGTTCGGTTATTTCCTGTAGCAACACTGGACGAACCAAGAGTGATGGCGTTTACTGGACCATCAATGCATCAGGAAGAACAGTTTAGAGCATATTGAGCAATTCAGTCCAAAAACATGTTAGTTCATTGTATAAATTACAGTTACCAAACTATTATTCCTTCAATACTGCACCTACCGTATATATAGACTCGGCTGGGGGCTGTTGCAGACATTAACCTATGTCTTGATAAATTTCAAATAGATGACGATGTGCTGGTAATAGGAGGGTGAGTATGCAATTAAGTAATTGTCTTTTTATAACACTAAATTATTTATATGCTTCATACCCAGTCCTAAACTGAACAATTCATCATTATAACCATAGTATGTTATAACTTCCTCAACAGGGATACTCTGTTTTACAAGGACTTCGATTTAAGAAACTTTCTAAAAGAATTTTATACAAGGAATTTGAGCTCTCTTGGTGGAACTTTAGTCACATGTTATCACTGTAAAGATTCAGGTAAAAATATAGAAAAGTGACTACGTTGGACCAGCACGTATTTACCCTGCGAATTCAAGTCCTATATATTGGAGGAAACAAATTTCTCTATGCCGAGAACTTCTGAAAAGTGTTATTCTGTCGTGAAGAATAGAGGGCTTTCAGAATTATTCTGAGTAGGTTGATGTTTTGATAAAGGAGCGGGCTGTGGAAGTGGTCTAGGGAGTCTAAAAGTCATCCAAATTACATGTAACTAGACATTAGTGTATATACAGAGGTGTATATATTGATTAGATAGCAACACAACTGACTGAACTGAGCTCTGTAACCAAATTATAACGTATCACTACTTGCATTCTTCACTAACAAGATAACTTCAAGATTTAAGGTGGCAAATGACTAAATCAATTTCACTAAATCAATTTCACGAAATCAGTACGTCGTTTTCGAAAATAACCAGGCATTAAAATAGACCATGCGGGTTGAGGAAAAATAATTTTGTTTCAAAGCTCTTCGAGTGGAGGAAGGACAGCAGAATTGATATTTCAAAATACTATAAACAAGCTAACTGGCCGCCGGTTTATTTTGAAAGCCCTGAGAAAAAAGTCGCAATCATATTAATTCTCACGTCCATTGGATACCACGTCAGTACACCTAGACTTGCACCTGGACTAGACTAGACTTACACCTAGACTTGCTCCAAGTCTCTCGAATTGGCTTTATATGGTCCATCCATTCTGTTATGAGATCAGTTTCATTTTCAAGTGGGTGTGTCCATAACTTAGACTGGATAGACCCCATCATAAATGAAGCCAACTGGATCGTGACTGGCATGGAGGAAATCTAGTATTCGCCTGATTTGAATTTAATGTGTTCTTCTGTATTTGAACGAATATAATATAGCCTTGGAAATGCACAATCAGTGATTTGAATGGTCGTTTCCATTGAGTCTTTCACTGGAAAAAATAGTGAAATCCATACTATGGAATTTGTAATTGCATCACTAAATCCATAGTATATCCATATTATTTCCATACTATATCCATAGTATATCTATATTATTTTCATGCTATATCCATAGTATATCTATATTATTTCCATGCTATATCCATTATATATCTATATTATTTCCATGCTATATCCATAGTATATCTATATTATTTCCATGCTATATCCATAGTATATCTATATTATTTCCATGCTATATCCATAGTATGGAAATGGCAATTAGTATGAAAATTGGATTTCCATGCTATTTCCACACTAAGGATTTTGAAAAAAATTTCCTGTGTTTGCCCATTATTTCATGACTATTTCACAAAGTTCAAGAAGAAGATATACATTGATAACATTGGTTCCTATGTATTTTACTCTAGATACAAAAAAGTCAGGAATTGTGGAATTAGATAACGAAAATAAGGTTGTCGCATTTTTGGAAAAACCGGATCCTACCACTACTTCATCAAGATGGGCAGTAAGTAACTAAGTTTAACGCAAACACGTGGAGAAAATATTTGCTCCATGAGGCTTATCACACGGTCAATACTACACATTTACAACTTAAAATGAACATGGTCAATGATTGGCTTTCTGAAACAAATGTAGTCAGTGTTTGTAACTCATTCGTCAGCGTTGGTTGTTCAAAGCACGATTAGCGCTAACACTGTCACTGGATTAAAATTTAACCTGGTGTTTTGATTTGTGTATTTCTGCAAGTTTGTGTAACATTTCCAAATATCAGAAAATAAAACTTCCAAAGGATTGACGTTTTTCACAAAATTAACCCAGTTACCCAGGGTTAAGCTAGCCGACTTTCGAACAACCAGGTAAAGCATCAGAGGTAAATCTGTATGGGATTTACAAACACGAGCTGCAAAGGAGGCGAATGCTTTAAGGACAATTTACGCTACATAACTCTTGCCTATAACTGTCGCATGCAACCTGCTTTGAAGTGCTTACAAGTTGAGTTGTACTGTGTAAATCAAGCACACAACTCTACGTTGTCGTAAATGAGTTTTGGTTATTTACACAGTACAACTCAAGTTGTAAGGAGGTACGGTTGCATGCGACAGTTAGGCAAAAGATGTGTAGATCGGCCTTTATGAATTATGGTACGCATGCATATGAATGTTAAGGCCGTTTTCCACTTCGCCCGTAACACAGAGTAGAGACATACAGAGACGTAACTAGTGTACCCACTTTTTTGTGCGCATGCTCGGCAAGTTACTAGATGCATGCATCTGATTGGATGACGACCTGATGACGACTCACTTTAAACTTGCTGAGCACGCGCAGTTGATCATTTTTCGCCCGGTCGCCTGAAAAAAAAGTGGGTACATGATAACGTAATCTTCCGCAGTGTTTACAACGGTCAGTTACGTCTCTGTATGTCTCTACTCTGTGCCCGTAACATAACGTAACGGTGAGCATGCGCAGCTTGAAGATGGGTTTTCAAATTTACGTACTTCAGGTTGATTCGCGTATCAAAATAAAAAGTTCGTCGCTAGTCAACTTTTTAGCGTAGGTACGGAAGTATTGACCAATCAACATTCACTAAATTTTGACATTTAAAATTTGTTTTGATACGTGTCGGTACGTTACGCTTGCTGTGGAAAACGACCTTAAATCTTTGTCGGATAAGCTTTTGGCTGAGAATATCGAACGAAAAGCCTGGAAAAGGTCATGTTATAATCAAGACGAAATATACATTAGATTTACAGATATTGAATAAACATTCAGTTCTTCTGAATATGTTCAGGAATTATTAATGATTCAATTATTATCAATTAGTAAAGTACCTAATTGTTTTAATCGACCAATCACAAAACCTGTTCACCTTGGCATGTATAATTCTAATTTCGTTTAATCCCTTGTTACTTTGGATCCTGGCGATTGCATGGTTGTACACCAACCACACTGTATATATATTATATTATATATAATTTTAATTTCTAGTGTCCATGCTTTTATGTGTTATCCAGGAAAGCATCTCAACTCATTCCTCAATTTCTTAAGGAAAAAACGGTAAACAATCTTGTCTCATGTGTATAAATTGATCGAAGAAAATTCACAACTGCATGTATGCATGATTGATACTAATATTACTATATACTGATACAGTACTCGCGATAAGTTCTTTGTACGTTTGCATGGCGACAAATACTTAACACTTGACTGGGACCGAGGGAAACAGTATGTTTGTGCACCCTCTTCTGCCAATGATTCCCGAGGCGAAGGAAACATTGGCAGTCTCGGGTCCAAAAAAACAGTCAATAAGTATTTTATCATATACCAAGCGTCAAAGAAAACAAAAAGAAACGAAATTGTCGCTCTATAACTGAACGACTTTTTATCCGGTGAATTAAGTATCGTCCTCCGCTCAGAGAGCTGTTGCCTGAAGACGGTCAAATTTCACGAATTATATACGTGATAGGCCTACTCTCGTCCAATGATATACAAGAATATATGAATTTTCACACTTGATATACCGCGGTATAGTAAGGGACGGACCATTAGAAAAGTGATGGGGGGGGGGGGGGAGGCAATATATTTTTTTTTGTACACCGTACCTATATAGAATTTTTTTTCTCACTTGATGGCTGGAAATTTTTGTAAGTGAAATTTATAGGCTTATCTTCCAAGCTAGGAATTTTATTTTTTGCACTATGCCTGGGAAGATTTTTTCCCCCTAATTTTTTTCTGGGAATAAATTTTTTTTGGTTTTGCCCTCCCATCCCATCACTTTTCTAATGGTCCTAACATTTGTGCTAACATGCAGAACGCACCGATCTTTATATACTAACATTTGTGCTAACATGCAGAACGCACCATTAAAAGAAAAAGATGCTCCTGGACATTTCATTAAATATTTACAGGAAAAGTAAGTGCAATTTATCCACACTTTTTTATTTGTGGAAACACCACGTCCACGTATATACAAATATATGTACAATATGCAATAACTATATAACTTAAAATGTTGTTAGTTAGTTGAGTACTAAAAGACTTGGGAAAATTGAGTTTCATGCATATTGATGACATGTGGTTTGCAAGATAAATACGAGGTGGTTACAATTCAAAGTTCACACATGATTACTTCGTGCATAAAGCCTATAACATCCATGCAAAGTAAAATTGATACAATATAAAACAAGGCTGTATATTCAGAGCAACTTTATTTTGCAGGGTGCCAGTTTATGCCGTTCCTTTAAAATCTGGTCGCTTTGACATTGGCAACTTACAATCCTACATTGAATGTGATCAATATTTCACAGCAGGTATACACATATTAGTGAAATGTGTAAAGGTGCATAAACTATAATTAAATTAAATACGAAAAGTTTAAACTGATTATATAATCTTCAATGTTGGATGCCAGCTAGTGTAGTTATATACCAACGTCGACGTTGACGTCGACGTGGACGCCAGCAGATCAAATTGAATTATACAATTTTATGGGCGGACCTCCGGACTCTTTCTGATAAACGGGTTTAGCCAGGAATTGACACTACTGTAAATGGCTGTGCGATTCCTATGTATCGCCTTTGAGGCACAGAGTCATCTGGTTTGATTCATAAAGAACGATCGTTCTTATACGGTGATCATACAGACCTATAGCCACCATTATATGGTTATACATGCCTGTATATTTAGTTTTTTTGCAGGTAGCCAAAAAAAATTTGCAGTTAGATCTGCGTGGTCCAAATTTGCACTCTTCGCTTGAAGCTTGCAAATTGTGACAGGGGATGGGGCACCAAAGAAATTTTTTTGAGTTATCTTTCGCCTTGTCAAAATTGAGTGTCAGCTAATTTGCTCAAACCCAACTGCTCGAAAATTTTCATATATCAAGCCGACAAGATTGTCGGCTGATGAATAAAATTCAGCCACAAAACAGGAAATTTTAAGTTTTTGATGGCATCACTTGATGAATTTACGTCTTGAGTACGACTCTTATTAAATCTGTTCGGTATATATTGCAAAATGTATTCGAAAAAATTGAAATTTAACAAATTTTCTACTTTACTTAAGCATGCGTAAGACCTTCTGACCAAGGATTGCAGTTAGCTTCAGGCACTTGCAGGTAGCGCCGCTACCTAGGATCCCAACATCTGACAGGCATGTGATTATATGGTCTATATTCGGAAGATCTTAGTGATATTTTTAACGTAAATTTCTATAATGATCTCTTTTTACTAGATTCCTCGTCATAACAAGGACAACGTCAACGTGCTTCTGCCGAGTCGAGATTGGGTAACGAGTGATAGGAGATACGATATAGAAAGTGAAAGAGATAGAAAAACAATATCTTATACGTCGTTTTTGTTTGGTGCAAATTAGTAAAAATCCTAATTTTGACATACTTACTGTAATGTATAACTATAAAGAAAAGTGCACAGTTCACGTGCAGTTCGATCAATATATCAGATAAATATATTACGTATTAATAACAAATATTCCACCCATGCAACAAGACTGCTTGCATTATTCGAGTGTACGTATGGTACAATCGGTGTAAAAACATAAGCTAAATAATATTTTACCTACTGCACTGTATATATATATATATATATATATATATATATATATATATATATATATATATATATATATATATATATATATATATATATATATTGTAATTGTTTCATGATAATGTATATACATATTAACGAAAGGTTCAGATTTGGCGTCCGCTACCATTAAGGGACCATTAGCCAATCAGATGCGTTTGATATATCCGATGAACCAATCAGATGTTTACTAAGCCAGTGAGAGGTATAGTCCGTATAGAGTATCTCTATTATATCAGGCTTTCTGGCATCCTTGTGTAGAAAAGTAGGACAAAAGTAGGACTAGAATTTTAGGAAAAGTAGGAATAAAGTAGGAAAATGTGTAGAAAAGTAGGACAAAAGTAGGAGTTTTGGAGATGCAAATAACACAAAAATATACAAAATTGCCCCCCTAGGATATATGTGGTAAGGGGTAGACCATTAGATATCTGATGGGGAAGTTGTGTGAATTTTTGGTGCTCAATATTTTTATGTACTCATTCATCTATGTAGGACTTCTTTCTCAAAACTTTTAAATTGCATCGGTATAAAAGCTAAGGCATTTGCTCTGCAGCAACACAATTCAAATGCATGTATTGGGTTACACAATGCACCAATCCACACTGCGGTAGAAGCATATATCAGGGCTGTAGGAGGCTCTTTTCGATTGTTGGGGGACCTGAAAGCATATATATGGCTGAAAGCGAGGGCCGAAGGCCCGAGGAAATTTTTAAATTTAGAGTCTCTGAAATGCCATTTCCTGGACTTTGGGAAAGATTTGACAGAATTCTAATGGTCAGAAAACAGAATTTTAGTATGTCGAAATTTACAATTTAGTAGTACTAAATGGGCGAAGGCAAATTTAATTAACTATATATTGGATAAGTTGCAGGAAAGTATATGGGTAATATCTTCATTCTTTGCAGTTTGTCATGGATTAAATGATAAAGGTCTACATGATTTTGAAAAAAAATGATTATTAGCAAATTGCTACGGCCCTGTATATATGATGCTTGATTAACTGAGGGGGGAGTTGAATATTTCGAATCTCTAGATCGTCGGAAATGGCACTTTCAGAGTCTTCATTAATTTATTGATTGTGATTCTAGAGATGCTATGAAATTTTATACCAGGAAAATGTACTTTTCTTCCTGAGATCTTATCATGTGAGACACAAATAGCGAATAAAAATCCTATAGATCTAATTACGAGAGCTATAACATACTGATTCCCCAAGCTGTCTTAAAAAAGTAGGACTTTATGAGAAAAAGTAGGAAAATCAATCAATTTTTAATAAAAAATAGGAAAAGTAGGAAAGTTGAAGAAAAGTAGGAAAAAGTAGGAAAAGTAGGATGGCAAGAAAGCCTGTTATATAGAGAAGCCATTAATTGCATGCTGCTACTAATTTATTGAAAATTCAAATTTGAATAATTTTTTATAACATTGATTTCGTACAAATGTAGGCCTTCCCGAGCTGTATTGTATATATTGTACCCTTCCTGACGTGCAAAGGGGTTACATATCGCAAAGCAGTAAAGTTAACTCAATACTGAAACAGACATGATATACCAAAAATTTATTCAAAACTAAAAGGATGTAATATGAAATGTTAGATACTTGACTTACAAAATATGATACTATCGCTGAACAAATATACGGTACGGTGAAATAACACCTACCCATAGTTATTTTATTCTAAATTTAAATCATTCATTTTTCTTTACATTTGGTTGAACAATTCACGATCGAACAAATGTCTTGCCACTAAAAAGTACAAAGAATTATAGTAAGAATTATTGTGAACGTTTGGTATTAACCGAAACTTTGTGACGAAATACGCAGTTCCCAAATACAGCAACAGAATGCTAGCGCTCAATGGACCTTATGGAAGTGCTTTCGTCACGTAATTCTCAAACAATGAATTATTGACCCACGAGTATCCCACAATGCACTGTGCATTCCAGAAGTTCGATGTATTAAAAATTGCGTGACGTAAGCAGTTCTAAGGTCTACTGATTGCATCGCGTAAAATATCAACCAAAAGTACAGGTATTGTATACATGAAATGGCATGACAAGACAAGACAATTATTTTAGTAGCATATTATTATTCGATGAATAGTATATATAATAGGATAGATTACCGAAATCATTCATGGCCTGGGTCCGGTTGTATAAAACTATTAACTACTGTACCTAGTTAACCGGCTCCTGTTTGCATGATCCAGGCGTAATCGCCGGTTTTCTAGCAGTTCCTGGTCATGGTTTTCTAGCAGTTTCATACGTGACTATCTGGGCAATTGATTACCTTGCCAAGATCGTTCTTAGAGAGAGAGAGCAGTTATAACAAACCATAAAGCTCTGTTCACACTGGGCCAGATGAATTCCAAACCGTATCCGTTTCCAAATCGTACTGAAGTTTCACGATTTCGCCTTTCGAGTATATACATGCATGGGACGCACTCTCTTCCACAAGGCTAGCTACTATATGTAATACAGTAGTTAAACACGCGGGCTATCTACCAGCAAAGTATGAAGCATGCAGGTAACCCCCGTGCGCGTTCATCAAATGCCTTGCATTTTCTGGGCAAAAATAAAGTGATATAAAGCCTCTGCGACGGAGAGTGCAGCTAACTGCACGAATTTAATTCTCTTCCGGACCCGTGTGAGGGTAGACTAAGAAAATATACTACTCAAGCATCACAAAGTACTCACGTTATTGTTTTCTTTTCTGTTGACTTCTGTTCTGGTTTTGCACGGTTGACGACTTTAATGAAATCACTTGTTTTTGCTCTCATTCGCGAGTGCAGGTATGCCTGAAGATAATTTAACAAACAGTGTAAATCGAGAGATGCGAGTGGCTTTGTGATAAGTTATATAATTTAAAGAGGCCTTCTCTGAAGAATCAGTACAAAGATAGTGAAAGGGATGTTGAGTAGTATTGGATTGAACACAGGGCTCAAAAGAACGGCCGGTCAGCGGCCAATGACATTTTTTTAGTACGACCGATCAAATTCGTCCGACGTCGGTCCAAGTGATCGGTCATATTTTGGCTCTGCCTCTGGGAACGAGGTTGACTTTTAACATACTGTATTGTTACCCCTTGGCGTTAAATATTATATTAGTACACCCTTCCAGCAAGTACGTCACTTTGGCTATACAACCTCATTTTCGTGTATGTGACAATAATAATAATATTTTATATTTATATTGCGCAAATTAACATTCTATAGTATATGATCAAATGCGCATCACAAAACATAATTACACTAAAATTATTCTATGCTGAATGGTTAGTTAAAGCTCAACATGTCAATCACGAAAACAAGGCCCTATAGACCCATTGCACTGACGTCACAAATCCTTAGAGTGTCCTCCAGATGCTCCCTAACAATATCTGTTCGGGTACAACAACCACATACAGCGCAAAAACTAACCATATTGATACAAAATTATTATAAAGTTTTACAAAATTTGCTTTGTTTACAAAAGTTATATTATGTATAGATTGCTAATTTGTCCTCCAGATGCATCATCACCGGCGCTGTGACGTCATGTGCAATGGGTCTATAGCCAAGATGACGTACTTTCCGGAAGCGTGTATTTGTAAGGGGTTTCTTGATATTAAACTTTCCGTGTTTCAATCTTCCCAAAACGATTTACAACAAAAAACTCACCTTGGAGCATTTGATATGATAATGCAAGTAGTTTCTGAAAGTGTGAATTAAATTGATCGTTTTGTCCTTCGCTTTCGGATTTGTATGTCTGGCTTCCAACACTATCAAAACATTACAAACATATGCATGTGTTAGTGTACTGCACAGAGATGTATAATGACCATGGTTATATCCATGCACAGGGGCGCACATTTTCAAAACGTTTGGGGGGGGGGTTCCACTCTTCATGGATCGAGTTTGGATATTTATTCGGCCACTTCGATATATACAGTATACGCAACAGTTTACTATTCATTAATGCATGTGATGTCATACAAGATATCTTCTTGTTGGAATTATGTTTCTACGTCTTTCAAATTTTTTTTTTTTATAGACCTTATCTTTTATCAGCCTAAGTTCTTGTCTTTCACTTCCGTGATGCCAGGTGCGCTGGGGAGAGACGGGAAGCGAACTGCCCTTCGTGGAACCATTTTTGCCCTTCGAGCGGCCCTAGGTTCTACAGTACACAGTTACATCGATGTTTTTTGTACAACTTTATTGCCTGGATAAACAACGAAGATATTTCCATATGGAAGGAAATGCATGTACTGGCAGTTCGTGTAAGGTTACTTTACGAATTTAGGACTACGAGTAAGAATTTCGCTCGGCCTTCTCCCGCGGTTCAAAACGGATCCACTCACGCGGGAAGGGCTGGAACTAGGCTAGTCTTTTATATCATTAAGTCTATGTGGGTTTACTGATATTGGTAGTGTATAATGCGTGCGCCTCTGCAGGGCTATGCATTTCGAAGTTTAATCTTTCATGTTATTTTTGCTCTTACCGAACGTAATGTATCCGATATTGTCTCCAACAACAGCGTTAGTTCCCTTCAATTCCATAGGAGGTTCGCGATGACTGAAGAGAACTTGAGGAGCTGTTTGACTGGCACGCCGTCCTTCTTTTAACTCCTACACACAGAAGAGCAATCAACACTTCAATTTCTCGTTTATTCTTCTGATAAATTGAAGATACTCAACACAGGACTGATATACTCCCAATGAACTATTTCCATTGCACAGGGCCCAGTTGTTTTAAGGCCGATTAGCTTAATAGGTTAACGTAAAACTGTAAAGCAAATTTTCTAACAATTTGTTTACAAATAGTTTTCCCGTTGGAATGAATAGTTATATTTTCTGAAGTATGAATTCAATCAACAGACGTATAGAAACACACGACCCAAAACAGCAGTTTAAAATTTTAACCCAGAGTTAAGGCTCTAATCTAACCACCGGCCCATGTGCAATAACACAGAGTTATATAACCATGTAAAACATGAACTTCTAGCCGTGGACAAGTTACTCCTTGAAACAAGAACATCAAATCATAGACAGTTGTACATAAATTCATGTTTGTCAGTTTCCGAGGTTTGGATTTACAGTACTGCAGTATGTTTACAAATACACAGCTAAGTGTGCGTTTATATACATCATGAAGATATTATTTTGCGCAGAACACATAAATGGAAAGTACAGTAGTCAGTATACTGTAACTTTGTTTTCCTTGAATATATAGAGGATATTACACGGCGGCGCGAAGATATGACTTTTATCTTCGAGTGGTGAAAACAATATTTTACGAACGAGCGCAGCGAGTGAGCAAAATATTGTTTTTAACACGAGAAGATAAAAGTCATATCTTCATGCCACCGTGTAATGTTCTGCATGTTTATTATATAGTCCCAAGCAGGGCCGCCGAGAGGTTGGCGGGGGCCCGGGGCAAAAAATTTTTTAGGGGTCCTTATTTAAAATTTTTTTCCGGAAAAAATGTTTTTCGGAGAACAACCTCTTCGTTGTATTCTGCAGTGTCAGAATAATATGAAACTAATATAATTATGAATTATAGTTTTATTAGTTTTTCCTACTTTACGCAATCGTCGTCATCTTATAATTGAACATGATAGGACATTGCGTATTGCTTTCCACTGTTCACTGAAGTATTTTTATGTGCTCTGATATGAAATAGTTTAGTTATAATAAACAATTGTTATACAGGGTGTATAAAAAAAAGCGCAATCCTCGACTGAAATGTAAATTGCTAAACAAATAATAGACGAAAACGTTAAAGTTTACATTCATTTTAAAGCGTAGCCATTCAGCTTTCTAACAGTGGGTTGTTTCTTAAATTTGACTCATTGGTTCGCGGGTAATGATACTTTACGTTATTGCGATTGGAGATTAAAAAAAGTGAGATGGAATAACAAATCGTTCTCACGAAAATAACTGATTTTTTCATTAAAACAAAAAAATGTTGCATTTTATTAAATGGATTGTAACAATAAGTACAATTACGGCTTTTCTTCCACTATTTTTAACTCAGTTTGAAACTTCAAATGCGATATAATTTTGGCTTGGACCATCTAAGCTGACTGACATCAACTTGCTATAATTTCTGTTTACATTACATCGCAATTCGATGACACTCTGGCTCAGACACCAGAATGTTTTGACGATTTTAGCATTCGTTTAGGATTTTCAAACAACCTGGTCTCTTTTAAAATACTTTTAATTTGTTCTTACGTGGTTTTCCAGATGTAGTGACGACAACATTAAAGTTTAAAGAAGAAAATTCTAACATTTAAACCGACTAAACAATAACATAATAAACTTGCATAATTAAACAGCAACTAAAAATGATAGGTTTTACTAAATCTTTTCCTGTGCAATTATTACTAGCATTGGAGACAAGGATAATAGTTTGTTTGAAAGAGAAAAGAACAGGCTTTGAAGTAAGCCTAAAAGCGTTTAACTAGAAATAGTATTTCGAAAGTTATTAAGCACAAAAGATGAATTGCGTTTATTTTGATACACCCTGTATACTAGTTAGTTTCAAAGTTCAATTTTTCTGTTTGCCGATTGGTCAAAACCGTATCGTAATTAGTTTCAAAGTTCAATTTTTCTGTTTGCCGATTGGTCAAAACCGTATCACGTGCCGGTCCACAAAGCGTCATGTTCGGCAACCGGTCCACAATGAAACATTTATTGACCGGTCAACAATAAAATGGGTGCAATACGCATGCGTGTCAACCATGAAGTTCCATGCAAAGTTCATTTTTTTAACTTTTTATTAAACATTTACGGCGTTCCATTTATCCAGTTTTGGTTTCAAATTGAGTTCACTCCAATAACCGGTGAATTATTCATACTTTGACACTTATATACTGAGACCTCGGGAAAGCAGTGTGTTTTGTGGCCCCTCGACCGCCGTCAACGGCGGTCGAGGGGCCACAAAACACACTGTTTCCCTCGGTCTCAGTAAATAAGTGATAATTATTGTACAAGACTGAGCATGGTCTGAATAATTCTTCATATATCACACGTAAGCCGAATCCAAATGATTTTACGAACTGTAAATACCAGTCGAAAATAGCTTTGTATTATTTTTCTTGTACTTCGAACTTCAGTAAAAAAGTGTTATAATTGCACACTGATAACATCGACAGCTGAAATAACGTGACAGCTACCAGTTATTGAGAATTAATCAGCCAATTGTTGACCAAACAGGATTACAAGAAAGAGATTTCCGTTTCCCTCATTTATTTCCAAATGTACAGCACCTATGAATTTGCAAATTAGCATGACTTCTGTGGTTCTTGAGTTAAAACGTTGTTGACGATACAAAAATTAATCCACGATAAACGTTACCTGCATGAATACTTTGCCAATGATTACGTCATCATCATCCCGGAAGACAGTGCTAAAAATAACCGTGACACGGTCCGCTTTTGCCCCGACATACCTTCATAAAAGAAATAAGAAAGTTTACATATTATTAGGGACACGCACATTATGCTGGGATTTCTTTTGGAATAATAGGCGATTTTTTTGAAACCGGGAATAGGCAAAAGAGGGAATAATAGGGAAACGTTTCGGTATGACGTTCATCGTGCCAACATAAATTCCGTAAATTGCATATGCGCCATCCGCCCAAGGGCCAGCGACGCGGCGTGCACGTATGTACCGTCTCTGAATATGTCATGTACGTAGAACATTTGGACTAATAACGTTATGCATTATTTGTTTCTTTAATCCATCATGCAAATTTCAAATAAAATTGAAAATCTTGACGAAATTTCCACCTCCACATCCATTATATTAAAATAATAAAGTTCTTATTTTCTCCTGCTCTTGGTTCGACTTCATGTAGAATAAGTTTGGGAATAATAGGGGGAAATTTTAAGAATAATAGGATAAAGTCAAGGGATTAAGGAATAGAATAATGGGCAAATTTTCGAGCATAATGTGCGTGTCCCTACGATATTATTGAATAGGCCATTCCAGCTTCAATCAATCAATAATTTATTCAAAGTACCTACAATAATATTGAGGCCCTTGCAGGAGATCTGGAGGTTAACCCTATATAAAGATCACCTTTACCTATTACTAAGTTAAAATACCTAAATGTTAAATTACAAGTACATGTTCGACTTCAGTTCTCTTTTAAATTCTCTAATGTTATTTACTTCTACAACCGAGCATGGTAAACTGTTCCAGTCACTGATAATCCTTACAAATAGTGAGTATTTGTAACAATTAATTTCGGGTAGTTTAGGATATAAGGTGTATTGGTGGTTAGATCTTGTCCTCTTGGAGTGTCTATATTCTAAAACTTCGCTGAATATTATGCCGCCATTTAGTTCAAATACTATCTTGTAGCACTCTACTAGGGAAAGAAACTTTCTACGTTTTTCTAGTGTGTCCCATTTTAGCAATTTACAGTATGGCATTTCGCCTCGTTTCTGTTTCAGAGCAATTCTCGATGCTCTTAGTTTATGCCTGCAGCTTTTAGTTTATGCCTGCAGGGGATGATGGGAAGTAAGGTATCATATTGCTGATTATGCTGAAAAATTTCAATAAAAACTACCGAAACAACCGAAATATTTCAATATTTACAAGTATAAGCTATCACTCCGTGTTTACACGGCCACCATTTTTATTTTTTTAGCATAATCACCAATGTGATACCTTACTTCCCATCGTCCCCTGCACGCATAAACTAAAAGCTGGAATTGCCTATTGCAGTCTGCAGGTTTCAGACCAAGTTTTTTGAAAGTTAAAAGAGCTACTAACAGAGCTGTACAGTATAAACAAGTGTGGCAAATATTTGCGACTTTTAACAATTTTCAAACATCCATGAATTTAATTGTAAAATTAATCATGATACATTGCTAGGATCACAGTTTTGCTACTAAGCCGAAAAACACATAATTCTGATGTTTGGCTATGTCCTCACAGAGTGGTGTCAAAAGTCAAAACTTTGGAAATTTAATTTAATTTATATACAGTAAACTTGTATTTTTCAGGTTAGCAAGAAACAAGAACCAATAATTGAATAAAGCGTGAGAACATTAGTACTGTAAGTTGGTAAGAGAATTTTCAAGATGCAGAGCAAACTCTTTACTTACTGTATACAGTACTATAATTATAGTACAAGCAGAGTACTGTATATGCTTGTAGTATAATTATAGTATAAATAGAGAATAATACATGGGTGCGCGGAAATACCAGATTTATTTCTCGTGTTGAACATGATATCTCACGAGTGAGCGCAGCGAACGAGTGAGATATCATGTTCAACACGAGAAATAAATCTGGTATTTCCAAGCACCCATGTATTTTTCTGTTTATTAGGGACCGGTCATAGAGTAATTACTAGAGGGGGGTGGAGGATAAATGAAATTTCAAGTACATATTTCCATACCCTCCCAAAAACCTGTGGAAAAATTTTCGTAACCCCCTTGAATGTAAGTTAAAATTTTCATACCCCCCCCCCCTTTTTTAACATTTGTCTTGCGTTTATCTATATTTCGAAACTGTCCAGTTTGTGATAACTCTTCCACTTCTTGTAGTGGTGACCATATCCTCAACATTTTCCGCAGTCTCCGATTCGTCACCAGTCTTTTCAGATTCTGACATACTAACGATGGGCTGAGAGTAAGATCAAACAGAAAAATTTGTTTTTACTTTATTTCAAATAGAAAAAAATTGCTTCCATTCAATGTGACACTTCCTCATCAGGTTCATCAAGTTCTAATGCCGGTGTGAACTTGCTAGCATTGACAATTCAGGTGTATCAGATTTGTACTCCAAAAGTTCAACGGATACTGAATCCTACTTATCATCTGACATTGAGTCAGACTAAAACATATATCTTGTGTTGATTTAATAATTATACAGTAGTAAAGCAATTCTTTCCAAACTTAAATCTGGGCACAAAACATTCAATATTCAACAATAATTATAAAATGTAATTTTTTTCCGTACCTATAGGACTAAGATTTTGGTACCCCCCTAGAGGTTCTGTTGTTTTTTTCGTACCCCCTCAGAGGTTCTCTTTTTTTTTCGCACCCCCCAAAAATATCCTCCACACCCCCTAGTAAATACTTTATGACCGGTCCCTTATATAAACAAAATTCAGTGAAAAACAATAAAACGTCTGTGGCAATGCGTTTTACAACAAATGATATTTTCACACCTAAAAATATCGTATTTTTTACGTGTGTTTAAATACGATCTTTCTCAGTGGCCAAAAACTCTATATAACATTGTGTTTATATAATAATATTCTATATATACTGTACTTACAAAGTTTCATCTTCTCTGTAGTTGATCACAGCGTATTCTTCTTTATCGTTTCCAGCTTGTTGATGTTCAAAATATTTCTCAAACACGGACGCAAAGCAATTTCGTTTCAGCAATGCAACCTTTGTAATGAGTTCCTCTAAAACCAATGTGGATAGGCAATATTTAAACAATGAAAAAATCAAAGAAATCAATTGATGTTATTAATTATATATAATACATGTATTATGACCATGGCATGCATATTTACCCTTTTCTTTGTCACCTCCTGGTAACTTCTCCAAGTCAATGAGGAGAGACACATCATAACCTACAGACAGTATTTAAATTTGATTAGCAGTTTTCCAAACGGGTGAAGAAAAACTATGTAAAGTCAAATGTTATAGGGTGTTGTTGGAAATTTATGGCTAGTCATGCATACACATTTTTACACAATTCCATTTTCATGACTCACCTGATTCTGCAGTGGTTAAGTACGAGCCATATTCCTTCTGAATCAACTATAAAATTTGAACATCACATAATTTTATTGAGCAAACTACTAAAATCAAGAAGTCATGCAACCAAATTTGTTGCAGACTGTACCTTTTCAATATACAACTATACATACAGTATTTATGGGAATTAAATTCAATTGAAAAATTACTGAACTCAATTTAAGTTTCTAAATTTTTTTGGCTAATTTACAACACACTGTACACTCACCTGATCAGCACCATACTTCTGAAGGTCTGAATAGAACTTCAGGTGAATGCTTACCTATTTAGAAAAGAATAAATTTTTGCATTGCATTTACAACAAGAACTACATAACAGCACAGTTGATATTCCTTCATTAGAAAAAAAAACACAAAGCATCACTGGTATCGGGGTTTTTTCCTTACTTTATAGAAAAAACACACAACATTAGAAAACGGGAAAAGTCAGTTTTAATCCCTCACTGTAGATCTGGACAGTTAAAGCATTTTGTTTCACTATTTACTATTGGGAACAATTATTCAAGTCTATGAAAAAAATTATATTGGGAAAGGCCAAGTAAGTTAAAGGCGATTTCAAAAACTGCAGCAACGAGAAAACAAAATGACTGTGTACTTATTGTGGCTTACACCATGATTGGGGGGGGGGGGAATCATCATGTCCTGTTACGGGAATTGCTCAAAACTTGGACACTTCGTGAAAATGTGTCGAGCCCCGAGAAAACAGAAGGCGTTCCAGCAGCAAGGGAAACCGTTTTTGAATAACACAGCTAAGCAGTTGTGCGAGAACAAAGCAAGTCAAAAACAAGACACGGGAGATGACTCTTCCGATTCAGACTTTGTTTTTCAGGCGGTCATGCCATGCAAGGTTTTATCCACGGTTCAAGTGAGAATAAATGGGATAAAATGCCAAGTGGAGGCAGATTCCTGCTCAACAGCTAATATTATCGATGAGGAACGGTTTCAACTTCTTTAAAATGCTCTAGGAAAGAAACTAAAACTTAAACAAGTGGACACCAAGTTATACGCATACGGTCAGGACAAACCTATACCATTGATTGGCAGTTTTCAAGCTGAAGTGGAAAGTATATAGCATCGGCAAGAAAACGACAACAGAATTCTTGGTTGCTGAAGGAAGAACAAAATCGAGTGATGGGAGCAAATAGCACACAACCCGAATATGTCACGAAGAAACCGAACCAACCAAAAATTGATGCTGTTGAGGATCCGGATGTTAACCATTTGCTTAATGAATACAACGATGTTTTTACAGGTTAGGAAAAGCACAAAAGAATAAAAGCAAAGTTGATCGTGGATGAGACAAGCGTTCCTGTGGTGCACAAACAAAGAAGAATTCCTTACAATTTACAACAGAAAGCCATGGTAGAAGAAAAACGACTGAAGCAAGTGGGAGTTATTGAAAATGTTCCTGATGACCAACCGACTATCTGGTGCACTAATCCAGTAATAGCCCCGAAGCTACATAATCCTGATGCCACACGATATTGTTCCGATATGCGAGTCCCTAATACAGCAATAAAAAGATCGGTCGCACAAGTTCCAACTATGAGTGATATCAAGTTCAAACTAAAAGGAGTGAAAGTTTTTAGCGTTCTTGACATGAACGAGGGGTATTAGAGTTGGATGAAAAGAGTAGCCACCTAGAGGCAACCACAATCTATGGAACTCAGCAAAAGATTAGGTATACGAGACTGAACTATGGTACTGCATTTCTTTGGATTAAAAGTTAGGCCACATTCACGAAAACGTTGTAGAAGGGACTCTAAAGCGGCGTTGTGCTCTTTGTCATTGCTTCCGTACACAATGAAATCATCAATTCCTTCGATTGTGTCATCCATTGTTTATCAAAAATATCTTGGGCTGATATTAGTTTCGTGTCACCGAGACTTTACGGGTAAAGGAGTGAAGCCAGCACCCAGCAAAGTGCAAACGTTAAAGTACTGTAGATGAGTCCGCCAAAAAGTATAGTCGAAGTGCGATCACTTCTGGGCATGGCACAATATTCCGCACAGTTCATCCCCAATTTTTCGGAGATTACTACACCGTTGCGCCAGCTAACACAGAAGAATGTTCATTGGAAGTGGACCAGCCTTGAGCACAATTCATTTGAAGCTTTACAAGACGCGTTGTCGTGTGATTCCGTGCTGGGGTACTACGAAATTGGATGCGAGACCAAGTTAGATAGATAGATCAACTTTATTTAATTTAAGCACACTAGTCCCATTCAGCACTAAGCTGATTTCCATGAGAGGTGTGCTGGCTAATTTTTACAATTTAAAAACTAATTTACTAATACATACAAACTATTATTATATAAATCTATTAAATATTCACTTAAATAAACTACTTAATTTAATAAGGCCGAGGGCGAGGAGAAAAGGTTTTTACAAAACGAGTTGTAAGATATCGAATTTCGAATATTTTCTGGTATTCTATTCCATAATTTAGCCCCACTGTAACTGAAACTTTTTTTTAAAAAATTCTGTCCTGGGCCTTGGAATAAAAAGCCCAGTTGAAGAACCTCTTAAATTATAACTATTTACAGTGTTGGAAGATTGGAAAGATTTGAAAGTTACAGGTAGACGCAGGACCAAACGGACTGGGCCTAATCCTTACACGGAAGACGTCGCACGATAATTGGCAGCCAGTGAAGTGTGCAAGCAAAAGTTTAACTCAAGTGGAGAAACACTATTTTCAAATAGAGAGAGAAGCACTTGCTATCAGATGGGCTTCCGAATGATTGAAAGTAAATTCATAATTGGAAATAAATTCATAATGGAAACACACCACAAGCCTTTGGTTCCTTTATTTAACAACCCTCACAGCAATCCGCCACTAAGAATCGAACGTTGGTTCTTATACCTTCAGCAGTTTGATTTTGAAATCCATAAAATCCCAGAAAACACAATGCCGCTGAATCGCTGATCATCTTTCTTGACATGCAGTGACAGCTACTGTACAGCCACTGAAGAGAAAGGAAGTGAGGCAAGAAGTAATGCTGTACACCACATTCTTCTGGATACGGTTCCAAAGTCAATCACTTTCATGTAGATTCAGGATGCGACAAGAGAAGATAGAGAACTCACAAGACTGGGAATTGATAAAGTCAAGCAAGTATGAATAGTACAACGAGAGATCCGTTAGAGATGTCATCACTCCCTATACAGGTATCCGCTGATATATGTGGGCCATTCCCAACCGGACTGCTATTATTGGTCGTATTCGATGCTTACTCTAGTTACCCAGGCCAGAGATTGAGATAGTGAAAAATACGCAAAGACTACTATTTGTGCATTTGAAAGAATTGCTTCCATGCATGGGATACTGTTGAAATCAAAACAGATAACGGAACTTCTTTCCAAAGCGTAGAATCCGCGCAGTTTGCTAAAGAAAAAAGGTTCAAGCACCGAAAAATCACGCCTGTGTGGCCAGAGGCGAACGGACAAAAGAAGAATTTTATGAAGAATATTGGTAAAATTACCAAAACCGCTCGTGTTTCAGGCAAAGATTGGAGAAGGGAAATATGTGTGTTCTTGACCAACTATCGAGCGACACCTCATTCTACAGTAGCACGAAGAAATGTCTGTACGAGCTGTTAGTGAACAGATCGATCAGAACTAAAATTCCAGAAATTATCTCGAGCAATTCTTCAGTCGAAGTCGCAAGTAACGACGGCAAGCCTAAGAAAAAGATGAAGATGTACGCTCACTTTTCGAGGGAAACAAAGGATCATGGTATACAATGTGGAGACATTGTATTAGTACGTCAAAGAAAATGGAACAAACTCAGCACTCCATTCAAACCCATTCCGTAGAAATGGTGAAAGGAACTATGGTTACAGCGAGTAGAGCAACGGACGAGAGGAAAATAACGAGTCTAAACAGTTCTCCTATCAAGCAAGTAGGAAAATCATCATTATAGCGAATTTCAAATTTATGATTCCAGACGCGGATGAAGTATCCTGGGATTTCGAAGATAACAATCCAATAGAAATGGATGAGGCAACAAGTGAGAGCCAGGCGGAAAGTGAACCACATACATTTCAACACAGTGGACGATCAATGAGGAGACCAGCATGGACTAGAGACTATGTAATGTATGTATCGATCATGTAGTGATCTGCATTCGTAAGATACTTTGCTAAAACTAATAAGTATGTATTAGGACAACATAAGACAACAACGATTTAAATATAGTTCATACCGTAGTACTTTTTTCTGACAGTTTGGTTGTTGTAAGCAAAAAAATTGGAAAAAAAAAACTTATTATACACTTAAGCCCATTTTCCACTAGGCGAATTTGTTCACGTGAACAGTAAAAAAGTTGGAACTGATCCAACTTTTTCGCGGTGAATTTTCCCGCTGACCAATCACATTCCCAAGAGTTGTTTTTCACTTTGCGTGAACAAATTCGCCTAGTGGAAAATGGGCAACCTCGTTCCCAGGGCTTTTCCCTTTTTGTCATTGGGAAGGCGGGAAAAGGCCCTGGCACCGGCCGGTCTTCTATGTGTTCTGATTGGTCAATGACAAGTATATTATTATGCAAATAATGCAATCTTGGATTAATTTATTCAAACTTTGCGATAAATTAACATTTTCACGCAAGGAGTGTCTATTATAATACTTTGTCCGTCTAAGAAATATTTTTGGGAAAATCTGTGGCAAAATTCGATAAGATTTATACACAATTTATCGAAGGTTAGTGAGATTATATTGTGAGAGAAGATTAATTGTGTACTAAAACACACCTCTGAGGCTCTGACCGAGTATTTAGGGCAAAATGTGCCTTCATTGGCTTCGTATAGCGTTAATGTTTATATTTATAAAACTAAAGTCTGGGTTTATAAACTGAAACATGACCTTTAGTTTTTGATATTCTTCATAGTCGAGTTTAAATTGGCCTAATTTATAGTTAGTTACCACTAGAAATGCGACGATATTTTGTTATATCATATATGCAACAGTGTTTACAACTTTTGAATAATATGTGATTTGGTTTTGTTTCAGATACTATTACATGTTGCTTCATTTTACCATAAATTGTGTAAAAAAGTGATAATTTGCTCATTTGGCTGATGTTACAGTTTTCTGATGTGTTTTGTTTGGATGATATTAGAACAATTTCAATATGAAAGTGCAGGTGTCTTTAGACAGGAGCCATAATGTATATATCAAAATACTGATAAAATCCGTTTCCAGCTTGATTGTACTTGCATTGTTGCAGACAAAGTTGTGCAATGGTGGGCTTATGTCACATACTTGTATGTAATTCCATGTGCTTTGATGCCTCAAGAGATGCTTCGAATGTGTAATAAAGGGCTGTTCGCAGGAGTTGGGCTGTCTGGCCTTAAATTGCATTGTTTTTTATGATATTTTAAGATTGTATTCATATGGCTGGACCATCTTGCCATTGCCACATGTCTGATTTTCAAACAGGCTTTAAAATCAGGTTACAATGCATGCTTGAAAATATGCAACAATTTCACTGCTAATAATATTCCAGAAAATCCTGCCTCTTGGGCAGATCTGGACTGATTTGTCAGAGGGGGTTGGAGGTTTCCTACTTGTGATCGGGCAAGGGGAGCTAGCCAAGGGTGCTGGGTCAGAGTCAAACTCATGTGAACAGCTTCTAAGTCCTAATTATATTGATAAATTATGTACACTTTGGGATGGTAATGCAATTTGTAAAATATGCCACATTTTATTTAATAAAATTTAATTATATAAATTGTTTTTGTTGTTTATATTAACACCTTGGACAGTGTATATTTACACCTTTGGACCCTGTAAATAAACACCTTTGGAGGGTGTACCCATTCTAAGCCAAAGAAGTTTAAGAACAATTATCAAGGTATTTGCTCTCCATATACATGTAATGCATGGTTCAATTCTTGCTTTTACCAAGTAAACCCAGGGATTTTCAATGTCCTCCTCCTCCCGTAGAATTCACTTGAAGTGACTGGGGCAAGGTAGCTAGCTATATATAAGTAGGTATATAAAAGTCAATTAAAATTTACAAATAGAGCTTTTTGAATATAGACCATTGCAATTTTTTTTAAAATTTGTTTAACCCTTTATAGTGGCAATGTGCCCTACTTTAGTATATTACTCCGTCTGATGCCAGACAATTTTACTCAAGGGCAGAATGTAGACTTGCCACAAGTCGACCTTGAACAAAACGTCGGCTCACACTCGCTGCTTGCATTCGTTCAAGGTCGACTTGTGGCAAGTCTAGGCAGAATGCTGCCACTCAATAAGTTAATATATTCTCAGAACAGTTACCATCAAATTAAATCTATTTTGCTGGCAAAATTGCCTTGGAGGGGGTCCTTGATTTGTTGAGTCTTTTTTTTGGGGGGGGGGGGATGAGTGTTGTAAAAAACAGAATAGCAACCGGTTTCAGAATAGGAAGAATTGTTGTAATATAGGTAATATAACTCTAAGACAAATCATCCAAAGGAAGCAATCATTCTAGCTCTTGTAGTGTATGTTGCAACAGGGATGAATTTACTGGGGGGGGGGGCTGTGCACTCCCCTAGCCCTGGCCAGGGTGGGTGCAGGGGGGTTCTATTTTTCATGATAAAGCAAAAAATTATTACAGGCAAAATGAGATACAGTAATTTGAGTAATAACATGATGATAAGCGAGCTGTGAACAACAATTACAATTCAAATACAGTAGTAAAGCAAGACTTTGCAGTAGTGAAGCAAGTTGATGGGTGGGCGGCACACATGACCGACACAACTCGGCATCAAAGCTGGCAGAGCACCCCCCTACCAGATCATGCTGGATCCATCCCTGTGTTGCAAAATGTATTTTCTTCATAGTCAGGCATTCACATGAATGAAGATTAGAATTGCATCATGTTATATAGTCTTAAATATTTAGGAGGGGTCTCCATTATTAAATTAAGAGATTAAAAAGGGGTCCCATGACATTTTGACATAAGAATCACCCACCCCACCCTAGGGTATGAATGGTCACTTAAAGTACATGCCATCTTCTAACTGGTTGGGCACCTTGCCCATTTTGTTATGGAAAATCTATTCCCTACCTTTATCCCCTGGGACAAAAAATTCAAATCAACTCTCCACCCTGATAATGTGCCGATGGTAACAGCAAGAATTGAAGCAAGCAAGCTTTACTGGAGTACATACTATTATTAGGAAGCATCAATTTGCACATGCTAATTTGCCAGTCATGACTTTAAACATAATATTTCTTATCTCATATAGAATTCTTAAGGTCTTGTTTACATTTTACTGGAAGAAAACTAAGATGCATATCCAATATTTGGGTCATATCACTCATATGTTAGTTTTGCAACTTGCCAGCTTCAACAACATTTGGCTGCAAGGAAAATGTAAACAAGGAAAGAGCATATAACACTTCATCTGTGTTTAAAATATCAATGAATAAATATTCCAACCATTGGCACTTTATAATATAAGTGACATTCAACAAATATAGATCAATAACATATACGGTATATGCAAAAACATTTCTTTGAATCACTGTATAAAATATTCCTCATAAACTCGCTCCAATCGTCGCACAGCAGAGTCTTTGAAGGGTAAAGCCAAGTTTAACATCCCCAGTTCAAAACACTTTCCGTGTCCTCTTAGGCAAACCTGTCCAGCTGGAGAACATCTGTCGTAATACTATATTTTGGCTCAATTGGCTGTTAATTTTGTTTAGCGAATGAACGATATTTACCAAACCCAGTTGGAAGAACAGCAACTACATAGTTCCCATGTAATAAAAGCTGAAGAATTTGATTTCGAGTACGTCGGTAGCAAAAAGAAGCCGCTCTAAGCACTTAAATTTTGTGGACACTCTTAGGTTGGCGGCCATCTTGGATTTTCTAATTCATTATTATTATAATTTATTACACCCACTATATCTGGGTGTTGAAAGTCATGTGACCGGCCGGTGCCAGGGCCTTTTCCCGCCTTCCCAATGACAAAAAGGGAAAAGCCCTGGGAACGAGGTTGGAAAATGGGCTTTAAGCATATACAGTATATAGACGGAACTCTGAAGAAGGAAGAAATGTACTGGTACAATTTAACCAAGCTTATAATGGATTCTTATAGAAATGTTAATTACTTATTAGTATGTATAAAGTATTCTTGTATTGTAAATAAAGTTGTTATTTGTCTTAGACTCTAGGGATGAGCCGATAAGGAAAATTGCCGATTACTGAGGCCGATTATTTATAAGCCGATTATCATAACTAATCGGCCGATTAATCGTTACCTGCCGATTATTTTAAAAAGCAAGAAAAAAATCACAAGATGACCAACAATGAAGTTGTAAATGCAGTTTTATTGTTTACAATACACACTAAATCAGCTTCAATCTCGCATGTCAACAGTCAAAGTTTAGTTTTGGCAGATTATGGTGTAAAAACAGGATATTGTCAGCTTTATGCGGAGCTGGTCTGCTGCATTATTCGGTGGAAATATCCTAGCCTCACTGAACACGTGCTACTAATATATGCATTTTATTAGAAATATCATGCAGGATTCGTTTAAGCCAATCAGAAAACAGAATATGGTATGACTCAACCACAGAAACTCAACGTATAGGAATGCGTTGGTGTTTTAACTGATTTTGTCCCAAAGCCATGGACTCGTGTGAGACGAAAGATGCGGGTTTTGTAACAAAATGTGAAAATCTATTCGCTTCTATTCAGTATTTTAGCATGTGCTTGGCAGCTGCAGAAAAAGTCTTATGGCCGATTATTTGCCGATTATCGGGCAATAATCGACCGATTACCGATTATTTAAAAAATGGCCGATTAATCGGCTTTGCCGATTATTTACCGATTAATCGGCTCATCCCTATTAGACTCTAGTGAGTAACGACATTATAGGATAAAACTGCTCAAAAATATTACCTGTATACAGCCCTGATACATTCAAGGAAAATGCTGAAACAATGTATTTACATAAACACCCTTCTGGATAGTATACTTAGCCGTGGCTATAAAGCCTCATTTTCGTGTTTGAGACATTGGCTTTAGTGCCCTTTATCTTGTTACTGATTACAAAATTATAAACATGCCTTTTATATTCACGGATGCATTGTGTTGTAAATGTGTCACCTGTAACAAGGGCAAGACTGAGCACTCTCTGAAAGAGTGTATTCAGACAAACTTGGGAAGGAGATGATGAACTATTACTTCAGACAGTGTCTCACAGGTTTAACACATTAACCCTTTAAGTGGCAATGCACCCATATACTCCCTACTTTGTTATTTACTCTGTCTAACGCCAGACGGTTTTACTCGTCAAGGGGAGAGTGCTGCCACTCAATGGGTTAATCAGTCTATATGCCCATGTACCTTGTTAACCCTATAAGTGGCAATGCACCCATATGCACCCTACTTTGTTATTTTACTCTGTCTAACACCAGACTATTAAACTCGTCAGGGGGAGAGTGCTGCCACTCAATGGGTTAAAATTTAAAACTTACTCTTATTTTGCTCTTTTCCCCATCCGGGTTGGAAACGTGGAAGGAGACACCATCAAAATCTACAATTTTGTTAAAAATTAGACAATCACAAACAAGGTTAAGGTTACATAAAAATTATTAAATTCTATGAGAGACAGGGACCCCAATATCCTAGCTTACGACCCTTCATGACGAGGGGACCCCAGCTCTTGCCAGGCACAGCCCTAAAGTGGTTACACAAATCTCGAGGGACCAGTTTACCATGTTCGTGATTTTGATAGTAGAACATTTATCAAGCATTTATCCTTCTGTAAAACACTTCCTGTTTCAAGCAAACTGTTTTGATCACATTGTAATTAAATGTGCATGCAAACGAATATGGCAGCTAACTGTAATTTGACTCAGAGTGCATTCTGTGCTAACTGTATGACAAAGATACACCAATATTTACTGAAATAATTTGCCGAAGATCTGCGGAGTCCCCTGGAAGTGGACAAATCACTGTTGGACTATATTGGTAAATAACTTAATTCTTGGCTTGAATTCACTTTTAAAAACATATATATCTGTTCTTTGACACAACATGCTTACCTGCAAATGTTATGTCGATTGCCTCAAACTTTTCGCTAAAAAGAACAAAGTCATAACTTTTTATTAAATCTAATATCCAGACAACAGTATCCTATCCTTTTTAATACAGACAAATGAAATTCAAATGCTTTGCAATATAAATGCCTTTTCAATCGCATTAAAACAAATACTAAGAGCTTTATGCTTACCTTGAGAGTTTAGCAGTTAAAATTTCTTGTAAAATACGGTTATTCAACTCAAGAAGAATCATATTTTTTGCTGTATTTCTCAACCTCCTTTCGAAATATCAAAGATGGCGGAAGAGAAGGGCTTGGTGTATTTATTTTCCGGTTGAATCGGAAACTCCCGTAAAAGGTCGGAGGAACCTGACTAAAAAAGGTATAAAATCAATGATAAAACACCCAAAACTGGTCTATTGGTCCAATATGGAAAGTGTTCGCGTGAAAATGTCTATAAATATTTTTGCTTCTCTTGAGATTTGTTACAGTAATACCAATAAAATTAAGTTAAAAACTTCTCAGGCATGGAACTGAAATACTGAATTACTGAAATGAGTGGGCCATTCCAGTGCTATTCGAATCGATTTGTGGGCAAGTCTAGTCGCCTGCCATGAATTAATACTTCATGTACATTTACAACTTCCATCAGGGCGTATACTTCTATGATTTCAACGCATAACATATATAGTGACGTATATATAGTGACGTTGTTTTTCCACCACGTACTATCTAACTACACTGGCCGTCTGGCCGAAAGAGCCAGTGTTTTAAAATGGCCTAGTTTCTGTCGTTGTTTTCGGTGGCATTCCATCAAGGCATCACAGGCTCAGGGTACCGTGCTCCCGAATGACAGTTCATCTTCAAATATTGATATTGTCCATTAGTACAGTGTCAGTGGTGCATTGCTGACTTAATTAACTGGTAATTTGCAGAAATTGTGTATACCTTGAATTATTGAATATCATTGAAACTCAACGACTTCATTCCAGGGCCTTTTTTTAGAATTCGACGTGGGGGAGGGGGCATCTACTAAAAGGGACCATACTATACTACAATACTGAGTGCATAGGCGTACCGGGCGGGGGGGGCGGTTGCCCCCCCAGTTTTTTGGGCAGTCGGGCAATATTCGATCAACAGTCGGGCAATTTTGGTTTGCAATAAAAAAAAATGGGACAAATTCTGTCAATTTTGTCTAAAATTAAGTCAATTTTTTGGAAAATTTTGTGATTTTTCGAAAATTTTTGTTATGTTCCGAAAAATATTGGTTGTCCGGAAAATTTTTTTACCCCTAAAATGGTACACTGACCGAAATTTTTTTGGCGACGGGGGGGGGGTGGGGGGGCGGGGAGGTCGCCAAAAAAATTTTCCGGAAAAAATTTTTTGGTACTAGTCGGGCAGAATCCCGAAAAGTCGGGCAATTTTCTTTCCGCCCCCCTAATTTTTTCCTTCCGGTACGCCCATGACTGAGTGTGAAGAGATGAGAGATGGTTGTTAGTGAAATTTTGATGTGGTCTCGTATGTTATAGTAGGGGTCTGGGGGTATTCTCCACCAGGACTGCATTAATTCGTGCGTTTTCTGAAACAGATTTTAGGATATACAGCATTACAAAAAGGCCCTGCTATATTCTTCGCCATTTAACATCCATGTATATTTTGGTTGATGACCATAGTGCTGATATAGTAACTGGTGATCGTATTGTAATGCATTTATTACAGTCAACCAGGCCTCCTGCATCCCTACCCTTCTCTTTTGCAAACCGCCAGCTACGCAGGCTATACCCGACGTTACTGCGCAAGTTGTTATTTTGAGGCCAGAGTTAACGCCTTAGCTGGCGTCTTGTTGCAAATAAAAACGTTCTGACATTTGTACTGAAATAGGGAGGAAATTAATTACCGGTATTGCCTGGTTTTCCGTGGCTACTAAAAATCTTAAGTTGCATCCTGCCCACTCAGACGTCTCCTCCCAATTTCCTCAATGGGTTTTTGCACCAAACTGCGTACGTGACTGTCGGTTAGACTGCACAGCCGCAGTGCAAATGACTTGTAACTGACACGTGCGTGCTATAACATCTAATTAATCATGCGCGAGCGTAGAATTATAACATCATCTTAGATTTCGCACTTGAATATATTTCTCTTTGGTCATGACCCTAGGCCTACAAGTTTATTTAGAAATACCCTATGCCCTGTTATCTACTACCTAATTCATTATAATAAATAAAATCTCTTCTGCTACTACTATATATTAATTAAGTATAAAGTAATCCTTTTCTTCAATATTACACATATTTTATTTCAATTTAATTGATAGTATACTAATTTAGAACACATAAAATGTTTTTAATGCATGAACATATGATGAATCCGCCTGCCAGAACAACCTTGCCACCGTAACAAGATATAAGTAGTAACCCAAACGTTTTGCCCAGGCAAATGAAAATATGTACTCCGCCACTCCGGAAGCCATATGTCCTCGGCATTTCGCCCTGAAGGCAAATTGTGGGGGCCACATAATTTTTGTCAAACTGGGCTCGATTTGGGTTAGTTCATTTAAACCCTATTCAAAAGCAGGACGTGCGAACCCGTTAGGCGAATGTACACTCCGAAAAACTAACCCGGGTTACAGTTATGAGTTAACCCAGCACAACTCCGGGTTACCTTTCATAGTGTACAGTAAACAGAGCTAATGCTTCGCCTACACAGGTTGGCTTGGCAAAGTTTCTCTAGTAGCCAAGGTCCATATTTCAAAGAGAGAAAATGTCTCACATTTAATCATTTTCTGGTTTTCCCAAAGATGATATCAAGACCAAGTCCTAGGAAAACAAAGACCACCCCGACCCACTGTCTGGAAACAAGAGCGTTGCCGTAAAATAGAACTGAAGCCAATATCGTAAAGAATTTTCTTGTTGTTGTTACTATTGAACACGTCAACGGACCAAACGTTGTCACTGTGATAAATATAAAGTTCTAAAAAATAACAGAAAAATTCATCAGTATTTTGGAAGTAGTGAGAGCAGTGTATAATAGTGCGCGCGGTTAAGTTAAAACACGGATACGGTCATACGGACAAAAAATGGCGGGAGGAGCGACGGATGGCGGAAAGTCTGTGAAATGATAAAATTATGACAAGAGATAAACAGAGATACGATTTTATGTACTATATATAGGAACGCAATTTTAATCTTTTATCGTTTTATTCGCGGATATGAGCCAAGAAAACTTGTTTTTTAAATGTAAGCCAAGAAAACTTGTTTTTAAAATTTGTATCTAATTATATACTCATGGTATGCAAAGGGTAATATGACATAGGCATGGAAAGAATATGACGCGCTATTACAGCCTAACCCGTAAGATATAAGAAGACAGAGCGATTCGAATATTGATATAAAAATTATAGAAACCTACAGTACCTGGCCCAAAGCACTTGCGATGCTAAATGACAACATATTTGGTAAAACTGATGGGTGACGTTGGCAAAAAGCGATTGAATTCCAAATTTCTCCAGTCATGAAGACAGCTTTGCAAAAAAAAACCGGGTGTTATTTATTTAACTACAGATATAAACGTCATTAGATAGATACATTACGCAGTACAGTACGCAATATTTAGGGAAAAGTTATGTGAAATCAACTGTAACGGGATATCTTTATAAAATGTATATTGTCTTGGCGTTTTCCCGGGACAAAAATAAGTGGACGTAATATAGACGTGACCGTAATAACGAGGAAGACGTAAGGCGGGGTTCCATTGTAGTTGTATCCCTATCAATCCCCAGCTTTCATTTTATCAGCGCTACCTATACACTAGCACAGACCGTTATGCGATTTTTATGCATATAATGCAAAGTGGGCCAAAAGGACGTTACACACAAATACAGTAGCTTCTGCAAAGTGCACCACTATGGTTACCACAGAGTACAACAGCATGCCTCTGTTGTGTCCGAACTACCCAAAATGAAACGACTTTTTGAGAGACGACCCTAGGTCAGGTTTTTATTGCTATCTTTAAAGAGCCATCGTTTGAAGACTCAATAGCTCAAAATCAGGATTTTTGGGTATCTCACTCGATATATAGAGCTAATTGTTGAAGGGTTTTGTAGATGAAATTTCAAATGCCGCAGGTTCGACTCCTGCCAGAGGACCTACATATAGTTTCATTTTTGCCAAATTTCCATCTACAAAACTCTTTTAATAGCTCAGTTAGTTCAGGCACAAATTGTATTGGCTGGCAGCAACCACAAAGTACGTCCTACAATGGATGCTCATGATTGCGTAGCATCGGCAATACAATAGATTCATGCCCAAATGGACCATTTGCATTATAGACTAAATTTTGATCTAAACAAGTCTAGACGAAAATTTCATCACAGCTTGAAAGAGCATCACAAAATTAGTAATATTCCAAAGTTACGTTGCGAAATGTTGTAAAATGCGGATAATATAGCCTTGCGAAGTTTGCCGTTTTTCAGTCATTTTGTATTACAAACGGGAAATTGACAGCCCCAAAGGGTATTGGGCTGTCAATGCGGGCGTAATGAAAAATGACTGAAAAACGGCAAACTTCGCAAGGCTATATTATCCGCATTTTACAACATTTCGCAACGAAACTTTGGAATATTACTAATTTTGTGATGCTCTTTCAAGCTGTGATGAAATTTTGTCTAGACTTGTTTAGATCAAAATTTAGTCTATAATGCAAATGGTCCATTGGAAATATTACAAAATCTTTCAAAGCATTTAAACTGTACTCACCAGTCCCAAGAATTAGAAAAGAACAAATGTTGATTTTTTGCATCATGTAATGTGAACGTATGCTATGTTCTACCCTCATTTTATCCTGTGTCGCTCCTGTCATCCCATCCAAAGTCAAGGATACTAACTAAAGTAAAATAAGAAGTTTTAGTATTGCAGTACATGCAATGTCATGCGACAAGAACAGGCAAGAGAATCAATTTGTACTATTCTCTGACTAATGGTTCGATCAAAAGAGGACAAAAAAAATTGACCATTGAGTTTTATCACCACGTTCGCGAAAGGGAATCGCGACTATGAGTATCAAATGTTAGTGAACAAAGTCAACATGTAATGTTTTGAGTGTATTGTATTCACTTACCAATAACAATTCACCTAGTCCAATTATGGAATCACTATGTTGATCAGTTTTCTGCTTTTTCTTAAATGTGTAAAGAAAACGCTGCTTAACAATTAGATACTAAATGGTTAATAAAAAATTTATGAAACAAGATTTGCCACTTTAGACAGGGTAAGAGATTATTTGTGTACTTTCCCCTTTTACAAGATTCTTAAATACACAACGATTCGATTTGTAAAGTATTTGACAGATTTAAAAAAATCCTTCTCACTATTTATATTCTGACCAGCCTCAAACGTTGCTCGTCGAATTCATTAAGATGCATTGGGGGACAAAGGATGTCCGGCCAAATGATGGATTTTCAGATCCCCCCCCTTGTCCGGCATTGTCCGAATTAGTGACCCACCCCCATCCCCCCGGACATCCGCCATGCCTCGCAAAAACTCACGCAACCTTGTATATGTCAAGAGTAAAAAACTTTTTTTATAACAGACTATAAATGTGAATACAAAAACATATAAATTATTAATTAAAACAAACAACTGTGTTACTGCAACAACGGGATGAACTTATTGTGTAGAAAAGGAGAGTTATACATGCAGAAAGCTTTTATTTGACGCCACTGTTGAATTCATCATTGAAGGAAAGAATTAGATAATATTATGAAGTGTTCAAAATGCCAATTTCACAATGGGAAGGAGAGTTCAAAAGAGAGGAAAAAGTAATTTGTTTTTGAATTATTTTTAATTTCGGACATCCGGATTGCTGAAAACACCCCTCCCCCCTATGTCCGAGTTTGTCCTGATTTTCCAAACCCCCCTCCCCTCCCCCCTCGGCTCGGACATCCTTTGTGAATGGCCCCTTGTACATTCCTATAATTTATTTGAATTTATTTCTAACATAATTTCTTACAACTGCCAAAGTCAACTCATGAAGTTAACATGATAAAAGAGCATGTTGGAAATTTTCTCTTCAAGTTTCTCTGAGAATGGTTCTGTCAGTATTAGGATCAAAACACTGCACGGATAGTGTTTAAGTCGACGCGAAAAGGGGTAGGTATTTTTCTAGTCTTAACTACCTTCTATCTAGTCCTAACTATCTCCCTTCGAGTTAAGCCCTTTTCGAGTTAAGCCCCTGCCACGCCCTTATTCGCCGGGGTGACAAGTGACGGGTGTATACTCGCAAAAATATTGGCAAATAAGGATCGGGGGAGAATGTAAAATTTCCGCATTTCAAGAAATATATAATTATTTTACTTATTAAGATCTCTGTTGCTTTGCCTACAGTTTTATACAGACAATGACATCGTGAAATGAGGGAACTCAATAAGGATTTGTACTAACAACAGCTCATTCAGGGCGGCAATTACGGCTTTAAAAAATAAATAATATATAGCGGCACTTGCAGAACGCAAATCTTATAGGAATGTTCATATGGAGGCAAGCTACCTTTCTAACCGATTTACTCGGCAACGACAAGATCTAAGACTAGAATATTATGTAAACTCGTTTATAGTTTTCCGGTGACTATTTACATGACATAACCGAGAAACTCATCTTGCCAAGAACCCGTCAGGGAGAGAACAGACAGAAAGGACAGTAGTCAGTAATACCGGCAGCCGGTCACGGTTATCGAAAAAACTAAATGATTGGCAGTCACTATAACATTGGAGTGATATAAAATGAGTTTTTTAGAAGGACTTCAGCGAGCTCGACAGCAGCTCAGAAGGTTCGGCGTGCGACTGCTACGTTCTAGTTCCTGGGTTCGATCAATGTCAATAAACAGTGTCAATAAAATCTTGAATTGAATCGATCCAGCTTCGGGACATAATTTTCTCGACTTTGCAGCCCTGAATGAGCTGTTGCAAATCCTTATTGAATTCTCTCATCTCTAGGGTATCTCACAAAGCAACAGAGATCTTAGTATAGTAAAATATATTTCTTAAAATTGCTGAAATTTTACATTCTCCCTCGACCCTTATTTGCCAATATTTTTGCGAGTATATACACGCGTCACATGTTTACATCCACCAAATGTCGGGGCTTAACTCGAATGCTTAAATCGTTAATTGACTTCGAGTTAAGCCCCCGGCGAAAAAGGGCGTGGCAGGGGCTTAACTCGAAAAGGGCTTAACTCGAAAAAGACCTACTCCTGCGAAGATACATTTTTAGCATACTTAAAATGAATAAAACTCGCCCCCAATCTCTGTTGGCTCGATAGCTCTAAAGTGGCGACCGGAGCCCCGAAGGTGAGAGATCAATATCCCCGCTCAGGTCAACTTTTGAAGTTGACTTTGGCAGTTAAAAACCATGTTGTTTTTGTCTCCATGTTTCTCTATAAGATAGTTATGTAATAGTTTTTATATATTGTCGCCATTATGAGGTAACTTACTGTAGTTACAGTACCTCATACTTCTATATTCACGAGATATATATTAGGCTCGATCTGTTCCCTACTGTGAGGTCAATGTACTGTAACCTCAAATTTGTGCATACATTCTTTGTATATACAATATTGTTATTGTTAAGCAGATTTACTTACATCTTTATATAAAAATAGCGCTACTCCACATACAATCATGAGGACAAATAAATATTTTGCAAGAGGGTATCTCTTTTTTGCTATTAGTACGCCAAGTAACATTACTAAAAATAGCGATAATAGAACCTGTTAGTTTTAACACATTAGCCTACATAGCTGCACTGTACAGTGTAAACGACATATATTGGACACAGAATACAGTATACAAACCTGGAATTGGTTTAACAGATTTCCCCAACACCTGTATAAGGTAAAGGCCAAACATATAGACGCTACATGTATATAGTATTACAGTAAAAATTGACGATGGAAGTACTATATAGTAACAATTATTAATAATCTTAATGTCTGCTCTTGCAAGGGCACTTATAAGGTTATATACTGTCAGTAGCGTGGATGCTTTTCTTTGAGAAACATTGAGATTCAAGGGGATCAAAACTATTTCCTATTTTAAGTGATAGAAAACAATCATTCGCACAACACTTTTAATTATTTCATGAAAGAACATGTTTGGTAAATTATTTTCATTGATAAAAAAGAACCGGCTAAATGGTTTCAACAGCATTTCCTTTTGCTTATTGCATTTTTTTCTCTGTTAGATTGTACTTTATTCTTGTGATTGACTGGACAAACGTTATTTCGTATTAAAGTAATCTCATGACTCCTTATGGTCCAGGTACCCGGACATTTTGCCGAAAGACACTTTGCTGAAAACAGAGATGTTATTTCGTCAAAATGTTTGGGAATTGGGACTGTGACTAATTTCTTAACCACAGTTATTCTCAACCATTGTGTATAATAACCATGATATGGTCATTAGCAGTGCATAATGGGTCGTTAGCAGTGCATAACCATACTGACTATTGGTACCGTAGGTTGTTTGTGCAGCGGATGACTCATTTGTTAGGAACGTGTTTTGACGTCAGGTCGTAAACAATGTACTGTCGAGCTATTGCTCATAATTTGCAGAACAGTTATAAACATACTTTTTGTAAAATATATACATGGTAAACTTTTACCTTGACGTTCATGAATGATGTTGAATGATGTTATTCTTTATATCGCGAAATTTCGGTAAACTTTTCAAAAACTTGAAAGAATATAAAACGAAACTACTTCACTATCAAAGTTTCTGTCATCAAAATCGACAATGACTTTAATCACAGAAACTTTGACCGTATAAGCGAAGCTTTAAAGTTCAGAAGATATCTCTATTTTCGGCAAGTTGTCCATTCGGCAATATGTCCGTTCGGTAAAATGTCCGTTCGGCAAAACGTCCGTTCGGCAAAACGTCCGACGGCAAAATGTCCGTTCGGCAAAATTCTGCAGGATGGTCCATTTCTGAAATAATGTACTGGAGCCAATAATAGGGCCATTTATACGGGACAAAATAAGTCGCGTCTTACATAAGACGCGTCTTATATAAGCTGAGTTATCGCATAAATGGTTCTCTACGGATTTATTCTTATTTACTTGCTATAGCTATAATGTTGTTTCGGTTGTTTTTGTTTGAATATGCAAGGCTAATAATTTTACGTTGTTTCAAGTTTCGGGCATGTGTAGTTAGAATTTTTGTTTAAAATTTCTTATTTAAGACGCGACTTAAATAAGAACAGCTCAAAAGTCCTGTTCTTATGTAAGACGCGTCTTATCCAAGACGCGTCTTACATAAGAATTTTGTAGTACCTTTTATACGACAAACTCGCGTCTTATTTAAGTCGCGTCTTATGCAAGTCGCGTCTTATTTTGTCCCGTATAAATGGCCCTAATGTATCGTGCAACAATTTTCCACTTGTATGCTGCCTGGTGGGATACATTCAGACCTGCTAAGAGGAAGGATTTTACCCCAGGCCCCAGCTCAACGATGTCCTAGAGGTCCATGGGAAACGTTTGCCCTGGGCCCCACACAACCTCTCAGTAGTTGATACAAGTGTAATCATTATGTTGTATCGTATCGTATCGTATTGTACCCGGTGAACTATATACATGGAAGGCTGACTTCAGTCAGTGACGTAATCAAAAAGTGAAGCCAAAGATGGCGGATTTTGAAGGCATTCTTGCGCGTCAATCTCAGTCTCCTTACCCGCGCGGCCAAACATTTTTTTGTATTTTCGATTTTTCATGGCGGGAAGTGATGGGTCCGCGACTCTCGGGTTGTGTTTTTCTTCATTTTTTTGATTTGCTTGTTTTGCTTTCTTGTTTCTATGGTGTTTTTCAGTTTTCACCCCATTATTTAGCTTATTTTAGTCCGTTTTCCTGACCGATAAAACTGCTTTTTAACTCCAGTTTAATTCCATGCATGTAAGAAAATTTTGTTATTTATTTTCTATTTAGTGGTTTTTACTTGGAAAATAAAGAAAAATATAAAAGTTTAGTTGACCGCGCACGTAAGGAGACTGAGAATGACGCGCAAGAATGCCTTCAATTTCCGCCATGTTTGGCTTCACTTTTTGAGCTCGAGTGAGCCTTCTATGTTATATTATTGTTCAGTGATTGTACCAGGCCTCGAATTTCCCTGAAATCAATCGACGGCAATGGCGTTAAAAATTGCCGTTGAACGTAACAGCTGTCTACGGCAATTTCGGCAGTTCCAACGGCATTTTTTTCAAATTACTGTAATAAATATTTAATTTTATTGTTACTTTGGATTGTTGACAAGCTAGAAACATGTTTACGTATTTCTTTAGTGTTTTTTTTTTCGAAGAAAACTGAGACTAAAATAGTAATTCAGTTACGCATGATTTGATCAACATCTAAATTCAAGTATCAAAATAGTAATGCACAGTGAATAGTATAAAAATTACACTATACGGCAAAAATTGCCGTCGTTTCCACATTGATCCACGGCATTTTGTTCTCCCTCTACGGCAATGGACCTATTCCCTAATGAACAAAATTTTGATCTCAACTAGTCTAGACAAAAATTTCATCACAGCTTGAAAGAGCATCACAAACTAGTAATATTCCGAGGTTTCGTTGCGAAATGTTGTAAAATGCGGATAATATAGCCCTGCGAAGTTTGCCGTTTTTCAGTCATTTTGTATTACGCACGGGAAATTGATACCGCTTTCTGAAAAAAGGTATCAATTATTCAATTTCCCGCGCGTAATACAAAATGGCTGAAAAACGGCAAACTTCGTAGGGCTATATTATCCGCATTTTACAACATTTCGCAACGAAACTTCGGAATATTACTAATTTTGCGATGCTCTTTCAAGCTGTGATGATCAAAATGTTGTTGTCTAGATCAAAATTGTGTTCATTAGGGAATAGGTTCATTGGCACAAAATTGACTTGTTGTTAGTAAATAAATGAATTTGAAAGGTGGGTGAACAAATAACTTGTTGAACAAATTGGGTGAACAAATAACTTGTTGTTAGTAAATAAACTAAATGTAGATATCAGTGGCAATTTGCTTTCAAGTAGTGAACTTTACCTGTGTTGGGTAGCTAACATATTGCAAAGCAGCATTACTTGCAAGCATGGCACCAACATATGAACATGCACACCAGATGTACAACGTTGTTGGTGTTCGATCAATGTCTGATGATGAATATGTCAATTTGATTACTAAAATGAAAAAGCGAACAGTTAGTAAATAAATGTGTACCTGAATCATGTACATTATCTGGGTTAGAATATTATCATCTAATCATGTAATTGCTAGACATGATTTTTCATTGAGATAACACATTCTATTGAGAATTACAATGAAACCTCAACTAATTTCATAATTTTACATATTTTGAAATTAAAGGAAAATTAAAGGCATAAATTTCTGCAAAGCTCACAGGCACAAAAATACCATGTAAACTTTAGAACATTCTGTCACAAACCTGCTGTGGCAAAGAGAGCATTGACTACACATTGCATAAAGACCAAGGTCATGGGATAGACAAATTTTTCTTCTTCTTCGCCATAAGGTACCCTAGTTCTGTAGTGTATTAATAAGAACTGTTATTATTATATCATTGGCTGGGAAAAACTACACTGTACAATTCAAGCTCAAGCTAAATTAATGTGATTTTGCCTCCTATATATCTAAACACTATGGTGGTGCAAGCATATACTGTCTAAATCTCATCTGAGAACGCAGTATCCCACTATTGACTGGTCAACAATAGAATGGGTGCAGTGCGTGTGCCAGACATTCCAACTCTCCCGATTTTACCGGGAGTCTCCCGAAAATTCATGCAATCTCCTGGTCTCCCGATTTTTATGAAATTCTCCCAATTTTTCAGAATATTCAGGAAATATCGTAAAAAATCATAAATATACTGTTTTTAGCACCATAATAGTCTGTCTTGACCGAGATAATCTAATTGTCGCGGGTCGCAGGTTTCGTTCGCGGGTTTTTTTTGCGGGTCGCAAAATTTTTCGCGAGTCCCCAAATTTTTATTCCGGGGACTAATTTCATGACATCTGTTTTGTCCAGGCAAAATCTTTTAAGGATAAATAATGCAACTAGCGCAGCTTCGCAATTAAAGTTTATTTTTCAAAACCAGAAGTCATAACCGAAAAAATATTAGCCAAAAATTTAGCCCAAAGTTGATTAATACAGTGCTTAGTGCTAAGCATATTTTATAGCAATCCTTTTACGAAGTCATATATCATGCTGTTGTGGCTTTATCAGAAAATGAGTTGCCATTAAGAGACAAAAAAGTTCTCAATTACACTGTCAGCGTGCATGGTTTAATTTTACTTAGTCAAACATCAAACATATAATACAAAGACAAAGAAAAGTCAAACATGCAGTCTGCCTTCTGAAGCCGAATACAAAATTCTGAATTCTTTACGTGTAGTTCACGATTTAGCTATAATTATTCATGAAGTTATTTTCATAACTAAGCCTATGTTGTTGTTTATATTTTAAAGAGAGACTTTACTCCCAACACAAAAAATAATGCAGGGAAATGTGAAACGTGCATGTATGCATGATTATCAGTTTTAGGCAACGTTCTTTACGCTTCGACCAATCAGCGATGGTGTGCATTTGTTCCACGACTTCACATGATTTTTAGGGATTTGACCTTTGGACTGAGTTTGGTTCTTTATCGATTCGTTTTTCAAGAACAACGTGTTTTAACTCTGTTTTTCTGATCCGGCGTGAGGTTACAAAATTGTTGGCGTAATGGCGTGAGATACACTCGAAAAGAAGTGATTAGTTTGTGCCTGATTTAATGGCCACATGTAAATTGACAGTATAACTACACAAATCACCATATTAGCTATTTTCAATACTTGGATTTAAGTCCCCAAAAATGAAAATCTCTGATGTATTGGTGTAAAGGATCATACATTTTGGCGTATCTTCGGCATAGAGTTTACATGGAATGCATCCTGGGATTGGGAAGCTGCGCTATAGTTGCATTATTTTTTTTTCGCCAATTTCAATGGACTGATTCCAGCTATAGACGAAATTTTAATCTGGGCAAAGAAGAACGAAATCCATCACCACAGGTAGAAAGAGCATCCTAAAATGGGCTCAAAAGCGGTGCAAATTTCTGCACGTAATACAAAAGCATTTACAACATTTCGCGACCAAACGTACTGTGCAATTTCACTAACTTTAAGATGTTCTTTCTTGCTGTAGTGATGGATTTTGTTCTTCCTGTCTGGATAAAAATTTAGTCTATAGCTGGAATCATCCATTTATCCTTAAAAGATTTCGCCCCCCGGACAAAACAGATGTCATGAAAAAAGACCCCGGAATAAAAATTCGGGGACTCGCAAAAAATTCTGCGACCCGCAAAAAAACCTGCGACCCACGAAAAATACCCGTGAACAAAACCTGCGACCCGCGACAATTAGATTATCTCGTCTTGACCTTTTTATGAAGTTACTTTATGGCAATTTATAGGATCATTTATAACAACATACTCCCAAAATGCAGGAAATGCCATTTCAGAAGACTTAATTTTTATTATTTTTTCCCAGAAGTACTAGATTTCAATTCATTGAATAGTCTCCCTAAATTTTACCTCCAGTAGTTGGAATGTCTGGCGTGTGCACATCAACCCAATCTCGTTCCCCGAGCCTGCAATCCTCGGGAAGGAACGTGAGGCTCTGGAATAATCTGTTTCAGGGAGGAATCGGATTAGCCGTTGAAATGGAATGCGTAGTTCAATCTTCTAGCCAGGATTCCTGGCTTCCGGTAACAGATTATCCCAGAGCCTCACGTTCCTTCCCGAGGATCGCAGGCTCGGGGAACGAGATTGACATCAACTGTGAAATTCCAAAGTTAATTTGATTAAACTTTTTTAATAATATTAATTATATATATGAAGGAACATTATTTATGGTCAGTCAAGAGTAAATTTGCCCGAAGTACAAGGCAAATTAAGATATCAAAATCTTTTTCCAACGAGTTGATCACTCAATATTTATAGATACTGTAGGTCTCTCATTGGTGTTTCACTTGAACATGTCAACAAGAACTCATTGACAATGATTGGAATTATTGTCTGTATTTACTACGCTAGTCGTAGAATGCCAAAAGTTTACTAGTAAAGAGTTCATAAAAATTCAAATTAATAAACCTGTGGCTATATAAAAACAAAAGTACTTTTAACTTACATCCTTTCTTGAATAATGCCATAATAAAAATAACAAATAAATATTCCTGAACAACAAAGGATTAGTTTCTTTCCACTTTGAGTCGGAAGACTAGGCATATTTTGATCGACTTGCACTTCTTTTTTACCCAATTCAATGTTAGATATATCTATATGGGTACTGTGATTATTTACAGCCATTCATCTGAAACACACAAAATCAACAGGCCATCTGGAAACGGTGATCAATGAATGAACGCGTTGTCTTTCCATTGGTTGAAATTACTACACTTCCGCTTTACACGTGTATTTTGTTCACTGATTTTGTTCGACGGAAGTATTCACGTGATACTTCGTGTAAGCTTGTTCGCACTTCGCAATCAAGTCTTCAAAGTTCAAACTTTGAAAAAATCAAAAATGTCATGCAATCTCAAACTCAAATATTATTTTGTAAAATAAAATTTTAACAACCTTAGTTTCAATTTTTCTTTGTTTATTATTACATCGATCAATTTTTTAAAAATCGGGGAACAATTTATAGTATCGCTGGCTCAGAAACCGTTTATGAATACTGTGACATTGTGACAGGTTCGCATATTAACTATATATATATTACAGTAAATTACAGATTTACAGTATACCGGTAAACACCATTCTAATTCAGTCCAAGAACATGCAAAAACCAACAGATGAATTAAATTTTTATAGATTGAAGCAACAGGTATATTTATAACCATTTATAATTTTATCTACAATGCTGTAAGCCTGTAATTTAATAGTTTACACAAAGTATATATCATGTCCCCCAGCTGTGGCCAAATTATGTTTACAAGTAAATTTAGAAACCAGACTGCAGAGTATGGCAGTTGCACACCGGAGATTTATACTTCAATTAATTCGTGCACACCCGAGCACTTCGAGCGCCGGAGGTGCAAGCCAGCTAGAGGGGTCCAGGGGCATGCCCCCCGGGAAAATTTTGAAAACTAGCCTGGGGGGGTTGATCCCCCCGGTTCTGAAGCCCCCCAGCCCACTATGGCCCCGATATTGCCTGCCCTGATGCACCCTACATTAATTTTACACTGTCTAATGACAGATGATTTGCTTGTGATGTTACTCTGAGTGTATATCCACACCGGGCAAGCTTGAAAAATATACCTGGCCACGGTGGGAATCGAACCTACAACCTTTGGACAGATGATTTTATTCCTCAAGGGCAGATTGCTGCAAGACTGGAAATTTTGCAGTGCACGTAAAAATTCATGCATGTGAGCATTTTCATGAGTGTTAAGGTGGCTCCCTACAGTTAGTACAGTTTAAATACGATTTATATAGATCAGACTTCATCCTCGCGACCTGCGCGTGGAATCGTGTTTACTGTTTGGCAAAAATATTGAAACAAGCCGTGGGAAGTTTTTTGGCGTTTTTTATCTACAAAGAAAGCCCCAGTTTTTCATTATAATCCTATTTTTTTTTTCTGAATTTGAACAGTACGTATGTTATTAACTAGTTTAACCTATCTTTTAGTGTGTTTTTACGTATTTACGTTCAGTATTGTCTTTCATATTGCTCAAAATTTTCAACTTGTTGTTTTGCGAGCTGTCAAACTGAAATGACACTGTCTTCTATTAACTCTTGAACAGTAGTGAACTGTTGCCGAAACTTATAGAAGTTCTGTCAATCAATTCAATTTACAGGTATCGTTTTATCTGCTAAATCAAATAAAACAGTTATGAGTTGTTTTATATGAAAAGTTAAACTTGTAGTTCGATGTTTTGAAAAGTTTTCACACCGATTTTAACAACAAAAACAAATGTAAACTAACACTGGATTTAATACAATGCCTATAATAGTGTTTTTATTAGTATTTTCAAGATTAATATTTTATTTTCATGTCAAACAAGTCAGAAATATCTGTTTTCTTATGTATTGTAAGCCAAAAAGTTGAAATCACTATAAATCACACGCTACAATTTACACGCATGCGCAGATCGTGCTCATGTCGAGTCGATTTTTTTCATGCTGGCCACGCCGATTTTAGCGATGATTTTCTCGTGTTTTCTTCGGTGAAATTTTTTTAAACTTTGTATTTTTGTTATAAAAGACAAGTGGTACAACATATCCAAATTTTAAGAAATTCTACAAATAACTTTTTCTGTAACCGTCATTCACGAATATCTCGAAAACTTATTTATAAATTCCCTTCAAATTTTGATGTTTTTCCTTTATGGACCATAAATCTTCAAAAAAAAATTCAGAAAAATTCACCGAAGGAAAATATAGATATTGTCAATTTATTGTGAAATTAGACAATAAAAGTGCAAAAGATTACACGTCATGGTTGCCATGGCAACACAAACACTGTTTTAATTTGTTCATAAATGGACAGCACACAGCTTCTGAACTTTCCTGGAAATGATCATATTGCCTTGTCTTAAGTGTATCTAATATAAATTCGGTTCAAAGCGAACGATACTCAAAATACCTAGAATTTTAGAGAACTGTAGGGAGCCACCTTAAGTGTGCACTTGGCCTGTGAAAGATATATTAAGCTTTTACATTGCACAAAAAATGCTTTGTGCACATAATTTTATGAAATAAAATTCTTCTTTTCCCACGTAACAAAGTTTCCAGCCTTGCTGTACGTCACTCGATGAGTTATGCATCAGTCAAATCCAAGCATGCCCCTCCTTCCACCCCTGGGCCACAGTGGTTTTATGAAATAAAATTCTTCTTTTCCCACGTAACAAAGTTTCCAGCCTTGCTGTTACGTCACTCGATGAGTTATGCATCAGTCAAATCCAAGCATGCCCCTCCTTCCACCCCTGGGCCACAGTGGGACGTCACTCGATGAGTTATGCATCACTTGCCTGTGTAGCACATCCCAGGGGAGAGGCATTTGCGTGCAAACCTAAAATTAATATTCTATTTTTTTTAAAACCTGACTAATAATTTATAAAAGACAACGTAATCACACCATTGAGTTTCAAATCATAGCTTGGCTTAATTATTTGAGAAAGCATGATTGAGCTTTTCCTATCCCCATGTAGTTAAATTAATGCTAAATTGCTAACAATCATAGCCCCTACCAAGTATCCAAACCACCAAAACCAAGTACAAAATAATTTTTGCAGCATTATTGTTGCCCAAGTTCTTCAATCCAATGTCAGAAAGTGTAGGAATTAAGAGCATGAATTTGTCAAACTTTCCCGGAGGAGCATAATTTCCTCTAGATGCCTCCTAGACTTCAGCACTCCCCCTCCCCCTAACTTTAAATACAGTATCTTCCTACACTACAGCATGGGTAAATTTTGGGTGAAATTATTTAAAGGCACATTTCTATTGGAACAGTTACCCCCATTTAAGGCATTATTGTGTGGTTGCGAAAAAAAAATTTCTCCACCATCTTGATCGCTTGAGACCCCTTTGGCTTTGATTATGTTATTATTGAATTTCTCGTATAAGATGCAAAAAATGGACTGCAAAAAATAATACTCTATTTTTATTTCACATTTTTTTCTTGTTTCTCTAAAATACTTCATAACTAAAACGAGGAAGCCAACACCAAGAAAGAAAAAGGAAAGATCAAGATTGGGTACAGGCTACCTGCATTCCCATCAAGCTTTGTCGCTTTTCAGTTGCGTGTATAGGTCTCGCATATTGTGTGAAAAAATGGTGATATATAATTCTTTCATCAGTTTTCTCGGTGATAAATTTTCAGGGATTTATACAGGGAGTTAATTGTAGTAGGAGAGCTAGCAGTCCCCAACTTCCACCAAACCCTCCGCCCAACCTCGTACACAGGGCTCTCTTTGTGCTGGCACAAAGAGAACCCTGGGTACGAGGTTGACCCTCCACCCTCAGAAAATCCTTAATATTGTCTCTATGAAATAACATTTCCTGCATTCAGATAACATCAGGGATGCCAGAACTGGGGGGGGGGCAGGAGGGGCAGCTGCCCCTCTTGCCTTTTGCTAGGGGGGGGGCAAGGGGGGTAGAAGTGCCTTTTTAGTTGTAAAATACTACCTGATAAATCACATTTCCAGTGATGCTTTTTCGGGCAAAATCATGAGATTCAGGTAATTTATAGGCCCAGAGAAAGTTAATTTACAAAAATAAGTGCGAATTTGGAAAAGAATGAGGTTAATTTACAAAAATTTTAGAAAATTTTTGGATTTTAGAAAAAAAATTTTGATAAATGGAGAAAATTGCTGATGTCTGGAGAAATTTTTTTACGTCACGAAAAATTTTGGTATGTCCGGAAAAATTTTGTGACCCCTAGAATGGTACACTGACCGAAATTTTTTTTGCCACGGGGGGGAGGTAAATTTCGATCTTTTGAGGTGCCCTTTGGTGTGCGTCTGCCCCGCTTTGCCTTTTTATCGTTCCGGCGTCCCTGGATAACATGCATTTTTTAGCAATTGTTTCACCGTTTTACAGGTATTGAACGATCAAGTACTTTCTTCCTTAATTACAATGAATTGACAATGCCACTGACAATTTCTTCAAATTACAGTATATTGTGGTTTTTGTTCGTTTTTACTGCAGACACTTCCGTTACACGTTTTGATTTTCGAACGTAATAAAAGGATAATTAGGACTAAGGTTAATTAATATCTTAGCTTTCATTTCTGCATATGTTCATGGAATAATGGGCCGTACTCGTGTCAGATTCCTTCAGACACCATAATGGATAGCGGAAATGGACCGCCCGCCCGTGTGTAATTTGAAATAAGGGCCGGACGGGAAACTAAAGTCTAATTTTGGAAAAGAGAAAGATTGAGTTTCAGAACTTAATTGAAACCTTAATTTACTGTATAGGGTACTTAATCTACTTAAGACCAAATTCTAGCTTTTAAAGGGAAATGGCAATATGTATTTTTATTTTCTCATTTGAAAGAACTTTACGGTTTTTTTCATATCTTGCTTACTTCTACACATATTTTGATCGAAAGGAATGAAATGTCCGCCATGCATGTCACGTCACAACACTCAACAGGGTTCACGCAATATTTTTATCTGGACAATCACTAATCATTTTGCACTCAAAACTATACTCTGTCTGCCCTTCGAAATATCAAGATCACTCAAAACCTTTGAAACATCTACCAATCAATACTTGGTCAGCAACGAATACTTTTATATGATTAATCCCTGTTGTGACGTCACCAAAACTACCGTTAATGATGTTACTCGGAGTGTATATCCACACCGGGCGAGCTTGAAAAATATGCCCGGCCACGGTGGGAAACGAACCTACGACCTTTGGAATACTAGCCCAATGCTCTGCCAACTGAGCTACGTGGTCAGGTCGGTTCGAGTAAGTGATATTTCGGAACAGAATCTAGAACATCACAAACATATCATATTCACCTGAGTACACAACACCAGCACAGAAAAAAATACCGTTAATGAGATCAAAAATTTATTCAAGATGGCGGACACCTCATTACTTCAAGTGAAAATATTTCAAGAGACAAGAACTAAAGGTGGAGTGACACGAGCAACAAAATTACTGCAACTTGCAACAAAGTCTGATTTCAACGCATGTTAAGTAGAAATGTCGACACATGTTGCCTTGTGATTTGTAATTTATGTGTCAACGTTTTCAATTAACATGCGTTGAAATCAGATTTTGTTGCAAGTTGCAGCAATTTTGTTGCTCGTTTAACTCCACCTTAAGCAAGTCAAAATAAGAATTTATATTGCCATTTCCCTTTAATGGTAATAATTTTCCCGCAGACTACATAATGATTATGCAGGCAAGGCTTGCTGTAATTCCGAACTTTCATATTTTGAAAATTGTCTTCTTCACATATTGAACTTTTAGACAAATGAACTCAATGTGTTGAGCAGTGAACTTACATCACTCAATCCATCTGCAGTATGTATCATATTTTGTCATGTTTTGCATGATTGCTGATATCTGTGTTATTCACTTATTCTATTATTTCATATTTTTTCATTTCGTCTTTTTGCATGTTTCTGTTTAGTCAGCTTGACTTGTTTGTTTGTGACTTGTTAGGTTTACCAATGCAGGCCTCATTGTCGAAAAATCAGGTTGGGAAAGTTTTGCATGCTGCCCTAAAACAAAATCAGGCTTGCAACAGGTCCGCAAGTTTACGTTTTCAATAAAAGTTCCTGCAGTATTTATTGCCGACAATAACATTTCTTAAATGTAGCTAATTGGCTGAATGAAAAATTGCCGACTCTATGTCACTTGTTCTACATTTTATTAGCCGTATAGTTTGCTATTAATTGACCACTTGCGTAATAGACTAAAATTTGATCTAGACAAAAATTTCATCACAGCTTGAAAGAGCATCACAAAATTAGTAATATCCCAAAGTTTCGTTGCGAAATGTTGTAAAATGCGGATAATATATAGCCTTGCGAAGTTTGCAATTTTCAGTCATTTTAGATTACAAACGGGAAATTGACAGCCCAATACCCTTTGGGGCTGTCAATTTCCCGTTTGTAATCTAAAATGACTGAAAATTGCAAACTTCGCAAGGCTATATTATCCGCATTTTACAACATGTCGCAACGAAACTTTGGAATATTACTAATTTTGTGATGCTCTTTCAAGCTGTGATGAAATTTTTGTCTAGACTTGTTTAGATGAAAATTTAGTCTATTATACGCAAATGGTCCATTGAATGCACGAGTCATTTGCTCTGAATTTACAATAAGGAAAAATATAATGCAGGTCGGCATATTTTGGCCGACCTGACACGATCATGATTGGTCATGCAGGTTGGCATTGCCGATTACCGACCTTGAATTCCGATGCCTATTACATATTTACCGTAATTGATTACTTGCTCTTGTGATCACTTGTTTACTTACCCGTTGTTTCCAGAAAGTCTACAGACAACTGGGAAGTGGAGGTGTATTATTTTTGGCAAATAAAGCGACTCTAGTGAAGGAAACACAGGGTAACAACAATGTTGATTTATATTTGTTTAACCATTAATTTATTTCATATATCAATGATTGACAGAATTGACTGTTGAAAAACTTTAAATAACCTTTTTATAGTTACAGATTGAAGTTAACTGTACAGTAATAATATACTATATTATTTTTTCATCATTACTAAATTTTAATAATTGAGTTGTAATCTACTGCCTGTAATAGGCCATTTCCGAACTACGGTGAGATGCCCACTGACAATAGCCTGAGAACAAGGCTTCTTCTTAAGGTGACTCGATATTAATTCGCCCAAAAATCGCGAAAACCAAACGTTATGAATTATGAACAAACCCGGCGCTTGACCATTCGAGTCCCCAAGAATTTTAACGAAAGGACTTACATACATGTCCTGATGTGACGCCACGACTTGCTCACGCCTTCTCGCGCCATTGTACGTGTTTTGTAACGCATTGCATGTCAATTGCTGACGTCATTAGAAATGCCAATTTTTAGAAAACAGTGCGCTATATATCTCGTTATTTCGTGCGGTGACCTATGCTGAAAGTTTGCACGTATTAAATAGTACTGCAAAAGACTTTCATTATACCAAAAATAAAAAAAAATTCTGTAATGCGAAGAAAAGGCTTTTTATCGAAAAAATCTCATTTTTTCGTTTTTTAAAAAAATTGGCATTACAGAATTTTTTTATATTTTGCTTATTGTTAGTCCATGTTGCAAGTGAAATAGTGCACGAAAAGAAATTGGGGGTCGCTGTGCTTCTTTTCCAACTACACAAACCAATAGGTTATTTTAGAGTGAATTTCGTGCGCGTATGTTGCCATAGTAACGAACTATGTGTTATCAAAACTGACATAAATTGAAAGAAGAAACATCAAAATAGATGAATATCCTGATATCTGCGTCATAAAACCTAAAAGTACGACGTTTAAAACTGTCAAACTTGTATACACCTGACGTTTTGAAAACTGTATCGAGCCACCTTAAGCAAATCAATATGAAGCCACAACTTAATATTACTACAGAGAGCTGGAACGCGTAATTTGGAAATGGCCTGTTAAAGTATTACAATACTGCATGATATTTTGTGATATACCGATACTTATTGATGTTATATACTATTTGCTATATAGATAAGCTTGCTAATGTTCAACAGAAACTGAAACAAGCCCAGGAAAGACGGCAATAATAAAACAATGGCCAAAATTGAATTGTGTGATGAAACTTTACTGGTAAGCAACTAATATTATATTCAACACTAGTAAACTGTAACGGCAGCAAAATACACAGAATGCCGTGAAATCAGTGTATACAGTATATTAAAACATGAAAGTGACGAAACAATGGCGAATTGATGGCTAACAATGCAATCATGATATTTTGTAAATGCTATAACCAGCAAATGTGTATACTAGTATCTACTGTATAATCATGTAATTCAGTATACCTTAAATGACACTATTACGAAGTGTTACCACCTTTTTTATTGCACATTGCTGGGTTTAGTTATACATTTTATGTCAATACTACATACCATGCAACAAAAATGCTACTGCTATCCTATGCTTTTGCTATTAACAACCTTTAACCTTGTATACTTGGAGATATAAAAGTGCAATTCAGACCAAAAGTTTTGTTTGTTTAATAAATTTATTAAAGATTGAAACGAACTTCTCCGAATGTCCGTCTGTTGATTGAAAAATGCAAAATTTTCCTCTTCACTTCACAAAACTTCCTCTTCTTCAGTAAAATGAGTGACTGGCATTGAAATCAATGAATTCACGTTTAATTAATGCTTGAGTTAGCACATTGAAATAATTATATAAATTGGCCAAAATTCGATTGTTGTGCATGAGATTATTTCATTCAGAATGCATGTACATACATGATTTGGTCAGGACGGTTGTTAATTGCTATAATTGTTGTTAATACTATTTATATATTTCGTTTCGTGGCCTCGTTGTACACTGTATTACATGTCTACCGAGTTGCATTTATTTTATTCCTGTACCAAATTTGCATATAGCACGGCAAGATTACTGCCAATTTAAGATGTAATGTAATTTGATACAAACGCTGAAATTTTGCCCTACGGTTAATTTCTGAACTTATGAGCTGCATGTATTCAGTATTTCACAACTAATCTTTTAGTTGGTACCAATATACGACGTTAAATACCACATACGCAGCTGGATATACGAATTTGGTGATCTTGTCAATTTTCGTCACAAGTTTCAAGTCGGTTTCTTTTTTCTCAGAATTTTCCTCATCTTCCTCATTGTTATTTTCCATTCGTGTTTTCTCGTACTTTCCGTTAGAGAAATGTTCCATTGGGGCTTCAGCGTTATTCATACTGGCTCTTGACGTGGGTCGCCTGCTAATGAGCTGACCGTGTTTTAAACAGAACGATTCTCTTTCCTAAAAAAAATCGTGAAATTATAGTAGTAAATAATGCTTGATTTTAATACCAAAAATTAGCATGCAGAGCTTTAATTAAATTACTGATTAAAAAAGGAATGAATTACAATAGTTATTAGCCTATATATACAAATACTTGATTCAAAAGGTTATGTAATTATACATCTTTACCAAAGTAGTTATATAAATTGCCCTCTCAAAAAGGTTATTAATTAGTAATAATTACAGATTTGTAAATGTGAATCGCGTGTGTCAAATATTCTTCTCACACCAAAAATAAAAATAAGCCAGGTTTTATAATTGGTAATTATGTTTTATCTTAATAATTGTTGACCAGACTGATTCACAGCGATACTGTAATACGGGCCTTAATAAATGTATATAAATTTCCACTCGATATTTTCCATCTACAATACCCTTCAACTATACTCAGTTGAGTGAGATGCCAACAAAATCTTGATATTTACCCATTCTGTGAATAGTCGTCGCGTTGCGTCCTGCTTGCTTAAGGTCCCTAATATGAAGACGTTGGCTGGAGAAATATCTCGTTTATTAAAGTGCCTATGACACGAAATTTCACCCCAAATGTTTATGGTTGCATTGTAAAGATCACTTAAAATGACTTAATAATTTATTTTATAGAATTTTGGTAACTTTTGGCATTTGAGAATTTTGGCGTCACATCGCATAATGAGTTTTCAGAAAAGTATAGTTTTCTTGACGAATATACGTATCTAAAAAACTTAAAAATTGCCCTTGTATATGTATTAATTTCATAACTGGTAATTAACCCTCTGTATCTGTTTGTAAAAATATTTTTTCAATGTAAAATATTGCGTTTTCAAAATGTCATTATGCGATGTGATTTCACACCGGTGATATTTGCATGTGAAACAAAGTTGAATATCTTGCAAAGGAAGCAAGTTACCAAAATTCTATAAAAGAAATTATTAAGTCATTTTAAGTGATCTTTACAATGCAATCATAAACATTTGGGGTGAAATTGCGTGTCATAGGCACTTTAAACGTTCCTCGATAAACTCTTACCTTCGCTTCTTTATTATTCTTATCACAGATCTTCAGTTTCTTTTGCAATGCATTTTTTAAGATGTTATAATTAAGTACGAGAATGTATTCCAACAAGGTAACAAGAACAAAGCCAAATGATGTTAGGAAGTATATATCCACAGCTTTAACGTAGCTAACTGGAGGCATGTTTGAGTTAGTTGCTGACCATATCGTGGCGATCGTTAGCAAGGTAGTTAGGCTGAGTGCAACACGAGCTGGTGTTGCTCTGGCATCCACCCAAAATGATAGTCCTGCTAACACCACAAGGAATATACATGGAATGTAGACTTGAATGAGATAATATCCCAAGCGTCTTTCGAAGACAAATACCGCTTTTAGTATGGAGTATTGGCCTGAAATATAATAATATAACCGTTACTAGTTAATATATCTTTTAGGCCGCTAACCGGAGCTAACCGCAGTCGGCAAACTTCAAATAAGTGCTACAAGTTTTCGACAGCTAAGTAGGTAAAGTAGGTATATAATTCATGTTTGAAATCACAAATTGTCCTATTATACTTCGAACAGGGAACAGTTGATCTCAAAGTACTATACGATTTGAAGTTCGCCTCATGCGGACCGTTAGCCGTCTTCTGTGAACGTCAATCTTTCGTTGCCACTATAGTGACGGCCGATGCCTTGCACCATCTTTGGCTAGTACCTGCAATAGGATATGCATGTAAACCTATATGGCATTTGAAAAGTTCGTATATAGTTGTATTTTGGAGACTAAATTTTCTTTTTCACGCCAATTTCACCTTCCTCGCGTAATAATCTAAGGTGTGTGCCTATACAAGTGGGAATTTTGTATATCTTTTTATACCTCCACTTTAATTTTGATTATAAGTTTAAACAATGTGAAATTATGTAACACTATACAGAAGAGGTTTGAAGCTTTAAGGAGGAAAGGCTCCTGGTGCAATAGATAGCAATAAAATATAATTGTTAGCTCACCTGCTACGTATGTGAGGTTGTAGCTCTTCGTATAGTAAGATGTGACGTCAAACTGACTCAATGTCTTGTCCATTACACCAATTGAATTATTCTCATTCCAGACGTACTTAATCAAGTCTGTTGTGTAGGCATCTTGAGAAAATATGGAGCGAAATAAGCTGCGACTGAAACGTTTATATTGAATACTTACATTTTTGACAAAAGATACTCACAACTTAGCAAATCAATGAAACATGTCTGCTTATCCCTTGGGTACTTGACTAGATCCATTGGACACATAGCTTTGACGGTGACCCTGATATAAAACAACAAATAAATCACACGGTGGGCCTGGAAGAACGTTCTTTTTGCCACTCTAAAGCTCGTTAATAAACGATCATGCTGATGCATGAGCAATCGCCTTATTCTGGATGTTTACGTCCTTGTTCTGTTACCACGTTCCCATTGATCGTTGCGCGAAATCGTTTTCGGATTGGGACGGTGGAGTCAGTAGCAAAACGCAAAGGAAATCATGATTGTCTTAACGCCAATTTTGCAATTGTTTTCGGATTTTTGTTTGTTTTCAGAAAAAATATGTCAACACATTGAATTAGTAAAAGATTTATTATTAATAGTGATTTATCATTTGTATTACAATATTTGTCATAAAATTCGGCTTGCGTCTCGTCCTTCAACGTGCCTTTGCATGCTGTTCATGATCAAAATCGCCAAAAAAACAAATTCCGTCATAATAACCTTGAATGAATGACTTTTGAGTGAGATATTACAAAATAATGAAAGTGTCCAAAGAGTGAGGCACTGTGTAGTTGCTCTCAGTTAATCCAAAACGAGGGCGACAATTTTCGGTTGCATTATAATGAGTGTCATCGTAACCATCAACAGAATGCGCATATGTATGCGCCGGCCAAATACCAGAATATATGAGGGCTCCTATAGCATGCCTTAAATTAGGCATCCCTCAAGAATGCGTATAGCAAATTTGATAATGTACATGACATTATCTACCTGGCTTACCTTGTTGACCAAAATACATCTCCATTCGGAGATATATCAATCTTGTGATTATTAGTAACTACTTCATGTAGGTAGGATGTAACAGCATTTTCTATCATAGTATCAGGAACCCAGATAATCTCAGCAGGATGTTTCTTACCCAACGTCATTGTCAGAGTGCAGCCTAGTGAGTTTTTTAAGCGTCTATCTCGCCAATTTGTTCTCAGGAAGAAATCGACTGTGTACGTCTATAAAAACATGTAGAAATTCGACTGTAGAAATTCATGTCCTGCAAACAGGAATATTATGAAATAATTGTATGATTTAACCAAGCAGTTACGATCGAACTCTTGGTTAATAAAAAAAACAACACTTTTTAGGTTAATCATTCAACAGGTACGTCCGACCGACGATTGATTTTCCTGGATTAAATATTTAACCATGCAGGCTATGGTATAGGTATAATAGCAGGATATATATCAATGGTGAAGTATAATTATAACACCCGCGAGGACTGAAATTTTAACCAGAGCATTTTCATAGTTGCAAAAAAGTATTCAAACTTCCTCCGGATAAGTTTTCAAACCTTCCTCAAAATAATGTGAATTATTGGCTTTCTCAATTTGCTAATTATATAAATTATCATTTATGTCATTCAAAATCGGCTTCTCATTCCTATTTCCTGCGGACTATATAGTATTTTAGCCCTGATCAGTTGTTATAGAATAAGTGTTAATTAATAAGATTTGCGACGAAAATTTGAAAGTAGACTGCGAGCGGTCCCTCCTTTCCGCGGGTTTAGATTTCCGGGCATGCGAAAGGAAAGGAGGGACTGCAGATAACACATCAAGAAACGAAAGACGCGTTGCCCACACAACGCAAAAGTCCCATTGGTCGAAATCGATACGCCTGTCAATCAAATCTGATACGTAGTAATTATGCTATAAATAATTTCCAGACTGAATGTTGATTTTATAAATAGACATAACATTAACGGTTCCTATTGGATAGATTTAATTGGATTTAAGTAATGTTTATGCAAAGCGGAGCCAACTTGACAAGAACGAAAAGTAGGCGTATTTCGTTTCTTGATGCGTTTTCGGCGGCCCCTCCTTTCTCACTCGAGGGACTGCTCGCGGTCTAAATTGAAAGCTTCCCGTCACAGCTGGTATAACTTTCAGTAAAATGTCCACTGACAATATACGAGTCCACAGCAGTGGGAGATAATTGGCTACATTTGGCCAACGCGGTTCTGTCCAGAGCAGGCTTAAGAAAAAGGCTGGTAGGTCGACGAGTTTGCACACTTTAAAAGGTAAATTTTACATTTATATGTTGGAAAGAGGAGATTTGAAAAGGTTGAAAAAATAGGCATCGGCTTGAATTACAATGCTTGTCACGTGGTAGGATTAGCTCAATCGTCTTTTCTTAGGAATAGGCAAACTTGGTTAAATTGGCAATTCATGAGCGTCTTCTGCTACCTCTGCTATATCGATGTGTCTTAAATTAAACAATATACATGCTGGACGGTAATATCTTACCATATCTACTTCTGACATATCTCTGAATACAAGAACTGTCATGGCCAACTTAACCTCTAATGGTTTACCTAAACAAAAACATATGTATTTCATTTTAGGTCATTAGCTATTTACAACATCATCTGCATTATATGATAATATGGTACCTGTAATCATATAAAACGCAGAAACCATATGTTGAAGCGGTAAAATTTAATTAAGCCCTGCCTTTTTCATCTGACAATGGTTGAAACACATGTCAACCGTGATATATAACGGCGCCTCTTTAATTTGTAGACATAACCATTGTTATGAGGACTTCTCTTTATGGCTATAATACCATGTATGCATGGTTATAAAAAATCCCTTGTAGAGATATAATGTAACCATTGAGCATTGGACCACCATCTGGTGGTTATAACGAAATCCCTTTGTACAAATAGCCATGGTTGTAATTATACCGACATCTTCTTGCCCACGTTCAGTGACCGATCACATTAAGCATTACACTTCAGTAACCTCGTACCCAGGCTCTTTTCACTACAAATAGCCTAGGTATATGAGATAACAGTATTTACATTACCTGTATAGCCTATAGACTATTTATCTTCACAACAATTGTGATATTACTTTCCTATAACTGTTTATTCTAACCCAAAGTCATGTCAACTTTCGCTGTGGGAGGGAACCGGAGCACTCGGAGAAAACACACAACTTTCGGCACATCTTGACAGACTCATTTCACATATCAGACCGTAGAGGCGCTTGTTCTGGTTATAACACAATCCCTTAATTTGTATTATGGTTATAACGCGTTACACCTGAATTTGTAGACATTATATATGGCTATAATGATGCACTTTTGTAGATATATTATAACGGTATGTGATACAACAAAGGCAAAAACTTAATTCAAACATATTTCACTTCTTGCCCAAGTTTATTTTTATTCTTTAATTAATTAGGGCCATTTTATTATAGGAACGTTTAATGTTACTTCATAGTAAGTGTTTGATAGTATATATAGGTTCCAATTCCTAAGCAATTACTGACGCTCACCTGAAAATATATTTTCATAAACTCAACTTACCGTCATCAAAACTGGGTATTGTATGAACATTGTATTTTGAATTGTTCATTATTTCTTGCATAACAATGGCTGCTTCTCTTGATGATGAACAATACTTTCTAAAATGTAGATTGTAGATCGTTGGTAAAGATTTACTTTCGCGATGGCACATAGATATTATATTGATCTACTCGTCTGGATATGGGTCATAAATTGCGCTCAACACTCTTTGTGCGTGCACTATAGACACGTGTTCCGTGCTCAAAATTAAAGGAAATACACGCTGTAGCAGTTGGATCTAGATTCATAGAGGATTAGGGTAAAGGTCAGTCGTATAGAATTAGGATAAGGGTTGGGATTTGGAGCTCACAAACAGCAAGTTAGTCTGTATACTGCCGCAGCGACATTTTTTTAGCACAATTTTAACAAGGGCTTTATGCCGATTCTATACTGCCCCATGTGAACGGGCAGAAATCGTCCAAATTTGAGCACGGTTCCGAATTCACTTGGTCTCGTAAACTATAGTTGACCATATCCTTGATTCAAATTATTGATGACTTGTACCGCTATTGCTGGCAATACTGGCAAAAATACTTAGTTAAGTATGATTTTTTCTGTGTTAGTTATGTACTATTTAAAAAACGAACAGGAGTGTTTTATTAGGTTTAAAGCCACGAACGCGCAGCGCGAGTGGCTTTAGACCTAATAAAACACGAGCCGCGAGTTCTTTAAATGACTTCAAAAACGTATGCATAATAAGTCAAATCTTTATATAAAATCTTTATATAAAAATCTTTATATAAAAACCTTTATATAGTTTGCATAACAATGGTCTTTTGTTAAAGTGTTCTTTAGCTGGTATAAAGACGTATGCACGTGACTAATTTCTTACTCAAGATTGGATAATTGCTTCATGAATTATTAATAAGTTTTTATATAGATATTATAACTATGGTCAAATTTAGCAAAATTTCTCCCACTCGTGCGGGTTCGTATTGTCAGCGGACATCTTACAGAAAGTGGCCAGTTCTGTGTAAAATGCAAACGTTTCAATTTTTCACCGCAAGTTCGCTGAAAATGCGAGCCTGTGGTACTTGGAGAAAATTTGCTGAATATGACCAGCGTGATAAGCTACAATATCTAAATGATGTAAGAATTTGAGGTAAAATCCTCAACATGTTTCGCGCATGGAAATAATTATTTTTGATCCTGATCCAATCACAACCCTGTCATGCGCGCAACATTACTAGGATATTACATATAACCGAATTCGTTTTGATGTATAGAAAGATTACAAGCCGTACATGTGTTTTGGTAAGAAATTCCAACATATTAGTCCTTAATTCACTAAATTAAAAATCACAAGAAAACAAGGCGGCAGGTATCGAGCACATCCTTTGAAATCTCTGCATCAGATTTGAAATCTCTGCGAACAACCCGGCATGCATGCATGTAAACAATAAGTAGAAACATATGATTGGATGAATCAAGATGAATTATACCGGCTTTTTTAAGGTTCATGGCAATATTCAATAATTATTCACTAATTATTCCTTGTCAAGCTTTATAGTTAATTTAATTTGTCATTAGCATGCAGTACACATGTTAAAGGTATACTAGCCAGTAAACATGCATGTGGAGATGTGGTAGAGGTTTCGCACTGTAAATTCTCATGTATGCACTAGATATTTCTAAGACAATAAATAGCTCAGTTGATTTGCTCCAAAGTTGGTATATACCCTAAAGTTGCCACATTGCCATGAATGGAATTGGTTTGCAACCAATGTTATAGATCGAGGAGGTTCAGATTTGACCACCGCTACCTCTCACAGGCTTTCAAGTATTAAAATACTCATTTCATTGGTTAATCGGGAAGATTAAATGCATCTGATTATATAGTTAATGCACTTAATGCCAATGGTAACGGTATTGGTATAGCGGTACGTTTTAACATTGCGTGTCAGTTGTGTGCAAACTTGTGTCAAACATTAACAAAGAACAACTGAACAAGCCAATTTTGCAAATTATTCACTGAGACAAACGATCAGCCTGATCGTCGTTACTTCATCCTAAGCCTAAGCCAAATTCTCAAAAACGGCATATTTAGCAATAATACAGCTAAACATTTTAGTCAAAGAGCAAATAAATATAACTAGGCCATTCTACGATGAAATCTCTAAGTATTTCCAGTCAATTTTAGCAAATAATTTCAAGCACTAAACAGTGATGAGAAAAATGCATCGCAAATTTCGTTAAAATTGGCGGCGCCAATTTCGTAGCTACAAACGTAAAAAAATACAAAACAAAGGCGAAAAACATTTACCTTGAATACTTTGTCGTAGCTTAGGCATGTTTTTAAAACAATTAGACCAGTTTATGCTTCAATATTACTCTTTTAAAGCGGAAAATATAGCGAAACAACAAAAATGCCGAGAACGCGTGACGTCACATATTGCAACTAGGAAGTTTCCTATCCAGTTATTTTACAATCCATGGTTTCATCTTTATGAAACATGTATGATATGGCAAAACTATTTAAGTTTTGTCTCATTTGAAAGATCTTTTAAAATTATGTGGAAAACGCTTGTAGTTTACTCCTCGAAATAGTTTGATCGAAATCATCATAGTCATGATCAGTGAGCTGTCCGCCATCTATAATGTCCCAAAAAGCGTGGCCGAAACTATATTCGGTCACTATTTCGAATAACAAATTAATTGAGTGACAACATTTTATTTATCTACTAATTGTTATTTAGTCACCTTGACGTCACCAAAACGTACCGCCGTTAATAATTATATGAGATAAAAAAAAAACTAAAAAAAAAACTAAGATGGCGGACAACCATTGTCAAACTATTTCCAGAACAAGGCAAGGTTTTATATATTATTTGGAAACAAACGTACTTTGTATTGCCATATTCCTAAACTATAAATGAGCGGATGATTAAATTTCATCTTGCCATGCCCAGGGATTAACAAAATATGATCGAAGTTTAAACAGTATTGTCACATCACTATAACTTTAAATCATTGACATTAACATGGCAAGAATCCCATCCGGGGCATGAGCTTTGTCATTATCGAGAGTTCTTAATACGGTATAGCCATGCCGCCTGGTGTTAAAACAACATCCCTTCCTTACCTTCTTAGCCCATTATATACATGTGACTGTATGCGGGAAACCTGATTTCTATTTTTCTATTGAGATAGACAAGTCTACTGCTGCTAAGGAGAATAATAATTGAAGACTTGTCCCGATAAAACCGGCTGCGCTTTAAAGCGGTGTCCGTAAGATTTAGCTCAATAATGATTCATCTTACTATAAATAGAATGCCCGTGTCGAAAATAAGACTGCATTTTTCTTCTCATGATACGTTGCGGCGTAAATAGATGTTCGAAAACAACTTGTTTTCGTCATGATTTAACCATCTGTGCAAAGTAGCGATAAACAGTGCAATGCCGATAGCCGTATCTTGTAAAAAATCCGACTAGAGCGTCAGAATGTATACGAAACAACAGAAAAGGAACTGCCCAGGTTCACGTGGAACTCGAGAGTTCACCTGCTCAGGTTTCACCAGTTCTGTTTCATAGTCATATATAGAAGTGCATGTTTCAAGCTTTGAACAACTTTTGTCCTGTTTTAACAAAAAATGGGGGTGTCCTCTGATCCATCCTGAAATTATTTTTCTATGCCCAAAAAAGAAAAATATACTTTACTTTAGATCCCAATATCTAATAATGGAACTTCTAAATCCACAATCCTTGAGATCTTTTATAAGATTATTTCTAAGGGCTGTCTGGAGTGTACTGCATGTTCAATATTACTTAGGTGATGATGCATTCGAGCAGTTTAGTGTGTGGGTAAAAAGCCATATAATCGGTTTAAAGCGATATAATAATTTATAAGCGGTTTAAAGCGATATAATAAGGAATATACAGTGTGGATAAAAAAACTGAACCCTTTCAAATTCAAATTAGCCATAACGTATTGTAGTAATTTGACAGCTCTAATTGCTTTGAATTAATGGTTGGGTAAGAACACAAGGTCTTGTACTCACGGGACAAAACTCAAAGAAATAAAAATTAGAAAATTTAAAAGAAATACTGTATTTCTTTTAGATTTTCTAATTTTTATTTCTTTGAGTTTTGTCCCATGGCCATGAGTACAATTGATAGATACCAGTTCTCGGATGCACCGGAGGATGTCGTATGGTAGATAATAACAGCCACGAGGATAATTGAAATGGTCGAGGTAAGCGTTTGGGTCTTAACGACAGCCATAAAGACTCAATTTTAGGATTCTCAAACTCAGTAAGTCTCTTACAAGTTATATCACAACTGACGCCCCCGCCAGTCGAAAATTCACGGTCATTTCGAAATAGGAAAAAGAGTAAATATTAATTAAATACTCTAATACCTGAGTGAATATTAAAATTCTCTAATACCTAACTCTAATTCTTTATGCTTAGTTACTTTTGTTCTATTCTATTCTATTCTATTCTATTCTATGCTTCTGTAAACTAGAACAATAGTAAAGTTATCTAAAGTTGTGAATTGACGATTCCCCTCATTACGTTTTCGTAGCGCTTTGCATTGTGGTTATAGTGGTATCACTGATAAAGATAGCGGCCTCGAATGAAAATATTGAATGTTTTCGCCAATATTTTGCTGTTAGCTATCGCGCGCCTGACCCTAGCTTTTTTTAAAAGTTCTTGCACGGGCAGGAAAAAAAATAAGCCATCTTGAATATCAGTGACACCACTATAACCACAATGCAAAGCGCTACAAAAACGTAATAAGGGGAGCCACGATGTGAACAACGCGGGTTATAGCCAAACTAGTAGTATAATTATCAATAGAAATAGAACGTCTCTGTCGGAAATACGTCACTGTATTTAGTTTTCTTCTCGTGATCTGCGTAAATGGATGTTGAAGAACAACATGTTTACTTTATGATTTAACAAATCAACTGTACAATGCTAGTAGGCGTACCTATGTGTGCGGTTGGTGCCAGTGTGATGTGAAGGATATACATGCAATTGCTTGAAAAATATAAACGAAACGTCAACGTTTCGAGCGACGGCCCTTGGGAAGTTTGTAGTGAGTTCCTCGCTATGAGATGTGGTCATGTGACTGCGTAGGCGTGTTTTCCACCGTTTAAAACACATTAAATAGGTAGGCGTTTTTTCGTGACTAATTTCTAAGCCAGTGAATTTTAAACATATGATGAGGCAATTCGGTCGAAATTTTGCCTGCACACCCATATGATGTGATAGATAGATAGATATTTTAATTTGCCCTTTTTGCATGATATAAAATTATCAAAAATAATGAGAATATAACATTTGGGCTAGGAGTCGTAAAGAAAGTTCTTGGCCCCTAAGTCCTTGAGTCAGTCTTGACCCCAGGGATCTCTTTGCAAAAAACCCCACAAAATACCTTAAAGAACTACCTTGTCGTTGCTGACACCATGCAATATACTACGTGTACGATGTTATAGAATTCTCTGTGGTTGGTTGATTATAACAATGAAACACAATAAAATTAAAGAATTTTAAATTTTCTAAAGAACGAGTCATGATCACTTTTAACAAGACCTTTGGAAATCAAGCTATTATTGTTGTTGCTCCTGGGAATTTACAGTTGCATGCTTCTAATCGTATATGAAGAAGACTAACTGCATAAAAATTGTCAAATTACTGATTAGTCATATCATAAAAATGGTTCAGCTGACCACAGAGCAACGAGTTCTTACTGTTTTAACTAAAATTCACTTTCGTTCTATTTTATACGCACTCGTGAGTTCAATTTGTTCAGTTGATATAATTATACACCCTGTATAATAATTTACACAATATGGAACAGAACAGTATAATAAATGTGGGTAAATAAATATGGTAAAATAAACACGCGATTTCCGATTAATTAGGACCATTTTTTATATTCACAATTATATTTTATAATGCCATGAATTTAAACAGACACTCATATCCGCAGACAATCTTAGAATTTAACACAATGCTGTTACTTGAAAAGCCATGAAGTACTTACTTTTTGGGCGATGTCCTATTTTGTCCATGGTCCTTCCTTTCCGATGAGTAACTGTCGTGGCCAGTTTTAGAGACCGTCGGTTTACGAGAGGTATTGTTTATGTGGAATGGAGTATTATCTGAAGGCAGTGATAAGACTAAAACTGCATTTGTGAATACGAGAACGAGTGTTGTGTGAAACCATTTCATCTTTTTGTTCTGAAATATGAAAATATAACCAGATATTTATTAAGGTGGTGTACAAAGCAATGCTCAATAGCTCAATGTTAGTATTTCAATGTGCCTTTGAACTGATAAATGCAGTCACGAAAGCATGTATCAGCAGGTCTGTCATTATTTATCATATCAGTCAGTCGGTCAATAATCTGCAGCCATTTTGCCATCTTGGGGCCGATCTCGAAATCTTAATATCCATAACACTGATAAGTGAAGTGTCAGATCTCGAGTATAAACATGACATTCCGTACAAAGTAGAGAGACAGGCTGTTTCATGCATGATCATCTTACGAATTATAATAATTTATATAATAATTTAACCGTCATGCATGCTTTATAAAAACTATGATTATATATGCACAATTGGATTGTTAGCTATATTGGTTACATGGAATGACTCTTGACATGCAACTTGTTAATTAAGGGGTTGTTTATATGAGCTAGTCCATGCAGCTATGAGCTATAGCCAAACTGAAACAAGTCAAAATTGGCGGGGAAACCTGTTTACCAGTGAATAGTGTAAGGAAAGAGTTGAATTCATGTTTTATTGGACAAAATTTCTATTTATAAAACAAGAACAACTTAATAAGAAATAGAAAAAATATCCATAATAAATATTATGGTTTAACAATAATATTATTATTAAATAAATAAATATTATATTATTAAATAATACGATATTTTTAAATAAATATTACAGTAAATATTATTAAATAATAGAAGGGTTTTTTGCCAACCCGATTATACTTGGCTGATGATTTTGCACCGTGGGCGCCCAGTTTGCATGATGCAAGTAATATTAAAGCTGTAGGCTATACATATGGCCAAATATAGCCATAGAGCCTTATAAAGTGTGTTATAGTTTTTAATGCCCGGGCACATTCGAAAATCCTAGTTAGAATCATAGTGAAATTGAACAAGACACCATTATAAGACGCTATATATCTACAACATATATTTAAACTTCTTAAATATTGCTTCCCCACATGTATGCAACATAAAGGTTCAAAATTAAAATGAAATTTTGTACTGATACTCATGACATGGACCTCGAATGGGCCGGGGCTTTCATTATCATATATCGTATAATTATCATTCATTAAATAATTCTACATATCATATACAGATATACATGACTACAGCGGAAGTGAGTAGTTTCGGGTTTTTTATGGATAGTCCGGATCGGTCATTCACACAGCGTATCTCCTCCACAGAGGTATCAGTGAAGTTCCATTCCTGAAGTGCGCATGAGTTTTACGAGGTCATTGCAGTATATCAACACCGATTTTGCGTAAAAAAGCTTCATACTTTCTGACTAATTTAATTACCTGAGAGATCATAAGGGTGAACGCGATAGCAATCTAGTGTAGCCTTTATAAGTGCAAAGAATGCACATTTTTGTCATTATATTATGAAGCCCCATATTGTTTTCGCATGTGTGTTTTCACCATATTAATTATCATTACACTATTTACACATATATACATGCATGTATTGATGTCATTCTTCCAGCATTTGCCCAGGTTGTACTGTTACTGTAGCAACTATAACTATTGGATCGATATGACTTTAGAAACTCGGTTAGTGGCGTAACTCTCTATTCAGATGACATTTTCCGAATCAATTTATCTGAAAACTCGTATACAGCTATTTCAATTAATGTTGTCCACGAGCAAAGCGGAAAAGTCGAATACGATCGCGAAAGGCTGCTGGGATTAATCGCTAATAAATTCATTCATTCCAGGGCGATTCCCAGCAGCCTTTCGCGCTCGTATTCGACTTCTCCGCTTTGCTCGGGGGACAACCTTAATTGAAATAGCTGTATACAGTTTTTGTTTAGTTAAGCGCAAGTTGAATGAAATCATGTAGCAACAATTTAGCGTCATAAATGAGACTCACTGATATACCAACAGGGGCAAATTTTCATCATTCATTAAATTGCTCAAAATGCATTTAGTTTGATATAGAAGCTTGATACCTTTTATATCTTCGCCTGCGCAGTATAATAATGCTATCGTGTGTGCAAGTGTGTTTGCGGTGTGTATGTGTTTGCAGCGCTACCTTTCGGAGACAATTAACTAGTATTTTTTTGCCTACGTCACCTTTCCGAAGATAAAGGCAACCTAAAAATCGTGCTTCCTATAGTCCATATACATTATTGTAACTAGTTCCAGGGCCGGTTCGACCGATATGTCATTGGCGGGGGAGGGGTGAAAACAAAACGTTGGGCTCCTTCGGTGTGTCGTTAGGTTTTGGGCTAGTGGGCTAGCTATTCTGGTCTAGTAGGCTAGCTATCTTCGCGATGCGATGTGGAAATATATGCGTTTTAAGAATTTTGGAGTTACGGGTCAACTTGGAAGCTGTGTGGAGGTTGGGGTGGGGTGGAAGAGCTTACTGGCGTCTGCATGGAACTGGAGTAATTAATTTGCTATCAACTTGAAAAGTACTCTTGAGGCTACATTAGCTATTGAGCTAAATTCAAAACGTATTGTGGTAGTATCTGCCTGAGTTGTACACCTGTTAGAGTTTGATTGCTATTTTGGTTCCCAGGTTACTGATTTCGGGTCGCTTGGTGATCCCTAGAATCTTATGCCTACCCCACTTTCCAAGATACTTGAGCGAAAATGCGCTAAATTTTTACTTGAGCGAAAATGCGCTAAATCATCATCAGAAATCCAGGGTCAACTTGCCTTTGGCCTGCATGGGTCAACTTGCCTTTGGCCTGCAACCTGACAGGGCCTGGACGCCGTTCGCTGACTACGAATTTCCCTTGCCCTAGCTTGGTGTCGCGCGTGTACACCTGTATACGTATATAGTCTCTTTGTATTTGACGATCAAAATGTTGTGCTTTTAAACGAGATAAATGGTAGTAATAATGCGAAGCGCGTATATTTTTCTTGCAGTTAGTGCGGGCACCGAAATATTGTCATGGATCGCATGCAAGCGAAGTTTCTAATTCCATCGCAAATTGTGTGGCATGAATTGCAGTATATTCTTTACATTGCTCAATCATGTCATTGAACAGAGCGATTGTGACATTGCGTCCATACATCAGTTCAGACAATAATTCATTTTAATAAAACTGGTATAAATACTTTAAATAATAGAATTAAAAAAGGAAAATAGAAATGGGAAAAAAATCTTATGCGTAATCTGAAGTTTGAAGCGCGTTCCAGTTTGTAATGATTGGATCTGAGTATCGTAATTTAGAAATGAACACATGGCTCATAAGCCAGCTGTCACATCATTGATAAAAAGATACCACCACTTTCTTGTTGTTAATTAATTTCTTGGATTTTGGAAAATGTTTTATTTTGTAATTCGTACAAACATGAACTCAGAAGAACATGCGAAGGTGCACGGGCGACAGTAGAGATGAAATTGGTCTTGCCCTGCTTATTAATGGCATTCGTTTCGCATGGAGTATCTATAATAGTCACATGTGCACAATTTGAAATAATTCAAGGTGATGATGAAAAATACTTATGTCTGCCAAACGTCCCTTTACGATAAATTGACTAGGCTCTTCGTATTACTTCATGTCATTGATTAAACAATATAACTATATTAATTTATGCTCTTCTCCAAAAAAACTGACTAGTTTCTCAACTGAATAAACTGCATATTTTCAATTTTTGAATTTGGTCCTAAAAACGTATAGCAGTCTGAAAAGTTTGTCTGGGCAATCGTGTATAACCTGCACATGCAAGACATAATCGGTAAACCAATTCTCCCAGGCTCCCATTTATCTCTTTCTGCGGTTGATATTGCTCTCGTATTAGCTGTAAATTATTATTTTAGCTATATAGCTAATTAATTAAAAAAATGTTAGTTAATGTTGCCTTTGCAAACCTTAAATTCTAAACCTTAAACTCTAAGCCTACAAAGCATAATGGGAACATCATTTAATCAGTTTAGAAATCATAACTGGGGTCCATTTCTCAGAGACATGGTAAATATCTCCTTACGAGAACAATTCATTCACAAATAGCTGCAATAATTCAACTACTAACGGCTTGAAATTTGTTCTCCCATTAAGCTTTGCGCGCTTAGAGTTTAAGGTTTAACGTTTAGAGTTAAGGTTTGCAAAGGACAACCTTTTTTGAATTGGCTGTATATACCTTTGTGCAAGCTTCAGAACGACTAGGCTGACAAGGCAGGGTTTAGCCTATAGTAGCTCTCTACTATGCATTCACTGGTTTGCAGGTAACTCTGGAACGGTTGGATATATTTCAGACGAATAAGTGGAAAATTGCATCACAATAGAGAAAATACTAGACTTGGAAAGTCGATGAAAGCATCTATTGCATAGTATTCGCGGTCATATCAAGGAATATTACAAATATAACCACAAAGTCTTATATATAGTACCACCTGATATCAAACTATATGGGAAACAAAAACATGGGACTAACCCACACTACATAAATCAACCACCGAATAAGCTGGCCGTATACAATATTATTCAATACGCAGGTGATGAGGGAAGACCAACTTTTTCATCATAAACATTAAAAATAACATAGACAATGAGGCATATTGTACTTGCTTCGAGTCCTGTACATGCAATATATACCCATGCAATTAACCAGCCCCATGTATCACCGGCTAAAAAAATACGTTGACAGTATTTTACAAACAATCAATGTTTGGTTCCATTATGAAAACCTTGTACAATGACCATTGGTTCGAATGTACGTTTTAGTTGAAAAGTTTGTGTGTTGGTCCCATGGTTTTGTTTCACATGCCCGCCCCTTGGTATTTGGAAATGGAATAGCTCAAATACGAACCACATGGAAATTAAGAAATTGAATGCTGGCAATAGTGGCAATACGTACATAATAATTATGGCATCACTTAAAAATATAACACAATTTAGATTCTGAGGTCAGTTTATTGCAATTTCAGACTGTGTGTGCTTTTATAGATCATATGCAGGACACACAAAAGGAACAAAATCTTTCCTTTTATCTGATTGGAATTTTTAAGATTGTCATCAATTTCGATTTTCGAGTAATTTGTGCTAACCGATCACTTCAATATATACCAATAGAAAAGGTAGACCTCTTCTTGTGGTTCACTTAGTAATGTTTTCTGAATTCAATTATAATCAAGGCGTAGGCTTTCGTAAGGCTAAACACGATTCGTATTCTGGCGTATTAAAATGAGTGCTGGCGCCATAATTCATTGCCGTTTCGTTAAAAAGAAATTTCAAATGTAGCCAGCTTACTCTACGCGTGTTTACTCAATGACATACGCCAGAAAACGAATCATACACGATTAAACGCAGCGTGTAGACGTAGTTTAATACGGGAGTTTTGCTTGGTTCATTTAATTTAGCGCACAGCCCTACCTTTAAATAATTGTATTGTGCGTGCTAGAAGGTTTAAATACTTCTTGAGACAATACTGGCAATGTCCACTTATATAAACTTTTAATTATGGAATAATGTATTGAAATCGCTTTATTTGTTCAAAATATTAAGTTGAGCTAGTGAATATTTTATGTTTGTGGCACATAGGCTGAACCATATAGCCTGTCAAGATATGATCTGCGGGAAGCCCGGCGAACTTCAAAGCCACAAAATAGAAGACCTATATGTTTGATGTTGAACTGTACCTCATCGTGCACGAATCCTTTGTCCCCACTTTATGAATATTAACTATCCATCATTGTTGCACGTTTCACCTCAGCTATCCCTATTGGAGTATTGCTTCATTATGTGAAAATTCAATGAGCTCGATTACCGCGACAGTGCACAAATTAACATAGAGTCTCAGACAAAAACATAGTACAATGACTTCTGTTTAGTTTCTAGACCATATCTAGATAGACGTCTGCTGAACATGGCTGTTATCTTGTACAGACATTTTAATCATAAAAAATCACTATTTAAGAATTTCCACTCATCTTAGATATAATACAGAATTTTTTTTATTATTGAAATCGGCATTTGCTATTGGTGGACACAAGTTTTAGTTCGAAAGTTTGATTATCGCTACAGGGAATCATCTTGGTTACCACCCATGCACTGATATTCTGAGATAAAAATTGGTTGTTAAAAACAAAATGATGGCAAACAAGAGAATTCAGATAAGAACGCACGTACAAAAAAATGCTGATGATACGTTGGACACTATACTTAATGATAAATCTTATACGATTTTATGCGTTGGCGTATTTTATTGCAATTGTGGATATCTATAAAAAGCAGTTCGCAGATTGTGTGCTAATTCACGATATTTGCATTACAGATGAGCAAAGACAGAAAATAAAAGATAGCATGCCTTTTATCTGATTAGAATCTTTCTGTTTTAACATTGTCGACAGTTGCGGTCCTACAATTGGAATGAGGATGGGTTGCAGTGTGTTTAACAGCACTACAAAATAAGTTACGATGCCGGATGGTTACAAAACATAGTTTCTTCTTCGACAAAATCCTAATCTTTCCCAAGCTGGCATGGCTAGGTCTCGCTACCCACCCTTTGATGGCATCGAAAATGTAAGAAATAATGTATTGTACATGTCCTAGATATCACAAACGTTCAGGGAAATATCACAAACTTTCGGACGAACAAGTTCAGTCTGTGTCATGTCATCATTTCATCTGCACTATGTCATAAAAGATAAAGGAAAATCTTAAAATCACCAAAGGATTTATGTAATCTCTTATAAATTATGTATTGCAACGCCAACAAATCTCAGTTTTTTATTATTTTCCTAATATATACCCTTTTATACCTTATTAATATTTTGATTAGCTTGCATCTGGGTGAAGAAAGAATTTCGTAACTTTTGGATTTGGAACTGCATGTTAAACTTTCTTTCCCAAAGTGCGTGCAGACTTATGAGTTTCCCAATTCCGTGATATTTATGCACGTTATTTATTTTTGTAGGTCCAAAATGACAATAGTTCTAATAAATCTTATAATTTTTACTATAATAATTTAATATTCTTCGATTTATTGACTCGTGACATATCATTTCTCAAACGTAGGGCTGCATGCATGGCATGTTTTTTGTTCAGAACTATCCAAAGAAAACTTCGAACCGCTCTTAACTGCTGATCAACGTACCTTTCTTAAAAAATATTGGAATCTTCTACGTTATATTTATATAGCATAAATAGATTTTTACCACTTCTACCATGAGCCCCTGGCTCGAGTGATTGGGCAACCACACTCGACATTAAATAAATTATTTTATTATATAGTAGAGAGTGAGATACTGAAAAATACACAGTGAGATATTTTCCATATCTTCACTAGTGAGGATATCGATTACGTGACTTTTTCCAATTTGCTTTTGAGCGTGAAATTTCACAATTTTTTGCTTGGGACTATATAATAAACAGAACATTACACGGTGGCTTACGAAGATAAACTCGAAGATAGAAGTCATCTATTCTTAAGTATATCATCCAAGAAATTCTTTAATCAGTCTGTTCGTTACGGCTGACAAAATAAATTTAACAAAATAAATGTTAAGTCTATAATATATAGTCTTGACAAGAGACAATTGCTATATAAATTATCAAATTCCTTCAAAACAGAACCATTTGAAAAGTTAGTTATATAGGAATGCAGGGGAAGAGGGAATAACGAGATAGAATTTTTTCAAAAAATTTGCAAATCTGAAACAATAAAATTGTAAGTAATGATAAATACAAGCATCTAGAATGCATTTTGGTTTTGCGCTTTGTACAATAATCAAAATAAATCAAAACAATGAGTGACTGCATGCGTAGCCGGAATTGCAAAAAAAAACAGTGAGACTATCAAAATAAAAAATAGTGTGAAACATTCCGATCACTGATTCACGACTGGGTGACAATGTTATTTGCTACATGTTACAGAAAGGGCCCTTGTTTGAGATTCTTAAGGTGGAAAATTATGGGCGGTGTTAAATTTCTTTTTAATTAGAATAATATGTTGAATAGTAGATACTTACCTTTTCGTTGCCTGATGATATTTCAGCTATATATTAAATTGATGGAACAAAGTTATCTGACAGGTGTATATATACTTCAGTAACATTCAATATACTGCTCTTGACGAAAACGTAATAATTAATTAAAAATTCACGGTATTTTTGTTTTATAGCTACTCCTGATGAGCTTAAAGATTAATTAAAATTTTACTAATTAACCGCAAACGGCAGGAATTTCCACAATCCGAACAACAAACAGCATCTATAGTTATCCTTCAAAGAACTGCACTGTACAATATTGATTGTACGTACTGCATAATTCTCTGTTATTTATTTACACCATGGAATTGGCGGATTGGCAATAGTCAATTATGATTGTGGCAATGCATGTAACTTTCAAAAATAGTTTCATCAAAGAGCACTTTGAGTTTCATCATGAACATTTTAATTAAGTATTTTTATTTGGTGTTTAAATTAGGTCAACTATTGTCGGACCGGTATAATCCTGTTTTGGTCATGTTTTGTCAAAACTCCAAAATTAAAACTATATCCATAAAAAATTAAAAAGTCCATTGTATTTCCCGGACGATATGAAGAAAAAGCTGTTAAACGAACTGCGTAATTCTCATGTTATTTTCAGGGTCTTTATGTTAAATTAGTGTAATGAATGGTGAATAGCAATGCAATTTCCGAACTTATTTTCATCACAGTTTCATCATGGATATTTCAAGTAGTTTTATTTCGTGTCATTTAATTAGGTCGAATTAATTGTTGGACTGATATGTTAATGCTGTTTTTGGTCAATTTTTCAAAATTAAAACTATCTATAAAAGGTCCATTAATTGTATCTCCCGGGCGACATGAAAGAGAAAAGTATTAAACAAATCTGCTTGGGAGGATGATGATGCCCTGACTTGAATTTGTTATACTCCTTATATTAAGAACCTGAACAGATGAAACTATTTAAAATCTGGCCGTTTTTTCGGTGCTGTGAAAAAATAGTAATTTGTGCCAATGCATGGGTATGTTCTTTAGCACCCAATAGATGACTTGTATTAACGGATCACGTGACCGTAATAATCTACGTAAAACTAGTAGGTATGGCTGTGATTTTGTTTTGAAAGTTAGAATTGTTTTGAAAGTTGCAATGCTCTGGTCTTATAGCAGTCATTAATTATCGACTAACAATAAAAGGATTGCAGAATATAATTCCTTTATATGTAACAGAATATAATTCAGAATCTCTTTTATTGTTGGTAAAACGACCAGGAACACAACACATAAAACCGCCATTTCTTTTACTCGTACTGGTCGATGAAAGCGGACTGTTCTCATTACTTTCAGGGCTGTCAAACCTCTGAAGACCAGTGCAGGAGTTCTGAAAAGATGTAGAACTATAGGGTCGTCATTGGCTCACGGTTAATCTATTAACCGTAACTAGTGGCTTGAACAGCCTCAAAAAGACGACAAAGGACAGCAGCACACTAGCATTCTACAGTAGCCATGTTGAATTGTTTTTAATTTTCCCGCCGTGACTACTATTAGGGAGTTTACGATCTACGACGCGACTGGCTCGACGACGCGCTTTCAAAACAAAAAAATTTGGTGTTTCCACAAACAATAGTATTATATGTTTTATTGCTATGCAAACTACAAAGAACTTACAAAGAAATTTGCCATGCAAGACAAAAACTGGTGGTCCCAGGAGTTGACTGAACTCGTGGTCCCAGGAGTATCGACTGTATTGTCAACCGCGTTGTCATTCTCAACACAACGTTAAACAAGATTATTATGTCTTTCAGTCAACGTGAAAGCTTAATGCGACCCAAGAGGTGTTACTTAAAGTCGAAATTACAGCAAACATTGCATCGCTTCAGCCGAACGTAACCTCCCTCCTCCGCAGAGGCTTTTAAGAATATGAAATTCGAAGGAATTGAAATTGCGCTAGAAAGTATCTGGTATGAAGACAACCGCTGAAAATCGGCGCGCGGGCTAGGGGAAGGAAGGGAAAAAATAGCGGAAGCTTCCCTTCCGGCCTTCCCCTCGCCTGCGCGCCAATTTTCAGCGGTTGTCTTCATACCAGATACCTTCTAGCGCAAGCGCAATGTCAATTCCTTCGAATTTCATATTCTTTAAAAATTAAAAGCCTCTGCGGAGGAGAGAGGAACGTAGCAGTTTGTAAGGTCATTTGAAAAAGCGTGAAATATTTTTTACAGTAATCAAATTGCTTACCGCTCATTCTTGAGCTGAAATTTAGACCGCGTCGTTGAGCCGGCCGCGTCGTAGATCGTAAACTCCCTAATACCAGAATGCCCAGCGCGCATTACGCCTTGTGACGTCATTATTACTCTTCAGGACAACAACACAAAATGCGACAGCTTATATGTATTTTCCTACTTCCAGAGTAAAATGAATGATCGAAGTAGTACTGATCAGCGTGTATCACGACCTGGCCACTCGAGGTCTATGAATGGACGCATGCGCAGAACTGACTATACTGCATCTTTAAACGTATTGTAAGAAAGAGTCACCATGTTGTCCGACCACTCAAACGAGGGCCTATATAGCAGAATTTATTTATTTAACTTCAGCCGTCAATACAAATATAAACATACAGTAAAACCCCGCAAGAAATAAATCAAGAACCTAGATTTTCCACGTTAAGCTACGGATACACGGGCAATACTTTTCTGGCGATCATCGCGAGAAAGAAATTGCTTGTGTATCATGCTCTGCGACGGCAACGCAAAGCTGCGCGCAATCGTTGCCGAAATTTCAAATCATTTGATTTTCGGCAATGATTGCCGAATATTGGGAGGTGTGGTCAAGGAAGGTCAAGGTTGATGAATGACACGTCTCTTGACCAGCCAATGAAAAGCGTTATGAAGACATATATTGCAGGTGAAATATTGCAGGTGTAGCTACCTTGTGCAAACGGCAACGCAATGCTGTTATCACCCATTGCGTAACCATCGCAGCAAAAATATTGCTCGTGTATCCGAAGCTTTAGACTAAACAGGTTCTTATGTAAATTGTGCTTACCAGGAAATTAGGCTAAACAGGTTGTTAAATAGGTTCTTGTTTTCTTAAGAGAAAAGCGACTCATTTTAGGGAAGTATATGGTATATACGATTTATATAAATTATGCACAAATGATCTAAAAAATGACAGTATATGCACTATACTAACCCTACATGCACTATACTAACCCTACATGCACTGATTTAATTTTGACTCTATTTGATAATATAAAAATCTGTTTTGAAATTCTAGCCTGAACAGGTTCTTATTTAAAGGGGGGGGGGGGGTCTAAATAGTTTTAGCCTAACAGGTTCTTAAATTCTAGGTTCTTATATGCGGGGTTTTACTGTATACAAACAGGAAGACCGTTCAGGAACACTAACACAGCGTGATCCAATTACGTTAGTGACCTGTTACAAAACAAATATACACGAAACTTCACAATATAATATAAATATCAAACAAGATTACAGTATAGTCCCTGCCTCGTACCCATGCAGGCGCTATGTGTTGTTCTAAGGCTTGCGTGCCCTTTGCTTGGCCGCGTGGATTAATTTGATCGACGTAAACAAACCAAAGCGCCTGCATGGATACGAGTCAGTTATGATTATAGTCCTTTTTATCCGAAGTAGAGAGAGCATAAAAATTCAATACAAAATTATAAAACACAATAAATGCGAGAATATATAGATTCTGTATCCGTCGAACTCTACATCTACTATATTACACTGAATAATTCCAAGTTATAGGAAACTATGTCGGCTTTTGAACAAAAGTAAAAAGTTGATGAAACAAGAAAATAGTTAAGCACATCTGCACGATACGACTAGTCGTATACGATTCTTATCATGGTGTATGTACTTGGCTGATTAATGTGTCAAGATGTCATCTCAAATTTCGCCATTAACTGATGAACATGAATAGTGGCGCTAGCATTCGTTTTCATACGCCAGAATGACAATCGTATACGACTATAGTCCTAGTCCATCGTGAAAATGGGCCTGCGGTTAGCCTAATGGACAACACGATTATTCTGGTAAACCTTTTCATACGACGAGCCAAGACTACAAGTCTAGACAAAGATCTTAAATATAATATTGCTTGTAATGCTTAGGATCAAGAAATTACAATTTTTTAGAGAAATGCTTGACAGCAATTGTGAAGTAATTAATATTACACTTAAGATGCCCATGTTCGAGGCAGGTGCTTCGCCTCGCAAGTAGACTGTCTGCCACGCATGCAGCCTAATCGCTTTCCTGTAGAATTTGCGTGCAAGCCTAGCGGTCTCGCAGTATACGAGTGATCTCTATGTGCAATTGGACTACTATTTTTTGTGAAATCCGTCCGTATAGTTAAATTTCGTTAAATTTCAATGACTTGGGTTCGTGCAAATATTATTTTAATGATCTTGGGCATGCAGTTGTTATTTGCACTAAACTAACTCCCCCCCCCCCTTTTCGAAAGAGAAAAGAACAAGCCTTCTGTAAAATTAAATAGTCCTAAATCATGTTATAAGGTGTAATATTCCGGCGAAAATTGGTCAATATACTGTATTTCAGTTTTTCTAAATTCATCCTGTATGTATACAGCACTACTTGGTGTAAAACAACCCGCGAAATTGCGCAATTTTTAGCAATGAAAACTCAGGGAATCCGTATATATATATATATATATATATATATATATATATATATATATATATATATATATATATATATATATATATATATATATATATATGTGTGTGTGAAGTTAAAATTGTTCCTCAAGCAACTATGTATATATTCAGAAAATATCTGAACGGGCTAACCGGAATCGAACCCGTGTCTGCCGATTGCCGGTTCGGTTTTACCACTATACTATAGGGTTTCAGACAGCGATGCGATCTTAACTAGAGTCCTGGTTCCTACCATTCATGCATGCATATGTTCCTTTGTATACTTGAAAGCTCATGATACTATTTTCTTATTTTCGCATTACAAAATAGTGTGATGACTTGACCAGTATACGAGACTAATAAATTGAAAAATAATGTTCCTAATGTTCCACAACAATATTATATATACATACCTGAAAACGCTTTTCCTGAAAGTCCAAGTTAAACTACAATATAGGCTATGATTTTTTGTTTGAATGAACATAGGCCTAAGGCTAAGGGTAAAATATTTATTTTTTGCTAATTTAACTGAAGAATGATCTAGATATTAACATATTTTTACTTGCATGAAAACGTTAGTGAACCGTTTATACATAAGTGTACATCTATTGTCTAATCGTTATTTGGAGACGCTCAAGAGGGCAAGAGCCAAATATATACTTAATACGGTTTATCGAGAAATGCCTGAAACGGAATATTGCTATACATATATACCGCCTATATGCCGGCATTGTTTCATTCAATTTTAGCATTCATCCAATTTGTCATTACATTTACCGAAATGGAAAACATGTTTGCACTCTAAAATATTGTGTGTCAACAGTTTTGCACAGCAAAGTCAAAACTCAAATGGAAAAAAATATTTTAGTTTTTTTTTTTCTTTTGGCTTACCTTTGTTTTCAGTGTGTATTCTGTTGGTTTGTCTTTATAGCTTTTGTTTCGGATATTTGGGAGCAGCAGCTGATAGTGTCACTTCACATTAATCTCAGTAGGCTGGCGCTTGAATTAATTTGACTCTTCACAGCTTACTGTAAAAACAAAAGCGATTTAACGGGTTTTTAATAACGATCCACTTCAGTTGCTTCTTCGTGTAAACAACTTGGCACAACATTTTTTACACCGAAATACATATACGTGTCTACGGACTATATTATGGCTAGCTTAAGGAGTTAGCTCACAATATGTTGGCTATAACAATAAAGTGCATATATATATGTATATACAACCTAATTAACATGAGGAATGTTTTGCAATTTGCGTATTTATGTATTTCACATCAGACCACTTGTTCCATTAGTGTAATATCAACTCACATGCAGTTGTCAATAATCATATGTATACTCAACGCAGAAGATAAATTTATATTAGGGGATTCAGTGGCGTAACGGAGTAAGAGGGGACCCTTAGGCATATTTGATGTGGGGGCTCCTGTTGACTGTTGTCATTGTTTGACTGAGATATTATATTTGTATTGAATATTTATAGAATGTTCTGGAAATTCGGTGTCTATAACAATAACAGTCTCCAACAAATGTAACAACTAATAAGAATAACTTGTTTTATTTGAGATGGAATAAAAAAATGAGCCACCATTGTCGACGGAGGCTTTATTATGCAGCATTATTAATTTTGCATTTTCCCATTGATTCTTAATCTGCACTGTTTACGTTTTCTAATTTTCTGGGCGATATAGACCGTGGCTGATGGGGCCCCCCTACCCAATGAGGGCTGTACACGGCTGTATATAATATAATTATAATATATCCATATGTGAATGTGTACTGTAGAACCGTATGCGGTTGATGCGGAGCTGAAATGAAGGTATTCTTTCTTTTCGATTATTTATTCCTGACATTGAGATGATAATTTTCACAAATTTGAGGATCTCTTTAACCACGCGTAATGATGATCCGACATGTAAGATTATACGTTTTGTCGTAATTTGAAGACGATTTTTTAAAACAAGCTAAAGCTACGTTTACACGCTGCGATTTGTCGGGCCGATTTTGCTTGCTGTATGTAAATAACCTGTCGTGAGTACTCGCGTCAGCGCCTTGCGATTCACAAAATCAGGAGAAAAATCTGTAACAAAGCACAGATTTTTCTCACGATTCAACGATTTTTCTTCCTTTGTAAAGTTGTTGAAAACTTTTCGCACGCAGAAAACTATAATATAAACAGACGAGAGAGCGGACAGCTTCAATTGAGCGTTTAAATCGCTAAATGTCGAAGAAGGGGCAACGTTTATTTGCCAAAATCGGCCCGACAAGTCGCAGCGTGTAAACGTAGCTTAAGAAGGTTGAGATGTTCTATTTACTACAAAATCGGTATATGTCACTGATAATTGCAAGTGTCACAATTGAATGCAATGTCAGAATTCAGAATGGAATGTCAGAAAACTGAAGCCGGGGAATGTATGTAAGCAAACAGTCAATGCAGTTTCACGTTCGTGATTTCAAACAAGTACGGCTGCCGTGCCATCTATTCTTGGGTTTCACTACTGCATTATGCAGTGAATCTGACGGGGGGTCAGCCTCAAATGTATTGTACTATTGATGCTTATGCTGTACTGGAGTGAGAAAATGATATGAAATTCCATGGATTTGCCACCGAACACAAGGCTAATATACATAAAACGAACAATCGACTCACTCTGATAACTGTGTTTTGTTTTAGAGGTGACCCCCGTCACTTCTGTGACGTCATATGAAACCGAAGAATAACGGCTCGATTTATTTCCGGTTGGCGTTCGTGTATCAAAACGGGCTTTTTTATAATTTTTATGCCGCCGCGAACTCAAGATCCCCCCGCACCCGGGCCGCAATCATGCATACAAACGATTTCGTCCTATATATATATAGCCTCCATCGCAGGCAATTCTGCATATGGGTTCTAATACGGCGTAATTTTGTCAAATCTCCGCCGGTACAAATTGCGGTAAACCTCGGTTTACCACTCACCAGCTATACATAGGCTAAATATATGACAATATATAATAAACCGGCATTGCGTTACTCCGAGATTTAACGAAATTTTGGCGTTTGGGAACCCACATGCAGAGTTGCCTCCGGAGGAGCGTACCGCGGCGTGGTACCTGTCGATTAAATCTTTCAATTCAAATTGTTGTCTAGCAATTAACTTAAGTTGAGTTTTTTTGTTCAACGCCAGATGCAAGTTAACTCTGGTCAAGCCATGCAATCGTGTAAGGGATTTTTTTATTATTTAAGCTTATTTACTCACAGCTAGCCTTTCAGGTGCGTGTCTGTTTTTCAAAAGGCCGTGTACACTTACTACAAATTATTATAAAAATATCAAAGTTATTAACAATAAAATAATCATGTATAACATACACTATTTACATAAAACGTATATATGGTTAGGCATGATGACCTCCCAGTTCAAATACACAAGCCATCGTTTAGCTAGTCTCTTGAAATAACTGCATGATATAGAAGTTTATTATTGGAAGTTTTCCCATTAAAATTTGGTTCCATGATACAGCTCATCTATATAGGAGAAGCTTCGTTTTAAAAAAAATTGTCTTAGCTAGGTTTTGGTTGCTTTTTTAGTATTGATTGTATTTTTGTTCATATTTGAGCATTTGAAAAATTTTAGAAGATCGTTCTTCTAAGCCCGGATAAACTATATATACAATAATTGATTTAATATGACCGATTAACGGAGCAATCAATTTATATTTATTTGCATTCAATACAGGATAGAGTATATGGCAAAAAGTCTTTCTTTACGCCTCTTGGCTTTCAGATCTTACGTGGGCCATGGTTGTTATTATACGTCAAAGGTTTTTAGTGGATATTATGATTTATGAACCACGCGAATTTGGTTGAATGATTGAAAGGATAACTGCTTCAGAGCAGATGCTGCGTTTATATTGATTTTTGAACCAAAGATTATAATCTTTCCAATACAAGATTGAGTGTTTACGCATCAACAAGTCGCTTAAATTAATTTTGTTTTTTACTCATACTTATACTGTCTTCGTTCACATTATATTAGAGACCTTAAGATCTGGGACGGCAACGTGACGACGACCACTAGTCAGGCCACTAGTAATACGATGAAAGTTAGTAATATTTAAGAGAAGAAATGAATAATTAAAATACCACGGGAGATTTAATGTCGTCCACGCGGTTTGTTTACAACCGGTAAAACAGAGCTTTTACGTCCTGTGTACAACGTTTGCATTTTAGTACATAAGAAGTGGAAACCAAGCAAATTGGTTCAGTACTAATGTGGAATTCTACTCAATAGAAAGGCTCTGCTTTGATCTCTTCAAGCCGTTTTAAATTCATACGATTGATAATGTACAATCAGCTTTCTTAATTTACAATAATTTATTTGTGAAAAGCTAGTCTCTATTTACAACTACTATAAGTAATCATTACTATAGTTGTTTTTAATTTTGTGTAAAACACCGCGTGGATGATTTTTAATATTTTTCAAAAAACAAAAAAATTTTTTTGTTCGTTCATATCTATATATAGCTACAAAGAATGTATAATTATATAATTGTCGTTTCTTAATTCAGGTAGTGTTTGATCAGTGTACACTGTAGTCAAAGTGTAGCTTAGACTTAGGTCATGATTGTGGACGTTTTGTTCCCAAAACATGGCTTATATAGACCGCTTGTGAGATGTAAAACCTGGTTCAGCGTGCGCATTTTTTACGCTTTAATTAATCTTATGCATGTCCAATATTTAACACTGAATATTACAGTATTCGCTGTAGGCGAGGTGATTATCGGGGAATATTTGCCGAGACGAAATAATTGTTTTAGTATTTTTACACAAGTCTTTTGTGTTTTTTGGGACTGAATTTATTTTAATTTCGCTTATTTCTTTATCAGTAACTTCCACAAAACGGCTAGCCGCCATTTTGAAAATCTTTTGTTCACAATCCGTATTACATCGTGAAACAACCTCAAAACCACTATAGCTTCATTACGATCCATATTTATCCATCGTTATCCTTCGCTTACTGAACAACACCTTATCAGGCACCGGTCGAATTCGCAAGAATTCGGTATATACGCATGGTGCGCATCGTGAAGTTTTCGAAAATCTCAAATTAAAATACCCAACCACTCAGGCCAAATTATAACAATTAATATATTTTACTATATATGCAACAAGTGTGTCTCATGTTTCGTTCTTCAGAAAACTCATACATTATAATCTCCATGCCCAATTTCCCATTTATCAAGCGTTTCAAACACTATCAGACAATTACATTTCATTACATATATAAGAACTTACATTGTAAGCGACTATCATACAAATATAACTTACTATGCAACAAATATGTCTGCTTCGTTCTTCAGAAAAATCAGTCATATTATAATACACTGTCCACTTTCCCATTTTTGGCAAGCGGTTGTAAACAATATCAGCTGGCTATTACATTTTATTATATATAAGAACGCACATTAATAACCCGATCATCAAACAATTATAAGTTACTATGCAACAAATGTGTATGCTTCGTTCTTCAAAAAATTCATGTATTACATGCCCACTTTACAAGCGCTTCAAACAATATAAAACAATTACATTTTATATGTAAGAACGCACATTGTTACCCGATCGTGACTATCAAACAAATATAAGTTACCATGCAACAAATGTGTCTGCTTCGTTATTCAAAAATTCATATTACATGCCCATTTTCTGATTTATCAAGCGCTCCAAACAATCAAACTACTGTACAGTGGTGCATATGCAGTGCTTTCTGTTCCAATAATATGATCGCTATAGATTGCTCAACAATCGAAACATTGACGTTCTAACAAGCGCGCGTATTTGTAATATAAAAAAGATTAAAGCCGCGAATTTCAGACGACAAAATATGAAATACGAGCAAATAAAAAACATTTATTTTTCACGACAACGTCAACATACCGCAACGTATATAGTCTCGCTCCGCCGTGTATCGTGTATTACTTTTCCCTAAATTATTTTCTACATTAGTATTTTATTAGTATTTTAAATTTAGTAAAGTTTCCATTATAAATGTTCTGCAACTTTAATTGATCTTTTACAGTTAATATTGTATAAGAGACAGCAGCGAATATTTTTTTATATTATATATGATGGTTCAATTTACGTCGCTGACACAACATTAACAATGTTGGCGAAGCACTCGTGATTGGCATTGTAACAACAGTTTTCTCTCATTATCATTGAGATGAAAATGCTTTTTGTGAAACATATACTAAAACCAATGACTTTTTTGCCTTTCTTTGTTTTTGTTTATCCATTTATTAAATCTGTTCCCAACGCTTTGATAAAAGAGTAATGTGTACTTATATCGCTATATATATGTTCGTGTGCAAATATTAGAGAGCTTTATCGCTTTATAATAGCAGCGGCTACGATTACGAGTACGAGATTTGACCGAGTGTGTACTGGCGGCGAACAAACAACAATTGCGACGGCCGGTATTTGCAGTTCACTGACATTTCCAGTATCTAATTTACAACTCGATCCGCTTTCTTAAAAATACGCCGAATAACGCTAGGGCCTATAACAAATATTTCTACAAATTATTTTTGAAGAAAAACAAAAATCTTACTTAGCTTTTTAATGAAAATGTCGTTGGGAGGACTACGACTAGATTTCTTCAAAATTTCGTACTCAGATGGGCGACACCTATACGACGTTCTGGCGCCAGTACGGGATCGCCGCCAGTAAGCATACAACGTGCGTTTCGCGCAAAAATGACCATATACAGTATATGAGTCACGATTTAGGAACAGTTACTATTTTTAAACTTTAATTTTACGGTTAGGATTAGGGTTTGGATTAGGGATAGGGTTTGGATTAAGACTAGAGTTAGGATTAGAGTAAGGGTTTGGTTTAGGTTAGGATTATAGGGTTAAGTTTAAAATACAAAAGAATACAAAAGTCTAAAAATAGTAACTCTTCCTAAAACGTGACAGGTATATAAAATGACGAATCTCATACTCGTAGTCGTCCAAAAAATCTTAAACTGCTTTCGAAAAATTGAATTTTAAAAAAACGTACACCTCATTTGAACAAAGGAATCATTTCAATCTATTTTAATCAAGTGCTGAAGCTGCAAATATAGGGTGTAACGGGCATAAAATTGCTCGGCGGCTCACATAAACATTCCCTTGATTAAAGATTTTGCCACTTGATTCAGTGCGGTCAATTAATTGTCTTGTATATACAGACAAACAAATAATATAAATTGCCGAAAAAAATACAAGCTAATTATATGAAGAACCACAAGCATAGATATCCCAATTGCGCGCGTATAATACAGATTTAATCATTTATCTAGGCAAAAAAGGAATATACAAGATACCTATATAATTTGTAATGACACTAATCAACCTTTACTGCGGTCCCGCCTTCCATTCCATAATGACGAATGATGACGAATGTAGTTCACACCGCACCCAATCTTAAAGAAGCATTTCAATTGAATAATGAAAGACATAATACTTACAATCTTAGAGATAGGGATACTGATTTAGCACCACTTATGCCGAAAAAAAGAATTCGGCAAGAGGTGCTTCAGTTATTATGGTGCCTTGCATTGGAATAATCTTCCCCATGAGGAAAAAATTGCTGAATCCCTAAGCTCTTTCAAGTCGATATTGAAACAAAGAATGAGTTGAAATAATTTGCTTGTGTGTAATCGTGCAGCTAAAATTACTTGTATTTTTTTATTTGTTATATTTTGTATTTCTTGTATATAGTTAATTTTTTGTAAATAGGTAATTTCACGCCCCTCGTGGAAACCAGCCTTCCAACGGCTGTTGAGGCTAGCGTGGTTTAAATAAAGTTTTGTATGTATGTATAGATTTTCTCCAAGCCAACGGCGCAGATTTATTTAATCTAACAAAATCTATATACGTAGTAGTTCGGGTTAAACTGGCCTTATGAGCAGATGAGCATGTGCGTGGACAGTCTAAAAGCTGGACAGCATGTTTTTTAAATTATCTAAAATTGTTATACTTTAGTAATAAATTTTATTTATAATGTTAATCTGTGTGTTAATTTATGCATCCAACCAAGCGGAGCGGTGTCGTCCTGGCCATATTTTGCTCCAAAAATGTACACATTTTCGCGTTCGCCATTATACACTTAATGTCTGCTCCCGAGGGAAATAGTTAGTTTTGTTTTCCCGAGAATCTCAATGTTTCCCAACAACATTCATACAACAATTGTATTTCGTGACAAAAACTCTATAGTGTAAACGAGTTTAAAATTAAAAGAACCTACTTAAACGGTTTCAGCAGCATATCCTGTTGCCTGTTGTGTATTTTTCTTCTCTTTTATATTCTTTATTTGAACAAAAACTTGGAAAATCGTAGTTTCTAATTATCTGAGTTTTGCCTCCATTTTGTTTATTTATGTACGTGGCCGGTCGGGGCGGGCAACAATTTTTCACTTGTTGCCCGGCGGGAAACATTGCATTTATCTGAAGTCACGTGACCACAAATCAGCCAATCACGTTTGGTGTTCACGCTAGCTATATAACAATACTGTTTATTCCCCTCTTGAATTAAAAACTGTGGATAAACAAACGGCAGCGAAGCAGCCAGGAATGCGGAACTAAAAAACTGTAGATAAACAACGGCAGCGAAGCAGTTAGAAATTAACTAAAAACTGTAGATAAATAAACGACAACGAAGTAGCCAGAAGGAAAAAATGTAGATAAACAAACGGCAGCGAAGTAGCCAGAAATAAAAACTGTAGATGAACAAACAGCAGCGAAAGAGACTGAAATAAACAAACGACAGCAAAGTAACCAGAAATCAGAACTAAAAACTGTAGATAAACAAACAGTAGCGGTTCAAAAATGTCAAGAACATTAGCATAGCACTGTAGTGAGCTCAAATAAATTAACATGAGTCTGAATAAATTAAATGATTTAAGAAATGATGACGTCATGGGCGGTGCTAAGTGCACCACCCGCGCCAGAACAAACCTCGTTCCCAGGCTCTTCCCTCTTGTTGAGGAACGAGGTTGCGCCAGAACCCCTATTCTCTTTGCTACTAATGCTTTCCTTTTCCCGGATGTAACCTGGTACCCTGGCCTCAGGCTATCTGCGCCGTTGGGTCGGAAAAAATCTATGTTGAACTACATTCGTCATTATGGAAGGGAAGGCGGGACCGCAGTAAAGGTTGATTAGTCGTATACTATTACTAGTATCATTACAAATTATATAGGTATCTTGTGTATACGTTTTTGGCCTAGATAAATAATTAAAGCTGTATTATACGCGCAATTGGGATATCTGTGCTTGTGGTTCATCTATTTTTTCGGCAATTTATATTATTTGTTTGTCTGTATATACAAGACCTGTCCATTAATTGACCACTAAATCAAGTGACAAAATCTTTAATCAAGCGAATGTTTACGTGAATTAAACTAGTTTATGCCCGTTACACCCTATAATCGTGGGCGCGTGACTATAATTCATCATGGGTGGACCTCACTGATCTCAAACATATGGCTGTTTGGCAGGAGTAGGATAAGCAAGATTTCAATTTTCAAAAACATATATTTGGAAAATCGTTTCATACAATCAGCTTTGTCCTTTGAAGCAATTTTTTGAATGAATGCATGAGAAAAATTGATATTTACTGTGGGAAATCGAGAAATATAAGACAAGTTTGCTTTAAATTTTTAATGACAATGTTGTTTATGAATTATGTTCCCGTTTAATTTCTTGCGTAAAACATGCACTGGTTTCCATTAATTTCAATGAAGCTGGAAGTTTCATAAATTACCTAGTCCCCCACGCAGCCGGTCGAGCTGCGAGGGAGACTACAAATTACCCAGGCCTGTTTAATTTAAGAAAAAAAAATAAAATATAAAGGAGAGCAAATTAATTTGAAGACCAAACTGAAATTACTCAACAATTCGAAATAAAAACAGCCGGTTAATCGGCAAAAGAAGTTTATAGTTGTCTACTTGAATGAACATTTCAAAAGATTTTACGTACGAAGCGATTCAGGCCAACTGATTTTACATCAAATCAAAACACACAAAATGCAAAGTAACGTATACCTACAGTACATATTTCGGAAATTCATTGTTGTATAGTTAAAACTACTAATCAAAAGTACTATACTATTTTTGCTGTTTTGTACAAAAAATATAAAAAATTTAAATTATCGTGTATGGCAACACTTGAGGAAACGCAAGCATGCGTTTCGGTGTCGGCCAATTATTTTTGTAGGCGATCGGGGCTGTTGCATGCATCATGCATGTATTTATGGGAAAATTTGAATTTTTATCTAATATTCGTTTGTTTTTATTTCTAAACATTTTTTCAACAGTACTTTTTTTAATAATCTAAAATCCTCACTGGCGCATGAGCGTCTTTAAATCAGTACAAGGATGGTCGAAATTTTTCAAATAATGTTATCGGACAGCAGTCATCCTCATTTAATTTATTTTCAAACTTTCACCTTTGTTCATATTTTAAATCAGTTTTGATTTATCTTAAAACTCCAGGATGATACAAACTTAAGGCATAAACCGATAAACGTCATTATAATATAGTCATTCACCGTATATGAGCTGTTCTGCAATCTGATTGGTTGAATTACTCGCCGTATATCAGCTCATATACGGCGAGTAGCGAAAAACAAGATGGCGGTCCAAAAACTACATGAGTTTTGCGAAGCAGAAAAAAGGAAAATATTCGCTTTGAGAAAGATAATAGCACAAGGAAAAACTCTCAAAAAAATTGACAGGTTAGCAAAATGCATTTATTACATATACATATAGTATAAGTGAGTGAGTGGGGGTATTTGCTAATCATCCTTGCTGAGAGCTGAATTGAATTTACGAAAGACTCAGCTCAACCTGATCGAGTCAATTAGCGTACTATAAGGCTTTATAAGAAAGTCAACTAAATAGTGTCCCTCTGAATCGAACCCATGCACCAAAGGCCCAGTCTTAATTATACGCTGTATTATAATTATAATTATAATTATTCACTATACAAATAGCATTGATGCACGACTGCATGGTTTGTACAAAGCACATATATATATATATATTTATATATATATATATATATACATACATACATATATATATACATATATATATATATATATATATATATATATATATATATATATATATATATATATATATATATATATATATATATATATATATATATATATATATATATATATATATATATATATATATATATATATATATATATATATATATATATATATATATATATATATATATATATATATATATATATATATATATATATATATATATATATATATATATATATATATATATATATATATATATATATATATATATATATATATAGATAGATAGATAGATATAGATATATACAGATATAGGTTTTCATATCTGACTATTATTGAGATTTTTATTCAGTATTCAACCACAAGTATAATTATCTGTCGTTAGTGACAGGATAAAAACTGACCGCATGAGTGTGCGCATAATAGTAAGGACACATTGAACACATGCATTAGGACATATGCGGGGAGCGTGCATAATCGGTTAATGCATACAGTTATGTTGATGTTTATTTGTTTTTACTTTTTACTTAATAAAAGGTATACATGCATGCACATGCATCTTATGGGGGCTGTTCATACAGTATGAGCTGGGACAGCCCGAGTTAGCCCGGCTAGCCGGGATGAATCGCGCCACAAAAATTGTTTCCTGACCATGCATATATAAGGTCGTTTGATTCAACTTTGTACGGTTACTGGAATCAAACTAAACTATACGGTTGCTGGAGACTCCCAAAAATGAGTGAACTGGCCCTGGGAGTAACGTCCCAGCGGGCAAAATGACGTTTATCCAACGTTGAATCAACGTTGGAAATGACCTTCCAGACGTTGGATAGACGTAACTTTGAAATCGTTCATTTTGGATGCATGTTCGCCACAGCCGTGCATGATATAAGATTTTTACTAATTTAAGCGAATCACCCCGGTTAACTGCATGGTCTGCCGACTCTGCCCGGCTCCATATATGAACATGCAGCCCCTTAAAGCCCATATTACATGCAGTACACAATCATGTTGATGTTGCGAGAATATTCATGCATGGGACTAACTTGCATGGAAATTAAGTATCTCATGCTGTCATTGTTTCGAGAAAATTGTGTATAATTATATAAACTACTGAGGGGTGTATTATATACATGCATGTATTTTAAAAATTATACTTTTATATCCTATAACAAGCTTTCGCGCGTTGCTCCGACGAGGGGCCTTCGCTCGAAACATCGAATTTCTCCTTATTTTTTTCAAGTAGTTGCATCCCTACCAACGAAAGCTTGTTATTCTTGGCACTATACCTACACTGGCACAGGACGTTCAACCTTATACCCTATAGCCATTTACTAAATTTAACTTAAACTTTACTAATGTTACTCTGCATGGATACTCGGTATAAATCAATCTATCAGTGAATGAATATACTGTGGGTAGCTGTGCGGATGTAATACGTGGCAAAGCTGCGTTTGTATAATACAATCGTTGCCAAAATATATCCCTTGTATAAGGACTAAATTAAGTTTCCCTTGACAAGCGTGCAGTTGCTCGTTGTTAAACATTTATCTCACCGATCAAGGCCGCCGCCTTTTGTTTCCCAAACCATACAAGTATTTCTCGTACACTAGCTTGTCAAGTTTTCCTTGACGGCCGTACACACGAACACATTTTCCTTGTCGAAAAGCTGGCATGCATGACTAGCTTTTGAAGCTATGCCTATAGGATCCTTGGCTAGGAAAAATTGTCAATTTTTTACCGTACACACAAGCAAATAGCCTAAAACTTGTCACATTAAAGAAATCGTGTCAAGGAAAAATTGTTCGTCTGTATACGGGACTTCAGATATTCCTCTTAAAAGCTAGTAGCAAATTTTACATCGATTCGCAAAAGGCATCGTCATTCTATGAATTTGAAGATTTAACTGTTGTCTGTCAGTTAATTGCCTATATACACCTTTCAATCTGAAGTGTTGATTGGCATGCAATTGTATATATGGCTGATATTATACTAGTGGCACATTTAGTTTTAAAAAGCTAAAGATTGGATAATCATATAATTTACCTTGAATTAAATGGAGAACATTTCCATTTATTATTATCACCAATTCAGTGAACAGATTTTAAGATATATTTTGTTTTGCTGTCATTTCCACGTCGTGGTGCCAGGCCGGCTAAATCAAAGACAAATATAACCACTAAGTCCAACTGTGAAAAGATAAAAGGTAAAAACAAATACGTGGATATAGGATTTCCGTCATAATCCGCCTCCTCTGTTAAGGTTTGGTGTTTGACCATAGGGGTGAATAAAGGAATGTTTCCAAAATACAAAATGTTTAACTTCACTATGGTCTGTTTATGATGCTTGTCATTAACATCATGCAGTTCATGCCAGGTCTGGACAATCAAAATTCATTGGAAAATGATTAATAGAAACTGAGTCCCATGGTTTCATTGAACAGGGCAATTTTAACTGCACAATGATTCAACAAAATTTTAATATCTGCTATTAACTTAAACAGTAATACGATACTTAGTTGAAAACATGAGCGGGCTATTATGAGTCAAAATCACAATGAGTGCCAGTTAATTTAACAACACCATTACACCAGCTTTAATCTTTTAATGCCTTGGTTCATATATAAGCTGCATGGTACATGAACTTGCTTAAACATCTTGATTCCTATTGGATTAGTCCCACGTTATATCTAGTCTGTATGTATCTGTCTCTTTTTAAAACGAAACCAAAATGTTGTTCGAATACTTATAGCAGTTTTTGGACATTCGACTCGATCACTCCATGCATGCAAGTTACAAAATTATTCTCAATTATGTATAGGCAAGTAAAAATTATAACTCAAACGGACAAAACCAGTAAGGATAATTATTGAATTCTATACTATTCTTTGATACTCATCTACATAATATATCGATTCTCGTACTGCAATAATTCGACTTGGATCGCGTAAGTATAGCCTAATTACTGAATACGTATAATCGAAACAGAATGGTCTATTCACTATTGAATAATTATACATACTACCATGCGGCATAATGTCCCTTCAAAATAACCCAAACCCTTATAACAAATCTTTGTAATAAAAAAAACAATTATAGATTTAGAACCTTTCAGATTATACGTTCAAACCTTTTTATTATAGCTACCAGTACAGATAGGATTCTTCTGCATACGTGTCAATGTCGAACATATACCGCTGATGATCTCTCCAGGATCGACAGTGATAAAAGAACATTATGAATCATATTTTTCTATTTAACAGTTGGAAATTAGTAGGACTGCGCTGTTCGAACAGTGACATAACATAATTGTCGCTCTGGTTTGTAATATGATAAACATCACGCTGTAGCGGCATGCTGATCTGTCGCTGCGGCTTAGTTTAGAATTTTCGCGCGCTTTTGCTTCAATTTTTACATCAGTTAAATTTGTTTTAATACTGAGTACATAATCGGTAATCCTTTCATTACGTTAAATGTTTAGCGCAGCAACAATACTTTTTGATTCAACGTTTTGACTTTATTTAGTCATCATCAGGAATAGAAACGTTGAATCAAAAAGGAGTTACCGTTATATAGCTACAGTATATATACATATTTCAATTAAGGTTGTCCCCCGAGCAAAGCGGAAAAGTCGTTTGATATATTAGCGATCCCAAGCAGCCTTTCGCGCTCGTATTCGACTTTTCCGCTCTGCTCGGGGGACAACCTTAATTGAAATAGCTGTATACAGAAACTTTAGTTATCACTGCTTCCTTAATTAATTTTTGCGTCTTTAGCTTAATGCCTTTAAACAGAGAGTCAGTTAAAATATTTTACGTTTGGATCACGCTTTAGTCTGTGACATAATGTTTCTCTTTATCTTTTTTTTTTCATGTACCGTCTCCCGTTCGCTTTCCTTATAATGTTGCCCTAAATTTTCCCAATTTTTTGCTATGATTATCAGTTTTTAATCCGGTTTCACTCAAATATTTTAGTGTTTTTTTTTACTTCCTATCCAATTCTTGTTTGGCCCAACTGGGAAAACAATTGGCCGACTGGGATAAAATTATTTGCCGACTCCTTGACGACTGGGGGTGTTCCCCCCTCCCCCGCACACGTACTCTAACGCAGGGACATGCTGGGGTCTTGAAAAGGTCCCCATAGCCAGCACGTCACTGCTCTAACGCATCCCCTGAGACAAAGCCGAACACAGTATGATGTCGTCTGTCTAACGATGGGGTTGAACAATAAAACAACCGATCAAAATAAGCACCTTAAACATAACGCTTCATGCATTTTAATTTATATATAATACATATTTCGGTTGCACTATATATCGAGGAAGTGCAACTAGAAAACTGTTGTTATAAATGGTGAATTTTCGGCTTCATTTTTGCAAACCTCATGTATAGCTATAATGTATATATTACACTCAGAAAGTTATGCAAAATTTTAATGTTCTTTAAACAACCTGTGCCACTATCGCGATGGCTGCTTATTCTGATCGGTTGCATTCAACAATGCATGGTTAGGGTTGAAGTAGTACATGCATTTTGATGGTTTGGAACAAACACATGAGATTTTAGACAAATATAATGCGGCCATGTTGGAGGAAAACACGCTCCCAATAACAAGCTTTCGTTGATAGGGATGTAACTACCTGAAAAATATAAGAAGAATTTCGACGTTTCGAGCGAAGGCTCTGTTAATATTATTGGCACTACCCACACTAGCACAGATAGTCCCAATCAATAGCTTCCTCCAACATGGCGGCCATGATCGACGTCAAGTCCAAACAAATTTTCAAATCGCCAATTTTCTCCACTTAATAGTTTGCACTTTTGAAAGACATGCAGTTCTTCAAATACAAAGAATCAATCAATTTTTTGGTTTGGCCGTTGTTATTAGTATTTTTAATGGAACTGGAAGTACATCTATGTGTTACAAAATAGCTACAGCTGCAATATTACTAGAAAGATTCGAGTTTTATTATTGTAAAGCCTAGCTAATACACGCAAATTACTTTAGATTAAGGTTTAAATCCGATTTGTACTGTCTATATAACAGTGTTATTTAACCTGTTTAAAACGTATGTATATAAAGCCTTAGGTAAAATTACCCATTGCTACTTCTGAATGTATATAAGTTGTTCAAATCCAAAATAAGATTTATTTATTTGTGGTTTTGCCAAAGTTAATATTTTGTAATGGCAATACAAGTGCAAGCATGTGTCTACTATGCGACAGAAAAAAATTATCACTTAATGGCAGGGAATTTATTTTTTTATTTTGAAGTCCATTAAACACCCACTCCGGTCATGTGAAACAGTTATCTAAGCATTCTAGACATACAGATTTCGTCACCATTGTGTTAACAACATGCTAATTGACGATGTACTTCAATCGAGCTAAATGCTTGTTTATATATATAGGAGAATTGCAGAATCAACTAACAACAAAAGGGCATAAACGGATCTTCCAATCGAACTACAGTAATATTACAGTAAAGTAAAGTAAACTAAAGTTAATTAACTCACCTTTTTAAGACAACTATTTATCGGCATTAACTGGCGTCTATATCCTTAGTTACGCCCACTTAATTATGCGAGTTCCAGCGAAATTCATGTTATTTTCAATTCGGTTTGAAATTCAGACATCAATTGCGTGCGTGTGGTCCACAATTTAATTTGATTGCATTAGTCGAAGTTAAGAATCAGTTTTACTTAAATAAAGAAATATTATTACAGCGCCAGTGCAAGTGGCAGTGGCTTGAGTTTTTATCTACAGTCCACTTGAAAAAACAGGGCAACTGGCAATAATTTTTTCATGGTTTATTATCGATAAATTTTCTACTGAATAGCTAAATATAGGTTTGCCGCACAGCCCACATTTGATTTTAAATTTTTAATTTAATACTTAAATTGAATTAATTAAGACCTAGTCAGCTTTTGTCAGTCGAAACTCAGTTTGGGAATGTTTCAACTTAACAGGACTTTACGAACAGCACGCACATTAAAAGGTTTGAAAACCGACTACGAAATGTAATGCATGGTTAATTGCAATGGTTTATTTTATAAGCGTTATAATTATATGGATATGTCAAGAAGATCTACGTACCTCATTAAAAATTCAAGTAAAACTGTCTATTGACCGGTTTCATCGTGTGTAAACTCGAAAAAGAAATCCTACAAATTAGATTGCGAGTTTAATCAACACCAGGTCTCGTAATCAGTACCAACAACTGAAGCCTGCATGGTTCATTCGAGATGAAGGCTTTGAAAAATTAAGTGAGCATGAACACAAAAGGTAATCGTTATTTTACCTTTGGGGCAAAAATTGCAGACCTATATATAGCTATCATTGGAAAAAGGATTTTTGTACATGGAAATTTCGAGTGTAAATTTTACACATTTCTAGATCTGTATAGACCATAACCAAGATTTATATAATGACTAATGTACTCTCGAAACGTCAGCTACAAAAACCCCTCAACACTTAGTTCTATAACAGGGGCGGATCTAGGATTTTTCGTACGTTAGTCAAAAATTTCGTTGCTGAACATCGAAGGGGGGGTGGGGTTCTTTTAACGGGGGGGGGGGTCGCAAAGCGAATTAATTTGTATCCAGTTTTACGAAAAAAATTGACCGAAATATTATGTATAAAATTTCATCTCTTATTACGTACAGACGCGCAACCACTATAGCCTAGAACAGCTATGATGCTATATCAAGTTAAAATAGAATATATTTACCTTAAGGCCGTACAAAACTTATTTCGTTTTCTCTCGAACGTACTTCGCGATGTAAGATTCCGCACCATAATTTCGCGGTGCGAGGAAGAAGCTTGTGTTGTTCACAGCGCTCAATAAGTCTTTAGAACGCTTCGATATTGTCGATCATCTTTCTCTAAAGGAGCCTTTGCGGTTTCGTAAATACCAACAGACATGGCTAGTATTAGTTTAGAACTTCTGATAAATATTCCGATTGCCATAAAACGCACATGCTATAAAATCGGCGGGTACGCGTATAATAATAAAGACGAAATTTACATAATATTTCAGTCAATTTACATAAATACTGCTGCTAGATCAGAAAGATCCAGCAACGTCATAGACCTTTCCGTGCATACTATTAGCTGAACGGTATGATCGATCAAAAAAATCCAGCCAACGGGAATTGAGGATTTTTTTTTAATTAGCCAATAGGATAGCCTGTATTCGAGCCACTGATCGCTTTAGCGATCAGAACTCCCCACAGATCGCGCAAAAATCTTGATAGCCAATCAGATGGCTGGAATCTGACTCAGAGCGTGCAAAACTCATGCGTAAGACCGCTTTTCTGCGCGTTCATGTTCGAAGGCCTTGCTACTGGATGATATCTTAGAACTGGACTGTTAAACTTTCAATACAATACACTGCGTGAAGTTTGATAACTGGACTGCTATTTTAATTTAACAATTTTCTGCCCAATTTTTACCTTAGTCGCGTGATCGCTCTGATCACCCCTAGATCCGCCCCTGGTTCTATTGAGTGAGATACTGAGATATCTAGTAAAATCATGATATCTATCGGTGGAAATGTACTTTTTAAATTTAACAAGCCGCTTGCTCATGAGGCGTTCACATGCACTTCCCTCAAAATAACAAGACCGGACACGCGTGCATATGATGCTTGGAATATGAGAGCAGTCAAATCAGCAATATTGCTCGTTCTTAAGCAGTTGAGGGCCAAAAATGGCTATTGCTACCAATAGGCAATACACTGATTCAGAATGGAACCGGAGATATATATGCCACAGCTAAATAATCGACGCGATATACAAAGTCAAAAGCAATGACGATGTACTGTACTCGATGCCGATATATAAAATCAGTTAACACTCAATGGACGTAATATTCAATAACAATGTCTTATGTGTTTTACTATAGTCCATAGACTGCGGCAAACTGACCTTGGATATTTTTATTCCGGTCAAGTATATATAAGACCACTGCGTATATTTAGTATTGCAACGCTTTCAATCTGGGAGGAAACACAACGATAATACAGTATAAACAGTAAACATTGTCGCCAATTTCAATCTGTTCATGTCTGTATAATAATGTAAAACTAAGGATTTCAAATAATTCAAAACGCGGTGTGTAGACGAGGACCTTGCCAATGCAATGTAGACAACTGTAGACAACTAAATACCTTCCTGGATAACAACAACATAATTGTAAAAAATCAATCAGGTTTCCGTCGCAATCACTCAACCGAAACCTCGTTACTACAATCTACTGAAATGTGGTTGAAATCAATGGACCAGGGTCAAATAAATGGGGTTATTTTCTTAGACCTGAAAAAAGCATTTGATACGATTGATCACCAGATTCTATTGTCAAAACTACAAGCTTATGGGATACGCGACCACGCGCTCAAATGGTTCCAATCGTATTTAGATCAAAGAAAGCAAATTTGCATGCTAAATAACTGTAAATCTGATATTGAAACAATTCGTTGTGGAGTACCTCAGGGTTCAAATCTTGGACCTCTATTATTTCTCATTTACATAAACGACCTCCCAAACTGCCTAGAAACAACACATTCTAATTTATTTGCTGATGACACAATTTTATCATGTCAAGGGCATTTATCCATAGATATTGAATACAAACTTAACAAAGACCTAGTAAATACTCAAAAATGGTTATCAGCGAATAAACTAACATTAAACAACGAAAAAACCAAATAGATGATTATTGGATCTCGGCAACGATTGAAAAACTTAGATCACGTGCCAAAAATCAGTATAAACGGACATCAAATTGAACGAGTTTATAAAAAGGAAGCTTTGGGTATAGTTATAGACGATAGACTTAGCTGGAATAGGCAACATGAAGAACAATGCAACAAGATATCAAAAAATATTAATCTTTTAAGAAAAGCCAAAGATTTTGTTGGCCTAGATACGCTCAAAATTATGTATAACGCATTAGTCGCGCCTCATTTTAACTACTGTTCAACTGTTTGGCAAAATAACAACCAAACACACTTTGACAAATTATATAAGCTTCAGAAACGAGCAGCAAGAATAATAACAAATTCGGACTATACTATAAGATCTTCGGACATTTTTCAAAAACTTAGCTGGAAACCTCTTGACTTAGTTTTGAAAAAGCGAGATCTCCTTATGACATTTATAGCGATTAATGGCAT